TATTGAAAATTCTTGGCTTCAACAGAATAAATTGCACGTTATATCACCCATGAGCCAGTGGGATGATAGCATGTTGCCTTCATCAGTTAAGTGCTACCCTAATATCACACTCAAACCCCACTTAATGGACAGAGTTCCCGACATTAGTTGTGTCGGGAAAAGGAACAGCTGACAAAACTGATCGGAAGTATTCAGCAGCAGATCTAGTCTTCTCTGCGACTTTAAGGCTACTAGGCGAGTTTATCAATACTTGTACCAAAAATAAAAAGCTTATCCTAGGACGATATATCAACCAACTACATGAGCGTATGTTCAAATTAAACCTGTAAACACCTGTGAGTTGTCGTGGGCAACATATGTGCCCTACATCTCAAGCACTTGAACGCAGAAATGGACAAGATATGGTGACAGAACGAACCATCATATGTGGTATTAGACCGCTTGCCTGACAAAACAATTACACAGCTCAAAAATGTAAACGATATCTCTTCACATATGACTTCAAATGTTAGACGAGCGATATAGATTATTCAACGAAGTATATCTACCTTTCTTGCTTAGTCCTAAAACTAAGGCACATATGTAAAGAAATCCTGATTTCATTCAAAATGTTTGATACATTTAAACAATGAAAACGAAAACGGAATGTATTTTGTTTGCCGTTTCCCCGTTTTTTTCAAGGAGGCTAAATTGTGGTAGCTTTAATCAGTACCTTACTCACTCTACCGCGGATCCTCTACGTAACACATCCGGCTGAGATTAGTGATCCAATCTGGCTACGTCTAAGGAAATAACCTTCTGTCCAGATTTTTATACTAACGAGAGAAAATAGTGAGATAATTGAATGCGAGCACTAAAAAATCCCTGCTGATTTCTACTGCCAGACCAAAACATTTATGTAGAACCCAACATTTCTCAATTTTGAAAGTACAATTCCTTTTGTATCTCATCAGTTTTTACGAACAAAGGAGCAGCTCTTCGGTTTCAGCTGACTCTGTTTATTTATTAAAAAACCATTTCCTTATTTTTGACTATAGGACGGTTAAAAATGCATTTGGGCAAACACTTGACAGATGGACAAAGCACTGTAAAATCGTTTCTTAACAACATGGTGTTGGGTAGCCCAATTTTGGCCCTTCTTCAGATGTGCATAATATTACCCCGAAATTCAAGTCAGTGATAGTGGAACGAAGCTCTTCGGTGGCCAAACCTTGAATGAATGAGTAGTCAAAAAGGCGCTTGTATATTCAAAGAGACCACAAACTCTCACAACTGCTGAAGCACAATTTACTGTCCAGCAAATTCAGTCCGTGGAACCATGATAAAAATAATAAGGTAGTTACCTCGATTGACCGGTTTTCTCAACCTACGTCTAAAAATGCTCATTGAAACAACGAGGAGATATATACTGAACAAGATTAGGTTTATAAAAGTTCAGGGATTGGAAAAACAGATTTGAATGTTTATTCACCCATGCAAAAGCAATGATAATAATATCTTATCTTTCTTGATATCCACTGTTTAAGATCATACTCTTCGACCTGAAGAACAGGGTTTTGTGGAATTTCCTGCACACTTCAATCGCTTAAGAGAATAAAATTCCCCTGAAAACCTTTCAGGCGATTTTCACCAAACTCGGCATGTCTGGTCACATCCGTATGTTATTATCTATTCTGAGAGAATAAATGGCAAATACTGTTCAACAAATCGTCAGTAAGAACGTGATAGTTGACTTTGATGTTGGAGATGTTCGTCCGAATCGGGTCGTACAACCGGCAGGGGCTACAATAAGATAATTTCAGCTACCATTCTGTGAGTTTCTGCACAGTGCAGTGTTTTTATTATGGAGATGGAAGGAATCCCTGACGAGAAGCAAATTTTTGGGGTGACATGTTCTTCAGATTTTCGGCTGCTTTGTGGCTGAGATAGTTTCAGCTTGATCACCAGACCTCAGTCCTCACTATCCCGTGCGCAGCACTTCACCTGTGATGACGAAAGTAACACTGATAAAGACCTTTCCATATTATGAACGAAAAACTCAGTTTCTTCTAGAAAAACTATGGAAGCAGCTGAAAAAAACGGCCAACACACATGAAACTGGACAGATTTCAAAAAGAAGATTAACCAATATAATCTGAAAGCTCGGAAAATATTCTTTTGATGAAGATTATTACTTTTGTTGTGTCTGAATATGGGAAAAGTTTGAAAAGTTCAGATAGCGTACAACAGTATGTTCTATTCTTAACCATTATCCATCTCTTATAATCTGAATTGTGATTTCAGGGTGCTGATAACTAATTTTTTTTACAATATCGAGATTTGATCTCTTGGATATTGAATATTTTTCTGCACTCTCATTATTCAACCTTTGCGTCACTTACCCAATAATGGTGTGCTTGTTTGGCTAGTAATCGTTAGTGAAGCATTTGCTTAGAGTAAACTTTAGTTTATGATGGCTAATACGTAGTATTCATTATTTTGTTATTGTCACTACCATATGGTTCAATATACTTAAAGCGCCCCATGCATTCCCTGAATTCATCAATGTGTTGGGTATTTATAAATACCTATAACTATAGTTTAGTTATGGAGTGGAAGAGGCTCAAAAATAACGTGTGGATATGTTTATAGCATTTGCTCATATTATTGTCTTTCGTCTTGATCATCTGGTTGGAAAATGTTTTTGCACTCAACGCAACTTCTACTCCTCAAGAGTTATCAAATGCTGGAACTCGCTGCCTACTGTGCTAGACGAGCCGACTTTCCAGGAGTCCTTTAAGAGTAAACTTGACCTATTCTCAAGGGCTAAGGATAACAACTTATTATAACTTACCAATTTCTTCTGTTTCCTCTATTATCGTTGATATACCTAGGTTCCTGCCTAGAGGTATTGGTGAATAACTGCTACTAGACACGGAAGCCAGCTAAGAAAAAGATCCTTCTATTCCGTCCACAACCATGTGAAGCATCTGAATAACAGCCGTTTTAGTAAGACCAATTAAGATGTGCACTTTTGTTTTATATCCGTGGAATTTATATCAAATGCGTCCAGTGGAGCTTGGTTTTATCAGGTCATTGACTGTTCAAAGTCAGTAACTCGGCATAGTTAAAAGGAAAAAAATTTTGCTTGAGTCAGTGATCAGATTGTTTTTATTTTGACGTTCTTTGGTAGTTTTGTTTTTGTAATTATGATGTAAAAGTTAATATTCTAGCTAACATTTTCGCGTGGCTGAATGCGGATTATACTGAGACGAGGATTTGAACGAATCTGTTGAATAAGCGGACAACAGTGGTTGTGCAATGTAATCCCAGGTTTTTGTTGCCTAACTTCAGCATATTAATCCTACATTGCTTGAACCTTACTTTCCATCTTAAAATTTTTTTATGTTGACCAAAACTAGCTAGGCAAAAACGTTAAGTAGATGTGCAGCAACTCACCTTTGGCTCAGTGATTTATGTACATCATCTGTTAGTCGGTCACATGTTGCACCCAAAGACTATATACTACCGTTTAAGCAATGTGATGGTATCTACAGCGCCCGAAACGCCCTAGTATGACCGAGAGTGGGGAGAGTCAGCTCTCCCTCTCGAAGTGTCTCACATGGCCACGCGTATACCGCCTCTGCCAGGGAAGTCCTACTCACTGCCTTCTCGTGGCAGGGGTGTTGTTTAGAAATCGAGAGGACGAAAAACGAACGTCCGCTGCTTTAACCGGGTTGGTGGACACAGACCCCACCTAGGGGAGTTGGAAAACCCTAATTTTAAACCACTGGTGCACATGGGCCCCACGATCCTGAAAGAACAAATGGTGTGTGGACCAATTTTCGGCCTCCGGCTACAATGGGACTGCATCTCCTTACGATGCTCCACTGCCTTGTGGATCAGACCTTTGGGTCGAAGGCTCCGGGTGTGGTCCCTTAAGGAAACCACCTGCTTCGGTTTGGGCACCCAGGCAGTATCATATCCCCCACACAAATCAAGCGAGATTGGTGTGGCGAATATGTATCTGGTGCTCCCTTGTACCAATATTTGTGTTCAGATAAATAAGTATCTATAGCCCTTAGGTGTATATTTCGATCCAATGAAAAAAGCTCTGCCTGCATATTTTCATAATTTTATTTGTTACACTTGAAATGGTCATTTGGTAAGAAAGAGTTGGGTCATTTTATTTTCTCACTGACACTAAGAATGTTGTCAAGGTGAAGACAGAGTTCTGGGAAATCATTCAGTCACCAGTTTAATGGATGCTTATGGGGTGTTAGATGAGGTCGATGTGCGCTTAATTTCCCCTAGATTTCTCTCCATCCATGGGATGGTTTCGCTGGTTGCATTAGATGCTTAGTATGTGAGTTTACAAGTAGTTGCAAAGCTAAATTTATTTCATAGATACATAGAGTTTTCTTGACTATATGTGTGCCTATAGTTGTGCTGAACGGATTCTATGCACAGCAAATGTAAATGAACAAATTCAGTCACTCGTTATGGTTATAAACGTCTGTTGACTTAAATTACTAAGTCCATTCTAAGACTGGTTAGATTCATTCGTATTCAAAAGAGATATGACTCATGTGCTACATGAGAATTTGTAACATTGCTAAATTGCATCGTATTATCATACTGTCATACTGCTCTGTTTTCAGCAATTCTGTCTAAAACGACTCTGAATACCCACATGATTTTCACTCTTGTTTAGAAAATCATTTTTCTCAACTTGGTTTCACTGTCAACTAATAGACAGTACTTTCCTTTTTTAATCAGAAGGCTTGGGTATTTTGTCTACCTTACAGACTTAAATAACGTTTCTTTTGAAACTTCTTTTGCCATTTCAGGTATCTTTTCACGTTTTATTACAAACAAGTCTTCATATTCACTCAAAAGATATTAGCTTGAGAACGGTTGGAGGATTTATAAATAAATAACATACACAACTTTCATGAACAAGCTCTGGAGATATCATCTGAGTTATAGAACACAAAGCAGGGCACAAACTATTGTGTACCATGCTCAGTGAACCTGCTTCCCCATATGCATTTTGTAAAGATTTGCAGAACTTAATCATTGTAACAGAAGAGCAAATCATTTCACCTTTGCGTAAAGAGTTAAAAAGAAGTGATGAACATTCAGAAATTTTATCACTTGAGATACAAGACGCTGAGGTAATTTGGTGAATATAGTGCGATTTCCGTTATAGAATAAAACTTTTGAATATTTAGCCAGCAGATTTCAGCTATTTGTAATGCTGACGAAGATACAGCTAATGCCATTCTGCGTGAATATCCAAAATCGGAAGTTTGCTTTCGATGTCTCGGTATTAATGATGACACTATACAGGTAAGTGATGAATGTCTTCAGATTTTCATACGTGTCTCTAGGGCCTTCTTCGTATTCGTGGTATTGGCTTTCTACAATTGTTAGATATGCCTGACAGTGAAGTAAGAACAATCTTACAAAATTATGGTGATTATGGTGAGGAAGTTGATCATGTACTTGCTGGTCTTGCAAAAATACGCGGGAATATTGATCTCATCGAAAGTGACTTAGCATTTGAAGATGATACCAGAAACTTAATCAAATTGGTGATGCGTTTGTCTGACGATGATTCTCAAGTTGAAGAACTAAACAATATCCTTAATGCTCAAATTTACGAAGAAAGAAAGGATCCTCGTATACCTCCCTTATATGTTACTGGCCCTGAAGATTCTCCTTTTGTTAACAAGGAGATTTCTGTACAAAACTCGTCTCATAAAAATACCAAAGTAGTTGTTTGCTCTCATTTAGAGCACGATACATCCTGTGGAAATCTTATTAGCCATTCCAATTCCGATAATATTAATACATTTAAAACTGGTTGCGATGTCAACTACAATGGCTGTAGTTCGTTTACTTCCCCACATGCTTCCAGTTGTATCACCATAAATAGTTCACAGAATGTCACAAATAAATCTCATCCCGGAAAATTGTGCAAAACTGATTTTAAGACATTTAATCTCTTCCCGGGTATATCTGATTCGAATATTCCTTCAGAAATTGATCTACATAATGGCGGGCTTTCAGTACCTTCTACTCCCATTTCTTATAAATTATCTTCGACCATTTTAACAACCTCAAATCTTTTTAAAGCAGGCCGTCATACACTACCAAATGAAGTAACCTCACTTTCTCCCGGTGGGCGTCGAGCAGGCAATCATTCGTCTCGAGATCGCGAGCATCAAACTCGTCAGGCAGGGACTCCGCCACCCAAACATCGTTTAAGATTTTCTTCTCCGCTTCATCGTAGCAAGTCTCATGAGTCTAATCTTGCCAATCGTGTTATTTTACCTGCCCTCCCAAATGTACCACAGTTCCACCAAGAAACAAACTGTGCCTGTTATATCAGTAGACCACAACTATTATTATGTAATCCGATTTCCCCAGACGCCTCCAGTAATGTACACAACGATTATTTAAATTATTCTGAGTGCATAAATGGCGGTCGACCATGTATAACTACTACTCAATGTGGTGTATGCATTAACAGCGATGTTATTTCAAATGGGAATAAAACAGTTTCAACATTTTTTCATGCTTGTTCCATTAGTGATAGTACTTCCACAATTGTCACAAGTCCACGTACCTACGATCAAGGTCGACGTGTGTCTTGTGAATATCGACCATCAAAGACTAATTTACAACCTTTAATGACTACATCTGCAGATAGTGATAATTTATCAGGTAGGTTTTTTTTAAATGACGAATTAGACATATCTATTACTTTGTGTTTTTTTTCTTACAATTAATGTATATATTTCGTAAAAGAAAAGATATATATTGATTATAATTTCTGTTAGAAAACTTTCAAATTTTCGAGCTCAATGAATATTCTATTTCTATTACTTCATGAATAGTTGTAAGTCAGCATAATGAATTCATAGTTATACTGGATTTTTTCGACAAACTATTAAATAGTTTATCCTAAGCACTAAAAAACAGTCATTAGCTTTGTAGTCATCTTCATTATATATTTGAGTAGTAAACTTCAATGGTGGTTGCAATGTAAACTTTTAACTTGTAATCATTCAGTGAAAAAAAATTAATGAGTTGGACCTAGTGCTATTCAGTACTCAAAATACATTTATCACTTCACCTATCGGGAAGTGTTATATGACTTATTGATTTAATTAAGTTTAATTGAATATGCTTGCATAACTCACAGTAACGTTGAATGGTTCATTACACTGCTTAGTGAGAAGTAATTTTTTATCTACCCATGTATAGCTGTCTGTGCTGGACTTTTCTCTAGTTCCTGGTTATTCTATAGATCTGGTGACTGACTTTTTGTGGTATTGTGCAACATCGTGATTTCTTGTGTAAATAGCTTTATATTTGTGAACTTTACATGCGTATCACATTTGTTTACGGATTACTTTCTACACCTGTTCAGCTCACATAAGTAAATTTTTGTATCCTAAATTTAAAAAAATGTGGAAAACTATTGTCTTTAATATTAAAACTATAAAGTTAATCTAAGATTCTTTTTTGTGATAGTGAAGTGATAGGCTTAACAGTTAAAACAAGACTTTCAACAAGTAAGTCACCAGGTTCTCACTGCCTCGTCTACTTTGCTCTGAGCAGTCTGAGAGTACCACTAATCCTCACTCAAGTTAAGCTTTGATTAAAAGATTAGTACATAAATTATGTACTTAAAAAATCGGTTACATTAATTTTTCATCCCCATTCACTTTCAGTTACATTTTGTCAGTAACATTTTGTGTGGCTTTAAAATTTGCAGCTAGTCAATCAGTCATAAACAGCATAGAACCTAGCACATATGTGCATCGGTCCGCGTTATCACAACATACAAGCTCAGTTAGATAAAATTTTCAGACCAAAAATAATTGAAAACTGAAAATCTGAGGGAAAACAAAGAGTAACGGTACCTGTACGAATTCGATTGATTCTGAGCCATGTCACCTAACATTTACAACCATTGGTTATAATCATTGCGCGGACCCTAACCAAATGGTTCGAACCTACCTACCTGGTTCATTTAAACATTGTAGGAATTCTTGGACTGACTTGGTGTTTTGGTTTTGTAGCCTCGAGATTTCTTCCAACCTGTTTCTACACTAGCCAACGACTTACGTCTAGGTAGGCGGTATTTGGGGATACTAAATGTATGCGTCGACTCCCTCAGTTGATGAAGATTTGCTCTCATCAATCGACTTATCTTCTTTATATTGTACTGTCCATCTAACCTGAACATTGCTCACTTGATAATAACAAAATACATAGAAGATCCTGCGAATACATCTATGATCAGATATTAGTAACTTACGAATACTCACCATTTTTAGGGGACACGTTTACCTCCATAAAGTAGAACGGGATCAGTGGCTATACAGTTTACTCGTCTTCTGGTTGTGTGACGGATATCTAGTTTATTCCACAAGTGATGTAGGTTGGCAAAAACCAACGACCTTTTTGAATTCAAACTGAGATTTTGTCGGACACTAAACGGCTAGGCCTGACGAGAATCCAACGTTAGTTTATGCCTATAATGTACAAAACGTTTTTATTTCGTAAGGTGAATATCTTTGTGGGTTTGCATTCGTATTTTGTTCTTATTGTTTGATTAAATACACCTTTTTTTAACACTGCGACTTTGCTTTGTAGCATTTTGTGAGTGAAGTTCTTTTCGAAATAAGTAGCTGAAGCTTGGTCTTAAGTAGATTGGATTGCGTTTTTCATTGAGGTGACTTTCACACAAGGTTTTGTCTCTTAGTATTTAGAGTTTTCAAAAGAGTTAACTAAAATATACTGTGGTATGACCTAGAATCACGTTTCAAGCAGTCAGAAGTGATTTTAGTTATAATCCAAATCGTGATATAAATGTCAGTCAGTCAGTAACAACGTAGAAGTTCGTACGTGCGTACATCAGTTCGAGTTGTCACACCACATTAGCACAGAGATGCAGTGGTCAATTCAAATCCAGTAGTGCTAGATGTAGTAAAATCATAAGCTGTAATCAGAAAAATTAGGGTTTGAAGATGTTATTGAAGGAGTATAATCCAGTGAAATAAATTTGGAAAGAAAATAAGGGACATGAATAATTCAGAAGATTAGAATTTGAGAGAACACAAAGAGTGGATGCTCTTGCGCCATTGCAGACGATTTTGGGCCATGTCATTCAGGGTCTCTAAACACCGGTTGCTATCATCTCGCGGTCCCAAACCAGGTAGTCTACACCTACCAATATGACTCACTCCACTTGTCAGTGAATTCATGGACTGGTACTGTGTCTTGGTCTGGCCAACCCTAACTTTCTCCCAATCTACTCCTATACCATTGAACATCGCACGTCGAGGCAGTCGGTGGTTGAGCATACGTAACACGTGTCCCAGCCATCTCAACTGATGAAGTTTCACTACTTCATCAATTGATTTGCCATCCCTACCTAGTACCCGTTTCCTAACAACTGCGTTACTTACTCGATGTTCCCAGGATATACGAGCAATGTTCCAAAGACACTTATGATCGAATACTAGTAACCTACGGATATCCTCTACTCTTATTGGCCACGTTCCACTCCCATGAAGTAGGACCGAACGAACTGCTGCGCAGTAAACACGTCCTTTGGCTGGTAGACGGATATCTCGCCTACGCCATAAATGACGCAAGTCGGCAAAATCTAGTCGAGCCTTCTGTATCCGTGCTGAGATTTCATCACACACCAGACCACAAGGGCTGATAAGACTTCCAAGATAAGTGAAGCGGTCGACACTCTCAACTACTTCACTCTCTATCATTAGTTTGGGTGTTAATGCAACCCAATCCTGAAGCAACATTTTGCATTTCGAGGGGGAGAATCGCATCCCGAACATGTTTGCATTGTTGCTTAGAGTGGTCAAAAGACTCTGCATTTTGTCAGCGTCTTCACCAAATAAAACTATGTCATCGGCACATTCCAAGTCAACAAGTGAATCTCCCGGTAGAAGTTCAACCCCTGTAAATTTAGATGAGGTAGGTGTTATCTCTAAAAGCACATCATCACGTTCGATAGAGTCGAATGCTGCTTTAAGGTCGAGAAAAACTACGACTGTGGGGCGTCTGAATGTGTGTCTGTGTTCCAGAACCTGACGTAGTGTGAATATCTGGTCTATACAACCACGTCCAGGTCGAAAACCAGCCTGATTTTCTCTAGTCTGTTCTTCACGAGCTTTGGTTAGGCGTCGAAGTATTATTGAAGCTAATATTTTAGACACTATATTAGTCAAACTGATTCCTCTGTGATTGTCACAAGAGGACTTTTGTCCTTTCTTATAGACTGGCACAATCAGTGATTGAGACCAGTCAGATGGGATTACGTCCAGTTTCCAAATTCTACCTAAGACCTCAGTTAATCTCACTGCTAATACTGAACCACCATCCTTAAAAATCTCAGGAGTAAACCTGTCAGGACCTGCTGCTCTCCCTCGCTTCAGATTTCCTATGGCTTTTTCAACTTCGTAAAGAGTCGGAGGACCTACATTAACTTGCCATTCAGGTTGACTGGAGATCGTGGGAAACCGAAGTGTAGCTGAAGGCCAGTTGAACTGATCCCTAAAGTGTTCTGCCCATCGATCCAATCTCCTGGATTGAGAATGTATAATATGTCCATCTTTTTCTGAGATTGTTTCGCTAACAGTCGGTTTTTTAATACCGGTTTCCTTAACAAGTCTGAACAATTATCTGCTATTACCTATTGCCGCTGCCTTTTCCATCTCTCTTGCTTTCGCTACCCACCACTGTTCACGATCATTGCGTAGGCTTCTTGTCAGCTTGCGTTTAAGCTGACTCCGCTCTTCGTTATGTTCAGAGCCAGATGGAATGAGTTTTCGAGCATTTATCAGTGCGGTAGATGCTGCTGAGATCCAGTGTTTCTCCCTAACCTTGTGGTTTACCTTACTAGCAGATATCACTGCTGTTTCCACAGCTTTTCGGATATCATTCCATGCTGCCTCGGGGTGGGCATCACATACATGGCTGCCTAACTGTTTTCCTAGTTGTTCCTGAAATATACTCTTAGCTTGACTATCATTAAGTAGGACCCTAAGAGGTTTCCTTGCAGCGTCTTTCCTACGTCCAGTAAGACGCAGACAAATACGCGCTCGCACTAGAGCATGATCTGAATCTAAGCATGTGCTCCAGAATGAGCGACAGTCTTCTATCGAGCCCCTCCATCGGTGGCTGATAGCGATGTGATCTATTTGGGTCCAACGTTGGGACGAATTAGGGGGTCGCCATGTTAAAAGATGTTTTTCCTTATGCTTAAAGTTAGTATTTGCAAGGAACAGGCGGTTATCTGAGCATAGCTGCAACAGACGGTCGCCATTATCTGTTCTTTGAGCCACGACACCATAAGATCCACCCAGGTGTCTTTCCCTTTCGCTTAGTTTGCCTACTTGAGCATTAAAGTCACCGGCCACTATTACTACATCCGAGCGCCTAGCTTTTCGGAGAAGGTCGGAAAGCTTTCTGTAAAACTCATCTTTTACATCATCTGAGCTGCAGTCAGTGGGAGAATAGGCCGAGACGACGAGTGTCCCTATCTTTCCGAGTCCTTACTGTTCCGTTCAGTCGGACAGCGCACAAACGACTGTCTACTGGGATCCACTCTAAGAGAGCTAGTTCTGCCCTAGGACTCAATGCTATACCTACGCCGGCGAGGCCACGGGAAGCAGCATCTGGGCTTCCAGATACACGAAGTGTGAATCGAGTTGGTTGTTTGTTTTGACATGGTGATGTCAAATGAATGACGCTACTCGGATCCTGTATGCGTGTTTCGGAGACGCAGCACAGATCGATGGCGCGAGATTCTAAAGTCCTAGCTAAGGAAGCCTGTTGTCCTATTTGGCACAGTGTTCGGACGTTAAAAGCTCCTACGTGTAGTTTAGAGCGTGGTTTCAGGAGACCAGGAATAACGTTCCGCGTACTCGAATCGTTTGCCCTAGCGGTGCGAGGTGATAAAGAGACGTGAGGAGGGTTAGTCATGGAGATAAGAGAGTATTAGGAGGTGTAGGAAGGATTTGAATGTGACCAACTTGGTCTCGTGTGCTGTTACGGGTATGAGGGCTGATGTCACTTCCCGGCTGCCCACACCGTGGAAGGGTATTTCTTGAGGAACCTGAAAAGGAAATTGGATTAGTGTTGGTCTTAACGACCTGGGAGCGTGACCGCAGAGCCCAAGGGACAACTGCTTGAGGCCGGTCGCGCACGGCCTTTTCGTGGGAGGTTTTTAGTGTGTTAGCTCCGTTCTTCAAAGGGCCTTACCGCTGGAGACGGAAATCCGTGAGGTAAGGTGAGGTGTGACATTTTTAGGGTCAACCTTTTCTAACCCCTTCTTTCCTTGTGAGAAGGCAGCATCGCTGCAGATGCTGGTTGTCCGAGGGAAACACCTTACTGCTGTCATACCCCTCTACAGTCAGCAGTACGAATTCGCCCTCAGACCTTGAGTTGCTGCTTTTAGTCTTACCGTTCTCCAATAGACCTGCCTGGCATGGTAGAACCTACAGGAACATGTGTTCCAGCCAATATAGCTCGGTTGGGTCATCATGATAGGCAAGCCTGACCACTGCGTCGAGGTAGCAGCCACGGTCGGGTGTGATATAAATGTAATACAATTACAATAGATACATAGTTCTAACTTAGTATACGGAGTACCTTGAGAGACATACAAAACACTCTTGATTATGCCCGGAATCACATATAATACACTGCACGTGTAATTTTTGTTACATATACACTTTATATTAGGAGTTACCAGTGTTTTTCGTAACGTAGCTTCCACACCAGATCATACTCACTGTATGTTTGCACAACGGATATATGTTTATCAGTTTTGAGCGTATCAAGAACCGAATAAATGTAAATTTTACTAACATGTGAATGAGGCATAAGTTAGTTGCCGTTTTTGCAACAATCAAGGAGATATTTTATTTCTGATTAGTTCTAAGCTATGACTTACTTTAGCCAGTAGATTAAATGAGTATCCATAATCATCTCTAGTTTGTTAATTTTGTATTTGAAGTAATTAGACATGCTTTCATTTAAATCTAGGTGTCCTTAATGTTCCGACTAACTCAGGTGGGGCCACATTTGTTCTCAGTGCAAGTGGATTTATGCACAAGTGAGTTAGTGTCTATATTTGTGTTTAACAGTTATATGTGTATTTTCGTAGTAGCTGTATACAACTTGGCACTTGCTTAGTGAATTAGTCCTTTAACAGTAAAAAAATGAGTAGATATATGTGTATTGGATTCTGTCATGGTCTGAAGGAATCTTTTGCTCTCTTCAAAATACAGAACTCCCATAGTTCAAAGTCGAACTTCATAGTATTATTCAGAGTTTGTTAAAACTAAAAGCTAATCATAGGGAAATTAACCAGCTGTTAAAACAGTGTTTAAAGTTCACACTGGTAACCGAAATTGAGATTTCCATGTAATTGAGTTCACTAAACGTTTTATGCCATATGTTTGTTAGGTTCATTTAGTGGGCTATTTTAAAAGTTTAATTGTGAAATTCAGAAGTGTTTGTTTGACGAACCAACTGTAGATCATTCGATTATTCGTTTATAAACTATCTTCATGTCGTAATTTTACATTACTGAATGACTTTGGTTAGACAACCATAGAAAACCAGGGATCACTGAATAGCTGCTTCATTTTGGTATAAAACTCTTCACCTGTGGGGATTCACGACCACACCTGGGACCGAAACCTGAATCTTCAGGCCTCGCATCTAGCGCTTAACTTGCAGGCCACTGAGTTGGTATCCAACATTTCTAACCACTACTTATTGCCATTATTGATATGATTGTCTCACTCCAAACACAATGTTGAACTTCACTGGTGACAGCTTCTCAGTGAAACTGAATTTCTTCATCTACGCATAGTTTGATATTAATAATATTGTAGTGAACAGGAACACCAGTGGGGACAATCGAATGTATTTAACACAAAATTACAGGACTTGCTAATGAAATCTAACAATCATAAAGTAAATGCTTAATTTGCAAAATGTCCATCAATTGTCTCAAAGTGACTCAGACTTCATTGTTATTGCATTTTCATACAAATTGCATCCTGTTTTTATTCTTTACCGCTCGCTCCTGTTGCCAGACCTTCTGTTCACGACTGACATCATATACTACTGATGTCAATATAAGTAGCAAACACCACAGTGTGGCTAGATATATTTTTATAACATGTGACACTTGTTTAACATGTTATTTCATAATTTTTCCGTTTCACAGATTCGAATTAGAATCTAAATTTGGTGATTTTGTTAAGGGTACTCCATGCGCTGTTTGTAATAATCGAATGCGATTTCGTCTACAACATTGTGCTTACTGCAAGTAAGTGTGCTAATATATTACTTTACTTGAAAAATGATGATATACATGCACTGTTATATTTTACTATAAAAAGTACACTAGTTGCACCTGTTATGTCCTATAACCCGCCAAATATCACTTGGCGAAATCGCCAATCAGAATAGCGACTGCTATCACCTTGTCTCTGTGCTAAACCAATGATGCGTTAACCGGCACGAGAAGCCTTGAGTCAACTCTGAGACCTTATTGGTCCTCTGTGTAGTAGCCTCTCACCTAGCTCAGCCTATTCAGTTCAGAACACAAATATTAGCCTCTGCTGTGTGAATCGTATATTTCAGACATACGTAGTTTATATGCAAGCAGACCAGGCCACATAACAAGATAAAACGAAAAAGAATCATTATACAAGATCATGCCAAAAGTGGCTGTGACTATGGGATACTGTAACTAATAAATTTTCCATGATTATTATTAAATTTTGATTGAGATCATGAGTCGATCAGTATTAGACCGCCATTGAAAACCTGGAAGCATTAAACGGTCGTTTCGTCCTAGTTTGGGACTCCTCAGCAGTGTGCATTCATGATCCCAAACCACAAAAACACGACTGTCCAGTGCTTCCAAGTTTTCAGTGGTGGTCTAACATTGATTGATTCGTGATCTCGATCAAAACTCTATCTCTACAACCCTAAACTGATATTATTCAATTGTTATTATGACCTTTACGTTTTTCAGTTTTTTGTGTATCTGTCAAGTGGACAATTATCTCTCATATTTCTAACCTGTAAATTATTTTCACTCTCTTACTCTTCTCTAACCCTTTGATCCTTACTCAACCTCATTTGATATTTGGAGTCTCGAATCTTTTGATGATGCAATCTTTCCTATCCTTCTATAGACTCATATATTTACCATACAACCATAAGTACGAAGGTACAGCTTATGTAAATGATTTCATCAGAAAGTGAAAATTTTCTCCTCTAAATTCGCTTTATTTTTATTATTGAGTGTACAAGTAAATTGCTTAAGATTAGGTTTCACTGTCTTGACTTGTTATTGTAACACTATACACAATTATTTGACTTTTTTTAAAAAATCTCTGTGCATAGAATCAAAGTACATAAAAGTTGCGTTTCTCATTCAAGACGACTTCCTTGCACAGGACCTTCCAGTGGACAAAACAATGAATTACACGATTTCAAAGGTAATCCATTTTAATATTCTCTTAAATATAAGTATGAGAGATATATGAAATTACCCAGGTTTTATTGCATTGTAGATATTCTTGCGTCTAGCTAAACAACTGATTCCAAGTTCATTTTAGTGGTAAAAATATCCTCTACATGCATACTTTAATCAGGTTTTATTTTAGTATAATTTCAAATCAAATAACTCTCATCAACACCACAACTAATTTTCCACATTCAACAATATTCATACACTTAAATAGTTTGTGTTTTATTACAAAGTCGTTTTAAGTATGCGAAATGCCCTGATAAGGCCGAGAGTGGGGAGAGTCAGCTCTCCTTATTCGAATGCTCTCACATGGCCACGTGTATACAGCCAGTAAAGTCTTACCCACTGCCTTCTCGCGGCTGAAGCGTCGTTTAAGAAATTAAGAGGACGAAAATCTAGTGTCCGGCACCTTAACTGGGTTGGTGGACACGGAGGGTCCACCTAGTGGAGTTGGAAAACTCTGATTCCAAAGCAATGGTACATATGGGATGCACGATCCTGAGTGAACGAATGGCCTATGAGCCAGGTATTGTTCACTGGCTACCATGGGACTGAATCTCCTTGTGGATCAGATCTTTAGGTCAAAGGCTCCGGGTGTAGCGTACTAAGAAAATCAACTGCTTCGGTTTGGGCAATCGGGCAGTATCACAGATCATACACAGTTCAAGTGATTTGTGTGGTGCATATGTATTTGGTGCCCCTTTGTATCAATATTTATGTGTTCAATTTAATAAATATAAAATAAATTCGATAATTTTTAGTGTTTAATGATTTCCCTGAAGAAGTTCGTCCTCAACTATTTTAATTTCAATTATTTACTGGGATTTTTATAAATATAATTCCTTTTTATTACTCTTAACAATAAGTGGAAGCAAGAATAGAATTTATTCAGTAAATATCGTCATTTTCATTTTATTTGAAGAAGGGTGTGCCTGAGAAGTTTATTAACATCCTAAAGGCCCTATATGCAAACATCTCAGGTAGAATGGGGGCATACAACCACCTTTCTCCATTGTTCCATTCGAGCAGTCAGGTCAAACAGGGTTGCCCAACCTCACCAACAGCCCTGATGGATGTAAGTAATGGTGGTGTGGATCTGTTGCCTGGAGAAAGACTTCTCGACCTTGAGTATGCGGATGATATTGTCTTACTGTGCGATAATGCCCAAGTCATGCAATCCGCATTTAGTCAGTTGGCAATCAATGTCCATAGGTACGGTATGTGCTTTGCACCTTCGAAGTGCAAAGTACTTCTACAAGACTGGCAGGATTCCAATCCTGTACTCACCCTGGATGGTGAGCAGATAGACGTAGTTGAGAAGTTCGTGTATCTGGGTAGCTGCATAAAGGCTGGTGGGGGTGCGAGTGATGAGATCAATGCACGTATAGTGAAGGGCAGAGCGGCGTATGCCAACCTCGCTGTAAGAGGTCGGATCAACAACGCGTCGGTGAGAGCAGTTTTGCTCTACGCTTGTGAAACCTGGCCTCTCCAAGTTGAGGACGTTAGACGACTCTCTGTGTTCGATCATCGCTGTCTCCGAAGGATTGCTGACATTCAGTGGCAACACCATATCAGTAATGCAGAGGTTTGGCATCGTTTGTTCAGGCACAGAGGCGATAATTCAATTGGTGTCACCATCTTGAAACACCGACTTCGGTGGAAACATCTAATAGAGTGTTATGGCGGAGCGGTGTTAGGTGTAGCGATCGCTGTTGTTGAAGCGATGATGTGAGAACTATGGTTGCTGAACGAACAGGAAATGTAGACGGTGCGGTTGGTCGACATCACTCTGGAGGTCAGCGCGCTGGTCGACTGGACATATCGATGTGAGGCGTGGGACAGATTGTACCAGAGAAGTGAACGGTACGGTCAGCAGAATGAACGCGAAAGTGACTCCCGTTTAAACGGATGACGAGTGTAGTTATGCTGAATTGAACTGAATTTAAGAGAACAGAAACTAAAATAGGGATCAGTTGTAATAACAACAGAATTGAAAGAATCATAAAGTTTGTAAAGGATAACTGAAGGGAGATGTGCAAATAGTGTACTTAATGAATAATTTTCATATTTTACGAAGGTACTTTTTAATTTTACATTCAATCATAAATTGGTTTTTCCCATCTGAGTTCTCGTTCACTTCAGTACCATAAATCTCCATAAAAAACGACGTATTCCTAAAAGTTAAGTATACAAACATATGTACATTTGGTAAATGATTTTCTTTTAACGATTCACTCCAAAAAAATTTGACATCTAAACCAAATCTTCTACATGACAGCTGAAGATATTCATGAGTTTAGTATCAAAGATGACATTTGATTGTCTTGATATTTATTTTTAACTATTCGACTACTTTAAGACAATAGTATACCAATGTTGATATTATCACTCATTGTTTCAATAGACATTGTTATTGTTAACACTATAGAAATTTGAACCCCCTCCCTTATATATACAAAACAATTTGTCGTAACCTTGAATTTACCTTGGTAATCCTTAAGTCATTCTATGACCTAGGATAACGCGACAATTTGTTACATATGTAAAATTGTTTCGCTCCTTTTTATCAGGATGGGTTCTGTGGAGAAAACCTGGAAGCACTGAACGGCCGTCTCGTCCTAGTATGGGACTCCTCAGCAGTGCGCATCCACGACCCCACTCCCCGCGAGATTCGAACTTAGTACCTATCAGTCTCGCGCCAGGCGCTTAACCAACTAGATCACTGAGCCGGCATCCAACGGTGTTAATGTCTAACTTCAACCAATCCACGAAGTTGCGCTATCGTACACCATTGTCTTCAGTGAGTTGATATTTCACAACAGACCTGGTTGAACTCCACTGGTAACGGCTTCTCACTAAAACTTCAGGGGTATCTCCTGAAGTAAGTCACTAATGAGCAGGCGATTTTTATCAGATTGGGTTTTGTGGAGATTTTTTAGAAATTTCACTGGTCCCATACTAAGACGAAACGGCCATCCAGAGCCTCCAGATTTTCCATGATGGTCTAGCTTCAATTGACTCATGATTTCAACCAGTGAAATCTCTCCCGTTTGTTATTTTTGTTGATTTTTTTTATAATTTTTTTGCTTGAACTTGATTTAAAATAGACCTTTATTAATTCTTATATAAAATACCCTGACATGTATATATGTGTGATCAGATTGTTCGAAATGTATGTAGCACAAATACATCCCCATATTCATCAGATCAACTCCATCTTCTCATTGTTCTATTGAAATTTAGAAAAAAAAAGACTAATTGCTTTAAAAAATAGCATTTGTTCATGCACCCTTATATACAATAGTAAACAGTCTATCTGTTGACTTTTGAAGTGAATATTTTATAATGAATGTATATTGATCTATGTGTACATATTGATGATTGTACTGTTTATCTATGCGTATATTTTTCATTTTTATTTTAAAAAAGTAGTTGATACATTTTGATATATATCAGAAAGGGGTTTTGTGATTGAAGCTGAGGAGTCTCACAATAGGACGAAACGACTATCCAGTGCTTCCAGGTTTTCTATGGTGGTCTAGCTTCAATTGACTTATGATCTCAACTATTAAATAAAATTACATTTTGATATATTAACAAGATATATGATTGTTGTGTAATTTTATTATCTTAATCATTACTTTTAAAGGTTCTCCAAATATGCCTCGTCAATTGCATACGAACGTTTTAACAACTAGTCAAACAAATCTTCGTCCTGCACATTCTACTCCAGCATTTCAAGTTAGTTAATATTAATAATAATAGTAACAATATTTTATTCTTTTTGACTTATTTGTACAATATTAACATAATTATGGAAGAAAGTAAACAAGTAATATGTATAGAACCTTAATTATATCATTTGTTGGATTCTGTCATTTTATTTTATTTTATTTGAAAACATAAATATTGGTACGAAGAGGCACCGAATACATGTGTGTCACACAAGTTACTTGATTTGTGTATGAGCTGTTCATACTGCCGGGGTGCCAAGCTGAAACAGGTGGTTTTCTTAGGGAGCTACACCTGGAGCCTTAGACCCAAAGGTCTAGTCCACAAGGTAGCGAAGTAACGTCAAGAAATGCAGTCCCATAGTAGCAGGTGACCGATTATTGTTTCATACACCACTTATTCCCTCAGAATCCTGAAGCCTAAGTGCACCATTAGTTTGGAATCAGGGTTTTCCAACTCCCTAGGTGAACTCTCTGTGTCCACAAACCCGATTAAAGCGCCTGACGTTCGCTTTTCGTCCTCTCGATTTCGTAAACAACACATTGGACGCGAGAAGGCAGTAAGTATGACTTTCCTGTCAGTGGCTGTATACGCGTGTCCATGTGAGAACATCTCTAGAGGGAGAGCGGACTCTCCCCACTCTCGGCCGTACCAGGGCACCTGGATTCTGTTATAGCTTAAATAACTGTTAAGTCACGTATCAGGCTCAATCAGTCTAGTTAGAACCTTTAATGCTGTCCATTTTTAGCTCAATTATTGTTATATGTTTGATATATCTAATATTTGAGCGCTTGATTTTGGTTTTCTAATTGCTTCCTAATCCCTCAGAAATCTCGTACAATTTTACCTTGAAGAGGGTAAAGGAGGAGGGTTGGGCATGGGGTTAGCGTCCCATCCCGTAGAAAACTAACTCGCTAAAAAAACGCTTACCAACTCTGGAAGATGTAGAATCCTTCACATATCTGGGAAGCATCGTCGATAGACATGGAGGTTCAGATGCAGACGTAAAGGCGAGGATTGGCAAAGCAAGGGCCGCATTCCTACAATTGAAGAACATATGGAACTCAAAACAACTTTCAACCAATATCAAAGTGAGAATCTTCAATACGAACGTCAAGGCAATTCTACTGTATGGAGCTGAAACTTGGAGAACTACAACAACCACAATCAAGAAAGTACAAGTATTTATAAATAGCTGTCTACGCAAGATACTCAACATCCATTGGCCGGATACCATCAGCAATAGCCTTCTGTGGGAGAGAACAAACCAACTTCCAGCTGAAGAGGAAATTAGGAAAAGACGATGGAAATGGATAGGACATACATTACGCAAATCGTCAAACTGCATCACGAGGCAAGCTCTAACTTGGAATCCTGAAGGGAAGCGGAAAAGAGGAAGGCCAAAAAACACATTGCGTCGGATAATAGAAGCAGATATGAAAAGGATGAATTACAACTGGAAGGAGCTGGAAAGGATTGCCCAGGACAGGGTTGGATGGAGAATGCTGGTGAGCGACCTATGCTCCTTCACGAGGAGTAACAGGTGTAAGTAGTAGTAGTAGTAGTAGTAATCAGATTCGAATCCTGGAGTGAACAACTCAACTCTGTGATTCAGTTACATCCAACTGTTCAGCTGCAAATAAGACGAAACATGCATCTTAGCTTCTACTTCAAGCCACCATCTATCATCTTTGCTGATAAATTTATTTATTTATTTATTTTGACACATAAATATTGGTACAAGGAGGCACCAAATACATATGCGCCACACAAATCTCATTCGATATTTGTGAGGGCCGTGATACTGCCCGATTGCCCAAACCGAAGGTTGTGGTTTTCTTAGGGGGCCACTCCCCGAACCTTCGACCTGAAGGTCTGATCCACAAGGTAGTGGAGCATCTTAAGGAGATGCAGTCCCATGGAAGCCGGTGACCAACAATTGGTTCATGCGCCATTTGTTCCCTCAGGATACTGGAGCCCATGTGCACCATTGGTTTGAAATCTGGTTAAAGCGCCGGACATTCGCTTTTCGTCCTCTCGATTTCGTAAACAACACCCGTGATGCGAGAATGCAGTGAGTAGGACTTCCCTTGCAGAGGCTATATACGCGTAGCCATGTGAGAGTATTTCGAGAGGGAGAGCGGACTCTCTTCACTCTCGGCCGTACCAGGGCATTTGGGGTTTATAAAGTACATAAATGTTTCTTTTAAAATTTCAATAATATGGTTGTCTTTGATCGTTGAATGATACAAACAACTTTAAATATCAGTGATCATTTTAGATTTCAAGTGTTTTCATTGTGTGGTATCTAACGTCTTTTCATTATAACCTGTAATAGGGAAATTAGTTTAATTATGTGTAATTAACTGAACTATAATGATGATTATGTCATAAACGACTTATTCAGAAAGTATGTTAAGCTAGCTCTCTTTTTTTCGTTGTTGTTGTTGTTGTTGTTGCTTAAGAGCATATTGGCTGAATTGACTTATTCATTGCTTTACATAATGCAAAGTTAACAAGTTTCACAGTACTGTTTTTTTTAAAAAAAAACTGAAAAGGAAGTTTAAAATGTTGAATTTAAGACAGTGACAATAAGGTAGATATTAGATGATAGATATTGGATACATTAGTTTTTGCTTATGTACCTAGAAATGTCCAAAAGACTACAGTCTAGATTTGTCACTCTAGCAATAATGAGTTCTATTAGTTTACATCATGGATTGAAATCCGATCAATATAATTAATCTATAAATTACAATCACCACGTTAGGTTCCAATCTCGTTATTTGCATCTACCGACTTGGATCAAATGAACAGTTATGGATTTCAATAATCATCACTAAACGGATTGTTTACAAAAACGGGATTGGAAATAATTAACTGTATGTATGTATATGCAATCATCATCTATTTTGACACACAATGTTGGCTTGTTCAGGAGTAGGTTTATCAAACCTAAATGAGACATCAATCTATTAAGTTATTGATTATTAGAGAGCCCTTTAGGTTATTGCAAACTACCGGGTTAGTGTCCGTGTGATTATCGTAACTAGTGTATCAGAATTGGTCGCTGTAAAACAGATATGTTTACTATTTGTTTTCTCTTAAATCTTGTATTTTTTATTCCACGAATGCATTCTTTGTACTCGAATCATATTGTTTATGTCTAATGTTTTCTACTACCATTGATACTATTACTACTTTTAATATTCTGATATTTATCTTGATAATTCCACATCACTGTGTTGATATAATGCGGCAAATCGAACTTATGTATATATATACCTTCACACTAACATTGGTACAGGGAGGCACCAAATATATATATGCGCCGCACAAATCATTCGATTTGTGTGAGGGCTGGAATACTACTCAGGTGCCCAAACCGAAGCAGGTGGTTTTATTAGTCTGCCACTTCTCAAGCCTCTGACCTAGAGGTCTGATCCACAAGGCAGTGGAGCGAAATCAGAAGATACAGTCCCATAGTAGCCAGTGGCTGACAAAAGGTTTATACGCCATTCGTTCCTTCATGATCCTGGTGCCCATGTGCACCATTGGTTTGGAATAGTGATTTTCCAACTTGTAGTTGGATCCTCCATAAGCGTCGGACATTCACTTTTCGTCCTCTCAATTTTGTAAACAACACCCCTGTCGCGAGAAGGTAGTGAGTAGGTTTTCCCTGGTAGTAGTTGTATTTCGAAGCGAAGTGCACAAATTAGTCACATTGTAACCGAGTTAATAACAATAGAGTAACTTACGTTTACTTACATTTTTCAAATAAAAATTTCCATTTCATTATTTTTTTTATCTCTTTCTCTGTATCTGTGCTGTGCAGAGTTCTGATTCAAACAGTGCTTCGTCATGTACAAGTTCTACACCAGGTTCACCATTTGTCACCGGTACATCATTAATTAGTACAACATTAGCTGCATCATGTTGTACTCGTTTAGACAGTGGTTATGTTGGTGTTGGTAGTAATAGTGTTAGTGTTAGTTGTAGTACTACCGGTCAAATGATTTCATTATCTTCTCCTCCATTACGAAATTTAAGCAACAGTGGTGGTTGTATGTTTAATCATTCTAATCCAAGTCATTTATCTTCACCAGTTAGTATACATTCTTACGGAACTGTTAATGCTGGAATTGTAACTAATACACAACAACAACAACAGCCTCATTCTCCTCGACATTCCGGCCAATGTTTTAATCACTTTGAATTTCCAAGTAAGTATTTTCGTATAAATTCATATTTAGTATATACATTTTATCGTTATCTTTTTTTGTGTAGTCATTATCATGTCTTGTCAATTATACGCATATCTCCTGCTGTAAAATTCAATTGTAGATCAATTGGCGATATTACTCGATTTGATGATAGATATATAAATATTACTTATTTACACCTGTTACCCGTCGTGGAAAAATAGGCCACCAACCAACATTCGTCAACCAACTCTGTTCTGGGCTCTGCTTGTGTATATATAATTCCTTCTTCTACTCAATAATATGCGTTTTTATGTAGATGAACACTTCATTTACGGCTACCACTTCATTAAATTTCGTTGGAAAATCACCAGTCACATACGGTATTTTGTGCTGAAACAAATTTAATACAATGATACTTGGTCTACCAGTGTTTTTAAAAATAATCGGTTCCATGTCTAGACTTAGATAAATAAGTAGTATCGTGTTCAATTTTCCCCTTATGTCTAATAAAATCGGCTATCTAAACCAACAGGTCGAAGACGTAGTTAAAATATGTGGTAGCAAATATTAAGGAGAGGTGACCGTCAACCCTCCCGGGAGCGCTTATGCTTATGTATATGTCATAAAGTGCAAGAGTGAAAGTCTTTTTACAAGTGGTACACATGTAATGTGTAAAAGAAATCCACTTGTAACAAATTCGTTCGAAGGGAGTGGAAACCATCTGCCCTTCACGGGGGGGGGTGAATATACATATGTGTACTCTATGGGATACATAAGCGAAAACCTATATGTTACCGATGTGCATGTGACGTGTACTTGCCCCTAGTACGGGTCGCGCGCTAAGACCAGTAACTGCTGGTTTCCCCACAAAATCACATCCTCGGGGTGAGCCTTGAAACACGGAAACTTTTCAGAAAAGCCAGTGGACTTCACCAGATAAAGCTTTACGAACCTTGAACGGCTGAGCACCACATACCATGTTCAATCTTCAGGTAAGAAAGTATTTCTCGCTCTTTTAAGTAGTTTGATAAGTGTCAGGCAACCAAAAACAACATGTTACCTGGAACGAATTTGTGTCGACTAAGTCGCTACACACAATTTCAGCATAGGGAAAAGGGAAGTTAAAAATATATTTAGCGAACTGATTTGGAATAATCATTGTACTAATGATAATGATATCGTTCGATGATGAATTTATGGGATAAAAAAGTACAAAACATTATTTAAGTCCAAAGTTCTAGAGGCAGATATTTAATAAGTAGTATACCATCCGTTTTCCAATGTTCAGTAAGTGTGCGACGTGTAGCATTTTCGGGGATCTTTCTGTTCACTTATTGAGTGTGGGCTACGCGTAAATATATGGTTCTCATTAACGCTTTCGTTACGAACTCTAGCTTTCGCTGGTTTTCGGAGTTTTTCATCTATCAGTCTGGACTGCACTACACTGCTGCGTTCATAGTTGACGGATTCGAATAACTTAAGATTCTTAAGGTGAAATCTTCAGTAAAAGTTACGTTTACATACAGTACATAACTACTAAATTGACGGAAAGGTGGGCGAAAATACTGGACACCACATACTTACTGAACGTCGAACAATAGGTGGATGACCCCACACCATGTATCCGAGACAATCTAACCAATTTTTAGGATCGTAATGAGTTGTCTGACCTATAAGTCTGATCCACAAGACAGTGGAGCAACGCCAGAAGATTATTTTGTTAAAATTGAGCTGAAATATACATTAACCAAATTTTCGAATAATTGACTATCGATAGTAAATAATAGTTTGCTCTAAGATAGAAAATGACATCGTCCATAAAATCGTTGGAAAACGTTATAAGCTACATAAAAAACTCCTGTTATGTACATTTAAGTTTCATTACTGCAAATATTTTAAGCGACAGATTTGATAGTCTATTATGTACTTTTCGGTTTATAAGATGCATAAAGTTTCTAGGTCATTAGTAGCACTTTCCAATCGTGTCTCCAATGTCGTAGATCAGCTTTTTAACCTTGGATTATTCAGTGTAAGTATGCTGCAGGGCTTGACCTCAGCTCCTACCTTGATGTGATGTCAGGCTTGTGTGTTGTGATGACTCCAACGAGCTAAATTGGCGGAAACCTGTGTTATTTTAGGTCCTATCATGCTAGACAGGTCGGTTGGAGAATGGTAAATCTGAAAGCAGCACTTTGAAGCCCGAGGTCGAAGTTTTACTGTGGGCTGTCGATAGGTGTGCCAGCATTAAAGTATTTCTCTCGACCAACCAATGTCCGCAGCGATGCTGTCTTCTCATCAGAGAGTTAAGGAAGGTGGACCCTTGAAGCCACACTTCACCCTACTCCGGCATTAAGGCTTTTTAAAATGCGGAACCAACGCATAAAAATTCCTATAATCAGGTTTTTAGACTAGTATCAAGCAGTTGTCTCTTGGTCTCTGCGGTCACACTCCCAGGTCAATAATGTCACTCCTAGTCCAGTTTCTTTTTCAGGTCCGCAAAGGAGAAATATTTTTTTCACTGTATGGTCAGCCGGGAAGTGAAAACCGCTCTCAAAAATGCAACACACCCGAGATCACCATGCTACAGGGCTGAGGATTCCAAGCTGGTGCTTGGGTTTTGATAGAGCTTTATGATTTCCCAAATGTATATCCCATCTACCTCCAGCGTGCTTTTGCTAATTTCCTTTTCAGCTAATAGTTGGTTTGTTCTCTGGGACAGTGATTAATTAGCTTCTATAGTTTATCAGCTTTAAATATTCTATGGGAAATTGTAAACTACCGAAATCTTGTCCACTGATAATTCATCTTCATTGTTAGATTTTCTAGTGTAATTGTTGCCGTGGTGTATGCTACTTATGTCGATAGACACAAATTAGTATGTGACACTAATCTGAAGTGGAATGCCTGGCAGCCGAATATCGAAAACATCGAATTGAAGAGAACAAGGATGTAAGCAGTAGTTAATTAGAACTGTCTTTCGTATAGTACTTATTTTTCACTGGTTGAAATCTTGAGTCAATTGAAGCTAGACCATCATCGAAAACCTGGAGCACTGGACAGCCGCTTTGTCCTAGTTGGGACTCCTCAGTAGTGCGCATCCACGATCCCTCCCCCCGCGAGATTCGAACCCAGGACCTATTGGTCTCGCGCGCGAGCGCTTAACCATTAGACCACTGAGCCGGCATCCAACAATGTAATGTCTAACTTCAACCAATCCACGAAGTTGCGCCACCGTACATTTGGATACATTCAAATGTTTCAGGATTGGTGTTTACTTGTATAATTTCTAATCATAACGTGTTTACAATAATGTCATGAATAATATTTGTATTGTATTTCTATTATATTAAAGGTGTCAGTCATCCAATTATAGATAATCAATTAGTAGACGGGAATTTCAATAATAATGTGAATAGTAATAGTCCTTTAATTAGGTAAGTGTTGGGTTACCGCTTCACATTGCCAATAGATCGGTTTTATCACATACTTATAATTTTTAGTTTATATGTCAATCTTCACTTAATAGAACTTAATGTAGCTTATCTTCAAGCTAATTTGCATCCCTGAAACCAACAGCTTAATATACAAATAATTCAACATAATCTAACCAGAGGTTATGCTCTGTGACATTGTTCATGTATTTGGCAGTTTGACAGTATATGTATATCGATTGATAATGCTAAACAGTAATAAGCTTTCACATTACTTAACCCTAACATTCTGCAAGAAGGACAGAAGTATTCTTCACAAAAAAAAGAAATAAATGATTATACGCAGCTATTTACCATTCATTACTTGTTTTACTAACATCAGCGTCAGCTGCGTTGATTGTAGTTTATTGTAGAGGAGGTGTAATCAGCTCATTCAGCTGGGTGTTTCTGACTCCTTGTAGAGGTTATTGGTTATACAGTAAATCAAACTATAGGATATATGAATAAATTGAGTTATAATAGTCATTTGTAACTAAAATGTCATTATTGAATGATTTTATTAGTAATCTAGATCAATAGACTACTTCTTTTACTGTACTAGTGTTTTCATTGGGCCCTGACCCAGTCAGTGGTCGGTAATGGTGAAACATTTGTTTCGAGACCTAATGGTCTTAATTTCGACCCCTGAGGAATGCTAAAGAGTCCTGTACTAGGATGAAACATCTATCCAATACTTTCTAGTTGCCAATGGTACTTCTCTAGTGGATTCTACTTGCAAGATTGTTTGTAAGTATTGTGTAGCGAAATGTGACGTCTGAGTTGCTACATTTGTCACACTAAGTGAACAGTTTTAGTCTATCGAAAGTATGGCGTTGGCAGAATACTTGGAGATCAGGAGACATGATATTTCAAATTTCAGAACACACCTAAGATGTGAATCGAAGATTGAAATCTATGTATCATATTATTATATAAATACTTTATAACTTCTTATAATAAATACATTCCTCCTGTCTATTGTCATGTTTTACATTTCACCTAAAGTCAATCTGTGATGAATACATTCAGCCCCGCCCCCCCCCACCTAAAAAAACCTATGATCTGTTCATATAAGGAATTATATACTGTAAATGTTTATAGTTCAAATCAATCGAATGATGGATGTTATAACCTTAATGTTTTACTTAAATCATCAAACTGTCAATCGTCATATAGCTTATCATGAATAACGTGTTATCATCAATGATGTATTGCAATTAATTACTTTCTAAGTGTTTCATTTCAATTAGTTATTCACATGATCTGTGAATTAGATTAGATCACATCATTACAAAACAATAAAATCAAATTTGTCCGATCAAACTTATTAAGATTATAATGTAGATGGATGATACAAATGATACTGATCAGTTATTGTTATGTCATTGATAAATATGATTCTTTCTGAATGATCGTAGTGATGGTGATAGCTCAATCATGTCTTATTGATTAAATTGTGTAAGGTTTAACCTGACTATTTTTTACATGGTTTAATTAGGAGAATTTTTTGTCGGCTAATACTTGAACTTAGCAATAATTTCTATATTTAGAACCAATTCCTATCAGATTTGAGGGACTATTTTACTTTAAATAGTATTTATTTATTTTTTAACCTTTGAAAATTCTTATAAAACTTCTTTTACCATCTTTTTGTAGTACTGTGTCTTCTGGAGAAAGTGAACGAACTGTTGTTGATGTAAGTTTTGTTATCATAGGCTACAATTTATCGACCTGTTTTCTGTTTATTACCATTTCATACTTTTATTTATGGTATGTAGAAGAAAAAGAGTAAGCATAATAATAATGATACTTACAACTGACGGATATTTATGGAGTATCGGATTGACAACAGATTATGGACGTTAATGGTGGTTTGTTGAAGAATTCATTAATACTACCTCAAATAGGTTTACCTCTCTGAATTGTCGTGAAGTTCTGTATTACTTTTATTGTGATAAACATGATAGGTTCATCTAAAGAGTGTGAATTCCGTTACTTAGCTTATCACTGAACATCGGTGATACTACTCGGCTGTCCAAAATAGAGTAAATGGAGCGGAGTTCGGACGTGCGAATTAGTTACTAAAAGTCAACTATTGAACCAGTATTTGATCTGTCCAGGTTTGAATGGTGGTTCATGATCTCAGTGACATTTCTTATCATCATTCTCCGCAGATCAGTATTCATTCATCAATATTCGTTTCACCTAGTTCTCCAAGTTTATTTATATCAGCTTTTTCTTTAATCCATGTATTTCTAACTTTGCTACGTGAAATCCATAGTCAATTACTCACGCCTGTTAATCCTAATGGAGCGTAGGCCTCAGACCATCATTCTCCAACCCACTTTGTCCTGGGCCTTCTTTTCTAGTTCCATCCAATTCTTGTTCACTTTTCTTATGTCTATTTCCATTTCTCGGTGTAATGTGATTTTTGGTCTTCCTCTTCTCCTTTGATATTGAGGATTCCATGTGAGGGATTGCCCTGTGACTCAGTTGGGTGCATTCCTCAATGTGTGTCCTATCCACTTCGAGCGTTTCTTCCTCCGCTGAGATCTGGTTTGTTCTCTCCCACGTGAATCAACAGTTAATTTCTAAATGAATGTCAAGAATTAGGTTTGGAGATTAAATGGTTGAGTAATTGACTACGAAAGCCGAGTTCCATAGTCAATTAGTCAATTTATTTAATCTCCAAACCTAATTCTTGACATTCATTTTGAAATTAATCGTTGATTCACGTTTAATTTACTATTCATTTATTAGTTATTTCGAATTATGAATTTTTTTCGTTTCTATGTATAGTAATATGTGTGCCAATTATTTTGGAATATCCGCCTACTATCTCTCTCTCTCTCTCTCACACACACACACACTCTATCACTTATAAACATATACACATGTATACATCTTAGTAATTTTATCTGTTTACTTAATGTTTTGATCTTTCATGTTTACTCAGAATGCAGTACACCGGTTTGAATCAATGGATAGTCAAGATGAATCATCTTTAATGAGAACTAATAGTGTAAGCTTAATTATGTTTTGGTAAATGTGAATGATGAAAAAGTGTCTATTATTATCACCATTTAATAAAAGAATGATAGTTCAGTGAAGAATATTTGCTTTTCTATGATGAGATTTGGTAATGCTATACAATCGTGTTTGCACTTATACATCATACTCTATGATTGGTTGGTTGGAAAATTCAAATGATCTAATGATTAAGCGCTCATTACAAGATATGAAGGTCATGGTTTAAATGCTCCTGTAAGGTCGAGAATGCACGCTACTGAGAGAGATTTCATACTCGGATGAAACAATGTCCGATGTTTCCTAGTTTTTAATGGTTGTCTAATTTAGGCTGGTTCATGGTCTCAATAATATAGAAGAGAGATATATGAAAGATAATTATCCGTTTTTGACGAATCTAAGAAAGAGAAGTGATGAACGTGTTTTAAAAATAATTAACAAAACTAACAGGGAGTGTTGAAACGATGTCAAATAAAAGATTAGACATACCATCCCTGTATATGGAGAATACACTTGACTCGATGAAATGCACAAATTTTACATCCCGCTTCTCTTGGAAATTGGCCCGTTTGACTTTGTAAATAATTTTAAATGAAGATTCTTTTAGAGGCAATTAGGTGCAATTGTTCCGTTATAAAACTATTAATTGATTGGGACTTAGCTTTAGATAACTGTACTAGGTAATGTTTGTTTATGCGCTTGGAAAGTGGACGTTTCGTGCAGCCAGTATATCAGGTTCCAGTACGATGGACGATGATATATTGTGTTTTTTCAGTTAGCGTTCATTAGAGTCTTCCTATAATGTTCATTACTCTCATTGAATAATCACTGAAATTTTCCTTCTTTTAATATTCCATAAGCTTCTGAAATATCAAGGTCATAAGTAAACCTATAAATATTCTTATTTCCTATGGTTGTAATACCCTTGGACGTATAACGTTTTTTCCATATTTCCTGCCTTATGTCTCATGGTTAAAAGTGAAATGTAAAATACATCTTTTGGACTAAAGAATGGTTAAGAATTCAAAGGTTCGTATACCAGACGTATTAATCTCACTGATCGACAATATTGATTCCGAAGTTTATCAACTTTATTTCAGTTTCATATCAAGATTAGTTTTACTAGTTACGATGGAAGATGGTCGCGCGATTTCGTGGATTGTTTGAGGTTAGACATCAACATTATTGGTTGCCGGCCGGTCCAGTGGTCTAAAGGTTAAGCGTTCGCGTGCGAGACCGAAGGCCCTGTGTTCGAATCCTGTGAGCGGGATCGTAGATGCGCACTACTGAGGAGTCCCACTATAGGACAAAACGACTGTCCAGTGCTTCCACGTTTTCAATACTCGTATAACATCAATCGGTTCATGATCTCAATCAAAAACTTAATAATCTCCATAACCCTATGCTGATAATTAAATTAAATATGTTCATTTAAGTTTCGTGTACCCGCTGATGATCATTGTTTTACGCTATTTATTATAATAGATATCAGTTACACTAAAAGAATGGGATATACCAATGGAAAATTTATTTATTGGTGAAATAATTGGACGTGGTACATTTGGTACAGTATATCGTGGTAAATGGCACGGTGAAGTAGCTATTAAACGTATAGATTTCGATCCAGAAGATGTAGATGATTCAATACGTGTTGAAGCGTTTAAACGTGAAGTTGCATTACTACATAAAACACGTCATGAAAACTTAGTGCTATTTATGGGTGCTTGTATGAAAGCACCTGATTTAGCTATTGTTACACAACTTAGTCGAGTAAGTGTTTTATTTCTGTGTATGTCCCTGCATTTGTATCTTATTTTCTGTTTTACTTTTAAGGAATTTTTATAATGTTAAGCAGTTGGAAGTAGTTAGTGGAAAATCATGAACCTAGTGTAGTGGATACTACTTACAAGATTGTTTGTAAGTATTGTGTAATGAAACGTTGATACAATTGTCAGACAGAGTGAAGAGTTTCAGTCCATCGAATGTACGGCGTTGACAGAACACTTGGAGACCAAGCGAGAAAACATTTCAAATTTCATAACACACCTAGAGGTGTGAATCGAAGATTGAAAGCTATGCATAGTGTATTATATAAATGCTTTATAACTTCTTATAATAAATATATTCCCCTGCCTATTAGTCGTTTGTTACACTAGGCTGCTCTCAAGAGCCCACTCATTAGCGAGGTGTGCCTGGTATTTAATGGGAACTGATGCTTCTTATCCGAATGTACATCACTCAGTTTCATATTTAGGAATGTTACCACTGATCTGATATTTTGTAGTGCTGAAGTACATTAGTTGATCACTGTCTGAGTGATGCCGATTCAAATCCTTCAAGAAACACTAGTTCCTAAAAATTGCAGGTGCGGTTTGTTGACGAGTAGGAACTAGCAACTATATCGAACAAGGTTTACTACCTAAAGTGAAAACATAATACACGTGATGTTGAGTCACTTGCACTTGTAGTCATATTGTAACTAAAAAAACTGTAAATTTGACAAAAATGATATTGGCCTCCACTGAATTAAAATCAGTATCCTATTGATAAAAATTCAGCTAGAAATCAATATGTAACTTATTTTTAAAGACGGATTTCTCTGTTCCTCTCTTTCTTTCTGTCTGTTCTGAAAAAACCCTGATTGATTGGGCTGGTAAATGTTGTAGCGATGAAACTGCAGTTGGTATTGGTTATGACAGGATTATATTCATGTCCACAGGAGAATTCAAGTTGCCAGCTTTACAGAAATGTAAAAAGTGGTAATGTTTTCGCTGAAGTTGTTTAGTATTTGCTATCCTATTTTGGGGAAGGTCGCAGGAAAACTTGACCCTGTAATCTGCATATTGAACTTCGCCTCCAAATGTCTTTTAAAGCAGAAGGGTGGATACGATTTTGTTACACACTCATAGAACTCCATATTTTCAAGCAAACAGAACCGGGTTTTTTATGGTGGACATAACATGTTTTTCCAGTTATGTGAAGGAACTGTCAGTTTCACCAAGAACTAAACAAGTGGATTTAAACGCTTAACATTCTAGTACAACCCATTGTTATTCGATCTGCTCATTTTTTGGCATCTCCCTTGAAACCCAAAACATCAAAATGAGTTCTAATTGTTACGAACCATCGCCAAAACTCTCTATCTTAAAGAGTTTATTTATTTATTTAAACATGAACATTGGTACAACGAGGCACCAAGCAGATATGCGCCACATAAATCATTAGGCATTTGTGAGGACTGAGATACTGCTCGGGTGCCCAAACCGAAGCAGGTGGTTTTCTTAGGTGGCCACACCCAGAGCCTTCGACCTAAAGGTGTGATCCACAAGGCAGTGAAGCAACGTCAGGAGATGCGATTCCATGGTAACCGGTGACCAACGATTGGTTCATACTCCATTTGTTCCCTAAGGATCTCGGAACCCATGTACACCATTGGTTTAAAATTGTGGTTTTTCAACTACCCTTGGTGGACCTTCCATATCCACCATCCCAGTTAAAACTCTGGACATTCTTATTATTATGTTAAGCCCATATACCTTATTCTAGCTCTCGGACAGCTCACTCTATTTATACTAGTTAAAGTCAGATCCCGGGTCACTGAAGTGGAGAACCCTTCGACGACGGCAAATAAAGGGCCTCAAAAAAGTGGTGAGCCCGCCGACGACGACGAACTCAACGCAGAAAGCTACGTCGATGAAGAAACCTCTACATTGTATACTTTCACGAACGAATTCAGCGAAGCCAGCACAATTTCTAATCCGACGCACTCAGCAAAGCCTATGCAGCACGTCATGGACATACACGAATCGTATTATCTTGTCGATACTTTGTCCTTATGTCAACTATCCTCATTGATCCATTCGTCGGATCGTTCCATTATGAATCAAATGGTCACCTCGGGCTCACCACTTTTTGTAAGGCATTGTATTTTGCCATCATTTTTAAATCGGACGATGTTCGTCGAAGGGCTCTCCACTTTATTGGCGCAGGATCTGACTCCAAGTAGAATGATTAGAATGGGCTGTTCGAAAGCTAGAATAAGGTATATAGGCTTAACATAATAACAGACATTACAATATCACCAACCTTATTAATGTGCCTTGTAACTGCTACATACATAAATAGACCTTCTCACGTGCTTACTGGATTATATAATTTTCCTGTGAATATATTTACTGTATTCGTCTTTTTTCATTTTATCTACGTACGTCTTTACATTTTCGTTTGAACTCATAGTAATAATGATCCTGTTTTTCTTCTTCTTCTTCTTTCTTCAATAATCAGGGTGAAACATTGTATCATTTAATTCATGATCGTGATAATATTATGCCAATTAATCGTACAATAAGTATAGCTAGTCAAATAGCTAAAGGTATGGGTTATTTACATGCTAAAGGCATTGTACATCGAGATTTAAAAACACGAAATTTATTTTTAGAAGATAATTCACGTGTTGTCATTGGTGATTTTGGTGTATTCAATTTTGTACGTCTTTGTAAAAAAGCTAAGTAAGTTCACAGAATTATCTATTAATGTATTTTGATTATTTTTATTTGAACACATAACTTTTGGTACAAAGGGGCACTACACAAGTTACTTGATTTGTGTATGCGCTGTAATACTACTCAGGTGCCCAGACTGAAACAGCCACTCTCCGAGCCTTCTACCTAAAGGTCTGATCTACAAGGCAGTGGAGCAACGTTAGGAGATGCAATTCCATGGTAGCCGGTGACCAATAATTGGTTCATACACCATTTGTCTCCTTAAGGATACTGGAACTCATGTACACCATTTGTTTGGAATGATGGTTTTCCAACCCCCCTTTGGTGGATTCTCCGTGTCCACTAACTCGGTTAAAGCTGCTTTTCATCCTCTCAATTTCATAAACAACACCGTCGAGAGAAGGCAGTGAGTAGGACTTCCCTGACAATTGGTGTACACGCGTGTCCATGTGAGAGGTTTTTCGAGGGATCTGACTTTACCCACTCTTGGGGGCATCTATTAATGATTTATTTTTATACTTCACAATAATCCTAGTTAAAATTACTTATTTATCTTAATTACATTTCAATTAATGGCATCACTTCATTCAACTATTGAATGTCGATCAGAGCCATACATACACATTACCGGGTTAAAATCTGCCTGGTCAAATAGGTTGAGTGAAATAACCTAAAATCTACCACAATACATTCCTTTGAACTTCAGGTTCAATGTTTCTTCACATATACCTTCTCATCACATCGTCTTGAATTGTATTTTCAGTGTTTAATATTTCTCGTCGTCAGTGTTCAATCATGAAACTTAGAACTTGACACATCTGTGTATTGGTTCAATTTATCGTATCAAATTAACACAGTGAGATAAAATTGTTTTAAGATAAACTCCAGAGTAGTATCAACGTAGTAGAAAAGATTAGATATAGAAAAAATGAGGAATAGCCTAAAGAGTTTTCAGGACCCATATTACAAAGTATTATGCTTCTTTTCAGTTATTATTGTTTAAGTTCATGAATTAGTTTATTTTCCCACTATCCCTTGATACATTTTCATTGTGATATTGTTATGCTCTTGATGTCTGGCTTTTCTATCACGCGACTTATCGACCAATCAGAATACGGCTTATACAATCTTCGCCAACAGTTTAGCGTCCTTATTGGTCCTATATCCTCATAGCCCTTCCACTTGAGTCCAGAACACAATACCAGCTTCCGTAATATGAATCGAATCCTAATCGAATCTGATCGAATCGTTTATTTCAGACATACTCGGTTTATATATCAACCAAACACACCGCAACGCACCATAAAATAGAAATAACATGTGTACACAAATAAGCCAAAAAGTAGCTGTGAACGAGGGGGACAGTAATTAATAGACTGAGCATAGCTTAAGAATCGTAAATCGTATAGTATTAAATTATAGGTCAAAATAAAGCTTATCATAAAAGGAATATAAATATACATAGTGTAATTGTTGAATAGTTATACAATAAGAATATTTATAGAATATTAGTCCATGAATAGTCCTTGGAAGTTACCTGTAATTTCATCTTCACTGGGTTATAACCGATATTATAATAAAAAGAAAATAAAAGTCATTTATTTGTGTATTTTTTCTTCACTGGATGGGTGGGGGGGAATTTCTAGATGGGGCAATTATTTGAATGTTCCACCATTTTGGTTATGCTATATTGCACCGGAAATTATTCATGCACTTAACATAGGATATGTACTGGCTACTACAACTAATGAACTACCATTAACTACATCTTCTGATGTTTTTGCTTTTGGGTAAGTAAAATGATATTGTTGTGGAATGATGACATAATAGTGTCTTTTCTTGTTCTTATCAATATCATGAAATAAAGAGTTTGGGGAGTTTATTAATTCATATTATAAACTGGATCTAGTTAGAAGGAAGCGTCGGGTAGTTATTTTGTCCTAGTATAAGAAGATCTAACTAAAGGGGCGAACTCATAATCTTTCGGCTAACCATGTCGACTGTGAGTCAGTAATTTACAAATTGTACTAGATAATGGTCGCGCAATATCTCAAATCGATTGAGGTTAGAAATATTAATCATTAGATGCCAACTAGTAGTTCAAGTGTTTGGAGCTCATCGCTAGAATAAAGAGTCCCTAGTAGGGTAGTGGTTGCACATTTCTAAGGTGTCCCACATTAAGACGAAACATCTGTTCAATGGTTCCTGGTTTTCGATAGATGTCATGGATATATATATTCACACTCATTGCAAAAACCAGTGGATTCAGTAGCTAAATAGAAAACGCATATCCAGAAATAATCTGACCGATCGTAGTGCTTAACATCAACAGTAAAATTTGGAAATAGCTTGCAAACGAATAGAAATAATTGTTTTTTACATCATACCATTGACGTTAGAAAAGATCAAGAATAACCGTGAAAATCCTAATCCCGCTTATTAATCAGTGATTGTACATATACTACTGATAGCAGAAATTTATCTCTAAAAATTAGTGAAACTGGAGTTTATTTGATAGCTTTATCAGATTTGTGAGTATTAGTGATGGTGTGGATGCACGACCACAAATCTTAATTTCCGGTACTTGAGACTAGTCTGGCAGTTATCTCTGAGTAGTTTTTAATGTCGAAGCATTGTGTTATTCAAACCTCCTTGGCATGGCATTTTTTGAATTAATGAGTGTTGCAGCCAATAAAAATAGTTGGGGTTATGACGATGTTGAAACATTACCACCTTATCAAGACAGCATTTATAGATGTGTCTCAATCTCGAATGACCTGATAATTTGACTAACCCTTACTTCATTTTTTTTACCTAATATCGATAAGTTTAACTAATATTTCTAAAAATTCATGTTTGATTGGATGTTTTTCTTCATAATATCTTAGTACTGTATGGTATGAACTGTTAACTAATGAATACCCTTTCAAAGGACTACCTGCTGAAGCTGTCACCTACTTAGTTGGACATGGTGTAAAACCGAATTTACGAATTCAATGTCCTAAAGATTTTAAGGTAAGTACTCGTTCTCTGTGGGCTTTTCTTTTCAAGTTTCTCCGTTAATCAATCGTTATTTATTTATTTTAACACATAGATATTGGTACAAAGAGGCACCAAATAGGTATGCGCCACACAAATCTCAATTGATATATGTGAGGGCTGTGATACTACCCGAGTGTCCAAACCGAAGCAGGCGGTTTTCTTAGGGGAGCACACCCGGAGCCTTTGACCTAAAGCTCTGAACCACAAGGTAGTGGGGCGAGGTCAGCAGATGCAATCCCATGGTAGACGATCACCAACAATTGGTTCATATGCCATTTGGTTCCTTAAGATCCTGGAGCTCATGTGCACTATTGGTTTTGGATTATGGTTTTCCAACTCCCCCAGGTGGACCCTCTATACCCACCAACGCGGTAAAAGCTCCGGACATTCGCTTTTCGTTCTCGCAATTTCATTGAACAACACCTTGGACGCAAGAAGGCAGTGAGTAGAACTTCCGTGGCAGTGGTTGCATGCATGTGGCTATGTGAGAGCATTTCGAGAGGGTGGGCTGACTGTACCCACTCTCGGCCGTACCAGGGCATTTGAGGGCACTAAATACGTTGGCTGATTTCGATTAATTCATCATATTGAGGTACTTAACCTTTTACATCAGTTTTGATGTGAGCGAAAATAAGGATGTTATTTGTAGTGTTTAATGCGTATTTTTAATTTTTGCATAGTTGGTTAACAGTGAGTGACAATAAATGTTAAACCTGGTACATACTTACTCAACTATATCAGAACAAAGAAATGAAATCTATCAAGACAAATGCCAATGTAGTAGACAGTAATAACATTATCAATGTTAGCAGTAAACATTTGATATGGACACTAAGATGTAAATAGATAGAATGAATTTATCTAGTAGAAAAAAATGTAACGGTGAATATATATCTGAGCTTTTTGCTATTGATTCTAAGCCAGATCATCGATCTGCAGCGAACACACCTTAGTCTGATAGCTAATGGCTTCATAGAAGAATAATAGTTCTTGGCTGACTCTAACTTCCAACCTACTCCTACATCAGTAAACAATTACGCATCCAGTTAGGTTGTTGATTGGCATAAGTAATTCATGTTCTAAGCACGTCAGTCTAATGTATACAGCCTCATCATTCAATTTCGATGTTTGCCCAGTATTCTGAGTATAACTTCAGTATTGCCTTACTCAGTGGTCTTCACATATGGCAACAGTTCGGTCAAAAATAGCTACAATTATATACATCAACAAGGACCTCATTCCTACAATTGGAGAACATATGGAACTGAAAACAACTGTCAACCAATATCACAGTTAGAGTCTTTAATACGGACATCAAGGCAACTCTGCTGTACGGAGCTGAAACTTCGAGAACTATCACAACCATCATCAATAATGTACAAGTATTTATAAGCAATTATCTACGTAAGATACTGAATGTCCATTAGCTGGATACCATCATCAACAGTCTACTGCGGGATAGAATAAACCAGCTTCAAGATGAGGAAATGATGATGACACTGGGAGTGGATAGGCCGTACATTGAGGAAATCATCAAACTATATCACGAGCCAAGCTCTCACATGGAATCCTGAAGAGGGACGGGAAAAAAGGAAGGCCGAGGAGCACTTTGCGTCGAGAATTTGTAGCAGACATGAAAGGATGGATAGGAACTGTAAACAGTTGGAAGGGATTGCCAGTGCACAGTTTTGTGTAGAATGTTGGTAGGTGGCCTACTCTACACTGCGAGGGGTAACAGGAGTAAGTTGTTTATATATATATATATCAGCAACGATAATGTTAAAAATAATACTTTGTTTGTACTATCATTTTCTTTTACCGATTTAGGAAATTCTTGTTCAATGTTGGGCATACAGTCCATGTAAACGACCAGAATTTACAACTTTAGTTAAATTATTAGATCGTCTACCAAAATTACATCGTAGTCCATCTTATCCAGCTAAACCATACACTGGTGTAGCATCTGGTTCACATGGTAGTCTTCTAGCTTAATAATGATGATGAATAAACCAGCCCTGGGAATCGAGTCGTTAACATACAACACAATACAACATTGTCTATCATCTGGGATTTCTATTTATGTTATGATGGAAAATCAAAATATCTTCAGCTTTATAATAATAATAATGGGGAAGCTTACAATTTTTTCTTTGAGTTCATCATGGTTACTGCACTGTCGTACTAGTTGGATGTAATTCTTCGGAGTACCTTGCTATGTAAGTGACCTAAACAATCAAGTACTTTCTTGTCCACCGGAATGTTTGTCTTAAGAGAAGCATATATATGGTACCTATGTTATTCTAAGCGCTATTTACTTGTGATCATATTTGCCTCGCACTCACACGCCTCGACAACGCATTCTTCATTGTTTACTGTTTGTTTTTCGATCAAACATGAAGCATTTGTTTTTTTATGCCTGTTCATGAATAAAACTAATGTTTTTATCACAACAAATTTCATATACAATATGGGAATTCTTATGTTTGAGCGTACACTTATATCAACTGTCTTACTCTATAGTGTTTGACAACCATTCACATAATGTATATTCTTCCTTTCCTATGATTCCAATTATTTGTTTAATTTATTTGACTAGTCTTTCATTTCATGAATACACAATAGAATAAACCATATATTGTGGAGAACAGAACAAAATGTGTATGCGTGTAGGTAGATGAATTTCAATTGCCTAATCTAATCCATTTACTATTCAATGGGTTATCAATGATTTACACATATACCTTTTTCCTCTATTTTTCATACTGTAAATGTATTTGTACCTTATTTACTAATATATTTTTTTCTTTTTTTGTACATGATTGTAAATGATAAATTACAATTTATTATTTATATATTAACTAATAATTATAATCTTTCTAGTTAACTTTGTACAAATATTTCTCTTGTTTTACTGAAATGTAAAAAGAATAAGAAACAAATTCAACTGTGGTGTATTGATGCCTTTTTCTTCTCCCACTCTCTTATTCACTGCTCTGTGTTAATGTTCATGTTGAAGAGAACGTGAATAGTGTAACAAATGCTTTGATACGGCCAAGAGTGGAGAGAGTCAGCTCTCCCTCGAAAAATGTTCATATGGCCACGTGTATACAATCACTGACAGGGAAGTCCTACTCACTGCATTCTCGTGGCGGGGGTGTTGTTTACGAAATTGAGAGAACGAAAAGCGAATGTCTGGCGCTTTAACCAGGTCGATGAAAACAGAGGGTCCACCTGGGGAAGTTGAAAAAACTAATTCCAATGCAATGGTGCACATGGGCTATGGAATTCTAAGGAACCAAATGGCATATGAACCAATTGTTGGTCACCGGCTACCATGGGATTACATCTGACGTTGCTCCACTACCTTGTGGATCAGAGCTTCGTGTGTTGACCCATATGTAAGCCATCTGCTTAGGTTTGGGCACCCAGGCAATATCCCAACCCTCACATAAATCGAATGATTTATGTGCGCATATCTATTTGGTCCCTTCCTGTACTAATGTTTATGTGTTTAAATATTACTACTAATAATAAAACATTTTTAGTGAGTAGTAAAGAATCCATCTTTGACATCTTGAAAGAGTTAGGTTACTTTAGCAGCGATTAGATATTCTCTTATATGGTTTAGTACAAAAGTCCCATGTCTTTAAATAAAAGAAAAGCTGGAAAATACACAGTGCTTATGTCTCATATTGTAAAACTCAGTGACACTCGATTAAATCTTTTAGTGAACATCAGTCCCCTCAAGATTGTGGCTACACTCTGCTGATGAGTGCTAACAAGAACGAAACTTTGGTCCAGGGTTTCTTGTTGACTGCCACCAACCATCTCAAGTCTCAACATAATGTACACGGTGTTGAGTTGTCTAAATCAATAGACATATTTCAACTTAATTGATAGAATTCGGTCAGCATTGAAGAAAAAGAAGAAACACGTCTTAGTAACTAATTAGTTATAAACTTTCTTGGTCAGTATAACATTTACAACAGGGGACATAAAAGTATGAGTGCCAGAAGTGTTTTCTCCAAGATGATTGATTGGACGAATAACCGATAACATCTCCATTGTCTTCAGCGAGTGTTATTCTTATTTTACAGTCTCATAGATGTTTACCACGACGTGAGACAATACTTGGTAAACCGATTTGCAGCTGTACGTTCGTAATCCGTTGAGATTCATTACTTTAGTGGATATATACTTCCAAGTTTATTCAAGTTTAATTAGACAGTTCATTTCAGTCTTCAGAGAACACGCGAGGTAAAAGATGTATCTAATTTCTGAGTTTTCATCCCACGAAAAAAATGCTTCTGTCCTAAACTAAAGTTAACGCATATCAGAGATAAAACTGAAGAAACTTGTCGCGAAATTCATATTCACTGCTTAATAACTAAATTGTAGGAATAGTTTTTTGCCTATTATAGCCACTTACAGCATATCGTACGAAATATAATGGAATCTTGAGTTGGACTACCTTAGACTCAATTTCATATTGCAAGTAGATAGTATATAACATTTCCCAAGGTTTGATCAGTGATTTCTAGTCTTTATCATAATGTATTGAGATTGTGAAAGGACTAGTTTCACCATCATTGTCGTCATTTACCTTAGCAGATTCGTGTAGGTCACATAATAATAAGAGAAGTTGAAAGGGTATTATGGAGGTTAATTTGATTTGTAGGCTAGATTCGTCATAGATTGGCTAAAATTGAAAATGAAGCACACGACTGAGCAGTAGTAGTGTGTACCCAATAGCTTCAGGTATTATGACCATCGAATACCATTATAACCTATGGATCAGTGTTGAATGATGTAATTTCGATTTCAGTCAATTGACGATATAGCGCAAAGGTTATCTAGTACCATTAGTGATACCTATTATACTCCTGACATATCTGAACTCCATCAGTCAAGTATTTTCATTAGAACTTCAAAAATATTTTGAACTAAGACACTATTGTGATCGGATTATCATAGTTTAGTTAAAGGAATGTTGTGCAGATAGGTTTAAACTGTTACAAACTAATCTCAAATTAATTAAAGTTGAAATTGTACTGTAAGTAGCCAATGGTTGCCCCCCCTTCCAGCCAAACAAGCTGGTGAAGCCTAGTAGGCCCTTCTGAAAAGAAACAGGCCACATCGAAACACGGTACAACTACCGAGGCTAGAATAACTGTTTTTTCAACCAGTTGGAGTTTGCCCCATGAGGAGAAACCCCGTACATTACATGTACACTTTTATCGTTTTTCCATCCAAGAGTAATTGTGCTGTGTTTCTTTGTGGAGTTCGTAGTCGATTTGAGGGTATCGATCGAGTGGGTAATTAACCCGATCTCTACCACCCGGGGTTACCTCTCACATCAGTTCATGGGTCATCTATCCCACTATCCATGAGTCACGTTGTGGACATGTGAGGCGGATTTTGCTTTCCCATTTTAATGGTTAAGCATTTATTAAGAGATTTCAAGGTTTTGATTTAGACTTATCGACAAGATAGTGATTACACATAAGCACAAAATCTCATATTAGGACAAAAGAGTTATTCAACCTTTTTTTTCAGTACAACCTAAGATCATTCTATGATGAATACAACTGTTTCCAACATTTTTAAACGACTAACAAATTATAGTGCGCGAAATCAATAGGTCCTGGGTTCGAATCTCGCAGGGGGCGAGGTCGTGGATGCGAACTGCTGAAGAGTCCCACAATAGAACGAAACGGCTATCCAGTGCTTCTAGGTTTTCCATGGTGGTCTAGCTTCAACTGACTCATGATCTTAACCATTGTAAATACAATTTGTTTACTAAATGTATATACAATATCAACCACAAAAAAGGCCAAGTTCACAAAATCAATTTGACCAAATTATAATAAATAATAATAATAAAAATTCCAAATTAAAAGAGACAACCAAATAACCGGCATCAAGTTTTAAAATCATTGAGAGCACAAAAGAATAGAAAGACAAATTACGTAATCTTGCACACACACACACACAAGTATGTGCACAGGCCTGTCTGTATACTAATCACAATATGAAGGGGTATAATGTAATGAACCCATTGTGTGCATGTGTGTGTGTGTGTTAGATAAACATGTGGTGCAGAATGAAGTGTGATAGACATACATATATCTATATATGTTTCTATATAAATATCTATTGCCAAATTGATAATTCATTATCATAATCCATTTGATTTTCATAATATAATTTAGATAAATTTTCAATGGCTACATGACCGCATAGAGCACAATCATTAGCAATGATTTCATCAAATAGATCCTGAATAAATAAAAAGAAGAGAACAAACAAAAAGCATAAAACATTTAATCATTTGTATTAGTTGTTTCAATATTCCTGTAATAGATCAGTCTATTTTGTGTATATGTGTACTGTGTGTAGATTGCGTCGATATTGCTGCCTCAAATGCCGAGAATGGGGCGAGTCAACTCGTTCATATGGACACGCGTATACAGTCACTGCCATGAACGTTCTAGTAGTGGAAGTGTTGTTTACAAAGCTGAGAGGATGAAAAGCGTATGTCTGACACTTAAATCGGGTTGGTGAACACGTATAGTTCACCTAGGGTTATTGGAAAACCACAATCCAAATTAATGGTGCAAATGGGCTCAGGATCCTGAGCGAACGAAAGGTGTATGAACCCATCGTTGGTCACCGACTATAATGGGACTGCCTCTCATGACGTTGTGGATCGGACTTCTAAGTCAGAGGTTCGGAAAGTGGTTCCCTAAGAAAATCACTTGCTTCGGTTTGCGCGCTCTTGCACTATCCCAGTCCTCACACAAACCAATGATAACTGCAACTTGCCTCATTGTTATTGTGTGGTGCATATGTATTTGGTGCCCCATTGTACCAATGTTTTTATGTGTTCAGATAAATATTTTAAGGAGGGATGGATGGTGGTTAGCAATATGACCTGGAACGTGCGTTTCGTTCAACTTGAGTGAGACCCTAGAGTTGATATCCATTCCAGGATAGGAATCCAGAACTACTGGCTATTGCGTTACATACTTAGCTAATGAGTTCAGATTGCGTCATTACTATACTGCAGTGAGTGAAAAAGAGGGAAAAAAACTATCAATTCGCTGTAAGTTTATCATTTTACCGTCGAGAATTTAAAAGATAAATGTATAGAGACTCTAGCACATAACAACAACTGACTGTAGAATATTGTCTGTGTATTATAGAGCTAGTGAATGTGGACAAAACTAGTATCCCAGTGTAGTCAACGAATAGTTCATCTTTCAAATACAATCAATCAAGGCGATTGAACATATGCATTACTCATGTATATCAATGCTTAACTAATTCCTTAATTTCCTAGTCTCCTCAACTTGATTTTCGTGCAGTTTGATACTCGTTAGCCAGGCGTACTTAAAACCGTAAGGAAACTGATAATTGCTATTGGATTTTGACTAAGGTAACTCAGTTTCACAATCTGAGACTTTATTACTGAGCTACATGGGCCACGAATGAAATGTTCTAAGACTGAGATATTTACATTGATTGGTCTCTGAGAATTGATTAGTAGTGAGTTAGTCTATTCTTTGATGCGGATTGCAGTTATAACTTGTTAACGTCTGTCTGTTAACTAGCATGAAACTCATGTCTAGGATTTCATACCGCCTATCCACAAGCATCCGGTATCTAAATAGCCTGCATGAGATTTAATGTCATATAGTGGTCCTACATCTGAGTCCAGTTAGGTCTTATGCTTGTTGTCATCGAAATATACTTGCAACTAACCTGACTGATAGAATTCGATTAGCACTAAAGTCTAGATAAATATAACATTAATCATTGATCAATCAATGAATTGGTCTATTATTAAACATGCCTAAGGTAATGACTGTAGTCATTTACTGTAGATTGTGATAAATTCGTGAATGATTCGGCCGATAAGAATAGATGAAGCTTTTAATCATGTCGTGGATCAACCGATCGAATCTCCAAGTAATTTTACGAAACATTTTAAGTGTTATGAAATAAAATGGAAGAATTAAGTTGCAATAAAATCAGTGCTATAACTAACTTCAACATTAGTTACAGATGGATTATTTCCAAGATTTTGAGATTCGACAACTTTTGACAATTGTAATTTCTCCTCTGCTGATAAATATGGTTTCACCTGTAAAGATAGTAAAATGGAAAAATCATATGTTTGATTTGAACAAGTGAATATGTATAGTAATAACAAGTGTATCTTATTGAATAACAACAACGAAAATGACTGTATTTCCCGTCCTCTATGATGATTCATATTTCACTGAGTCGCACAATACTATGAAGATAGTACAAGACAAGTAGTTGTTTATTGTGTGACGAATGTGTGAGCAATATTGATGTAGACGTAGGTCTACTAGATGGAGATGGAAAATCAGTTGGTGAGGTGTTTGCCATATATATCATGTGACACCATCTACTGTCTTTAGACGTTAGTTGACATCACGTGTTAAGTTCGTCAACCAGAATTTTGAACACTATATGTTTCTACCCTGTGTGTCATTTCTAACAGTAGCATAGTACCCTTAACTCTGGACAATGAAACGTTCGGATCGGCACAAATAACCTTGCCCAAGGTAAGCTATACTGCTAATGATAACCTATTTTCAAGTCTTTCTATTTACCAAACTTGAGTCCGAAGAAAAGTCAGCAACCACCTTCTACTATATGCATATTTCAATCGCTCAACCCAGTCAACAACTTTCTCAAACATCCATTAGTTTACATGAAAGAACTGTTAGACCGTATAGCACACCGAATAAAAAATCATAATTTAAACACAAAATCATGCCATAATTGGCGGAGAGCGAAGCAAACAAATCACTTAGTAATAATTAAGGAATGGTAAAACCTATAACAATAGTTTTTAATAGATCCACTAGAAGCTCATTATAAAGAGAATATAGAAATACAGTTATCTATTGATCATACAATAACTAACTTTTCCAATACTTGATCCATTGTGTTACCAACCACCGCCTACTTCGAAGTGCGATATTTGCTGCTGTATGAGTAAGTTGGAAGGAAATTAAGAGCAGTTAAACCAAGATGTAGCACCAGTTCATGACGTTATTTAATATTGAACTGTCAAGTATATAGATACAAATAACCTGGTTGGTATCTGCACGATTATTGTAACCAACCATTGAATACGTTGGATCCAGTGATTCAGAATCGGTCACAATGGCGTAGATGCATAATTCTCTTTCTTTTAAATCCATACATTTTAATAGTTGAGATCATGAGTCAATTGAAACTAGACCATCATGGAAAACCTGGAAGTACTGGACAGTCGTTTCATTCTATTGTGGGACTCTTAAACAGTACGCATCCACGACCCCACCTCACGAGATTCGAACCCAGAACCTACATTTTATTTTATGAATACCTTATATCTTCTCAAATCTAAATGTCTAAATTTATCGTTTCCAACACCTCTAATATTATTACAATGTCTACTACTCTAGTATTCGTTATTTTATCACACAGTGCTGTTCTGGTGAGTAGAAACGTGAACTGATACACATATATGCCATGTTCTACATTTCTTACGACTAATTGACGAAAGCTGAGAATGAAATATTCTCTTTCTCTTAAGTCCATTTCTTAATTAACAGAGAAAAAAAGTGTTACATAATAAATAATACTTTATAAACGTTACTTTTATGATGATAAACAACCAACCTTTTCATAACTTACCAATTCAGTGAGACAACTTATGTGAAAATTATGACCACAAGGAAATACATAAAATGCACGTAAAGTTAATAGGTGATTGCAATGAGTACAACGTGAATCATTCTCTATAATTTCATATCTGTAAATGCGAAAACAGAGAGAGAGAAGTGAACAATTACCGTGAAAAACAAAACAGAATATAATCAAAGTGACTATAATGACTGCAGGGATATAAAAAAAAAGTGGTATTTAGAAATAAAACTGTTATGTACCTGAAAAAACTAACGTCTCTATCTTCAGAATGAAGTTGTGGAGATGATTAAATTTCATCAAAACCATGAACTGATCAATGTTAGACCACCATTAGAAATGTGAAAGCACTGAATGGCCAGTTCGGCCTAGTATGGAACACTCAGCAGTGCTCATCCACGTTTCCACTTGAGGAATCAAACACAAAACGTCAGGTTTTGCGCACGAACGTTTCACCTCTAGACCAGCAAGCCAGCATCGAATGATGTTAATGCCTAACTTCAACCAACCAAAGACATTGTGAGACCATCTTCCGATGTCTTTGATAGGTAGCCAATTCACATCCGATATGGTCCAAATTCAAGAGAAAATTCTGGAGTTCTAGCAAAACGCCGTGATTAGTAGAGCCAACCAGTGTCGGTTGTGAAGCAGCTACTCGTAGAAGACGATAGAGGATGGTTGCATAATGTGGTGGATTGGTTGAAGTCAGGCATTCAAATCATTTAATGCCGGATCAATGGTCTGGAGGTCAAGAGTACACGTGCGATTACCCAAGCGGGACCGTAGATGAGCACTGCTAGGGAGTCTCATACTAGGGCAGAAAGGCCGACCAGTGCTTCCAAGTTTTTAATGATGGTGCATGGTATTAATGAAATACGTACATATGTCCATAATGTTGAGGAAAGGGAAGGGTAGTACGTTTGAAGAGCGAACTGACTGATGCGAATACAAATTCTTATTCAGTGATCCACTTCGACCTGAAGGCCTGATCCACAAGGCAGTGGAGCAACAAAAGGAGATGCAGTCCTATGGTAGCCGGTGACCAATAATTGGTTTATACGCCATTTGTTCCCTCAGGATACTGGAGCCCATGTGCACCATTAGTTTGGAGCTTTTTGTAACTTTGACAACGAAAGGTTGTACATTTTTCAGAAACGCAGCAGAATAGGTTATGCGATTAATAGACATAATGATATATTAAAACAAACAAAAATAGATAACTTGTTGAAATATCTAGATGGTAGGAACAGGTAACCTAGATGCTGCTCAAGCATAGTCAAATTATTTTAGGACTGACTTTATGAAATAGAAAGAAAACATTATTATTAAAACAAATATAGAAATTAATACTTGTAATTAAAATGTACCATTCATGTATTATTCAAGTATTGTAACCAAGGTTAATACCTAAGTGTAATTGCATGCAACACATTGTACACATAGTACAACAAAATACAAATTAATGTCAACAATAGAAAAGGGTGTAAACAATGAATGAACTAATAATAAGAAATTAATATTGTTTAAAATACAATCATTTTAACTCTATGATACATGTCAATCCATTGTTTCAAGGTGTATATAAATGAAAGAGAATGTATTTTACAATATTGAATGTGAAATATCTTTGTTTACCATGATCCAAAGATTTGACCACTTCACTTTTATGTATATATAATTGTATATTACAAAACTGTTTTCTATTATACTCCATACTGAGTGGCACAACCATTATTCACATGAAGTTCTTCTTCTCATTATATTCATAGTTAATCTGAACTAATGTTGACTATGATATAATCAGCATGAGGGATTGGTGAAGAGTTTAGTATTTTTTTTTACAAATGAAATCATCATCTCGTCTTAGCTGGGAAACCACTGAAGATCTGCGAGCACAGGACGACAGTGTCGTCCTAGTATAGAACTCAATAGCAGAGGGAATTCGAGATCTCTAATTTCCTATGAGTCTCATTCCAAGATGAAACGGCGGTCTAGTGCTACCAGATTTTAACTACAAAATATAACATATTATGTTCAAAGGAATTCGGTATTATTTTTACTACAGTGATTGTATAGCTTTGAAAATAAACTAAATAACTTGATTTATTTCTAATATCTCAAATAATCAGTTAAATTTTTATCATCAAATCTATCACCAATAGCCCACACATGCACTGGTACGGTCGAGGGTGGGGAGAGACACCTCTACCTCTCCAAATGCTCTCACATGGTCACACGTATACAGCCACTGCCACGTAAGTCATACTCACTACCTTCTCGTGATAGGGATGTTATTTACGAAATTAAGAGGATGAAAAGTGAATATCTGACACTTTAACCGGGTTGGTGGATAAAGCAGACACAAACAGCAGAGTTGAAAAGTCACAATTCCAAACTAATGGTGCATATGGGTTCCAGGACCCTGAGGGAACAAAAGGAGTATGAACCTATTGTTGGTCACCGACTACCACGGGACTGCATCTCCTGACGATGTTCTACTGCGTTGTGGATTAGATATCTAGGTCAAGGGTTCAAAATGTGGTCCCCTAAGGAAACTAATTGTTTCGGTTTGGGCATCCGGAGAGCATTCCAGCCCTCACTTAATCGAATGACGAAGTGTGCCGCATATGTATTTGGTGCCTTCACGTACCAATGTTTATATCTTTAACTGAATAAATCGCCAATGTTAAGAGTATTCGGACGTAATATATGTTTAACTGGAAAGATCTTATATATTCTTTTAAATAGTTCTGTGAATAAATTGTGTACATATAGACAATGTACATTGTGACATGTAAGGATAATTTGTGATTATGTAATTGTGAGAACAGTAGATAAAACCAACAATTGATTGACAGAGTATTTTATTCATGATTTAGTACAGAATGTTTAACTCATATGTTTACTTATATAGTATTGTTTTCTTTTTCTTTTTCAATTAGGTTTCTTTCCATTTCTTTCAGAAAACATGGTTCATTCGATTGTAAACTAATCACGTCTAAATGGTGTCATGTATAAATTTGTTGTATTATTTAAAGGTCATGGAAAGGTTTTGGAAGATATTGATGTATAATCAATAGAACAAGATCATACATGTGAATATAATGTGTAACAGATATGTTGTGAGATAATAATAATAATAATAATACAGTACTGGCAAAAATAATCATAAAATAGTGTGAGCATATAATAAAACAAACACTATGGAGATTAACATGATATCCGTTAAGAATGATCCATGAAGAATTAAGAGTATGAGTGTGTGTGGCAAGATAGAAATGTGGAAAAAGCAGATTAGGAGGTAAAAGCTCATCATAAATAACTTATGTATGGAGTGAATCGATCATCGACTAAACTAACACAATTAAGCTAAACACTTCACTTCTACCTGAAGTTTGTGTATTATTTATTTATTTATTTGAACACATACATATTGGTACAAGTGTGCGCCAAACATATATGTGCCACACAAAACAACGAGAATTTAAAGAGAAGGAAAAAGAAAAAAAGTACGGAGATTAAAAAGAAAAGAATAATAAGGAAGAGATTGGTGTAAGGTAGTGTAATAATATTAGTGGTGATAATGGGGGGACGGAAAGGTACAATCAGAAGAAATCTCTCACTTAAGGAAGATACAACCACTTTTTTATGAAGAAAGTAAAAGAAGGTTACAGCAGGATCCCCACTGCCTTCTATTCTCAGCCATATCTGATAACGTCTCTAGCCACTGTGTTGCACCATTTCTCGGACATCAGCCAGGGAGTCGTGAAGAACCAACACAAGCCAGTCCTTTGCAGCTTTCTTTCATACTCGGAGAGGCCAAGTTTCACAAGCATAGAACAGAACTGGTCTCACCGACGCGTTGGAGATCCGACCATTTACAGCTTGGTTTGCATAAGCCGCTCTGGCTTTCACTATACGTGCATTGATCTCATCACTCACGCCACCACCAGCATTTATGCAGCTACCTAGATTGGACCTTAAGGTTGAAAGCTCGGGAAGTGACCCTCTTAGGAAATCAACTGTTTCGATTTGGTCACTCGAGAAGTATCCTACCCCATACACTAATTCAATGGTTAATGTGGCCCATATACATTTTCTTGCTCCCTTGTACTAATGTTTGTGTTTAAATAAACGTGCAAATGGTAAATACTGCATATAACAGTTCTTAATTTGATGATATACTTCATGGCCAATACATATATATACAGCGAGAAAAACGATCCAGAAACGATAGAAACTTACCTATATCGTAGATTATTCGACTGTGTACGTAATTCATCAATAGTTTTCATCGTACTTTGTATTTCGTTTTTCACATTATCAATCCGTTCATTATACGAATCCAGTGATGAACAGATCACGTCCTATTTATTGTAAATATAAAAAAATACTAAGATAAATACATGAACAATAAATAAATCAGAGAATGTGCATAGAATGTACGTTTAAGATGAAATAGTTGAACTAATAGGATGTCCATGTAATAATAAGTCAGTCAAATGTATCGCAAAATGCTATTATTATTATTAATGGCTTTATTCAATATTATATTTTCGGTACAATATAAAAATCTCAGCCCCAAATGCCCTGTTACAAACGAGGGTGGGGAGAGACAGCTCTCCCTCCCAAAATTCTCTCAAACGGCCACACGTATACAGCGACTACCATAAAAGTCTTACTCACTGCCTTCTCGTGGCAGGAGTGTTGTTTACAAAATTGAGAGGACGAAAAGCGAATGTCTGACGCTTTAACCAGTATGGTGGACACGTAGAGTCGCCTAAAGGAGTTGGAAAACCCTGATTCCAAACAAATGGTCAACATGAGTTCCAGGAAACTGAGGCAACAAATAACATATCAATCTATTGTTGGTCACCGACTGCCACGAGACTGTATCTCATAATTTTGCTCTACTGTCATGTGAATTGAACCTCTAGGTGAAATGCCCATTTATGAAAACCACTTTCTTCGGTTCATGAGAACGGGCAGTATTCCATCCCTCACATAAATCGAATGATACAGTGTGGCTCATGAATATTTGGTGTCTCTTCGTACCAATGATTTTGTGGTGAAACAAATAAATAAAGTATTTGAAATTTATTTTACGAAACAAAGAAGAAAGGAAAACCGATAACTCCATACAAATAAACATTAATTAAGCAAACACAATAACTGGAAGTAAATGAAATGTCTTTTGATAAAAGAAGATTTGGATCTGTACAACTGTTTAAGTAGAAGCGTGTTTAAGAATACAAGCTATTGGCTAAGTTAGCTCCAACAACCTGTTCCTCAAGACTATATTTGCTAAATAAGGTATTGTAAAGCTTTTGTACCTTTCATTGTGTACTGAAAAAATCGCCTACATTAATTTTTCATCCCCGCTCACTTTCAGTTACTTTTTGTCAATAACATTTTGTATGGCTTTAAAATTTGCGGTTAGTCAATCAGTCATAAACAGCATAGAACCTAGCACATATGTGCATCGGTCCGCGTTACCACAACATACATGCTCAGTTAGATAAAATTTTCAGACCAAAAATAATTGAAAACTGAAAGTCTGAGGGAAAACAAAGAGTAACGGTACCTGTACGAATTCGATTGATTCTGAGCCATGTCACCTAACATTTACAACCATTGGTTATAATCATTGCGCGGACCCTAACCAAATGGTTTGGACCTACCTATCTGGCTCATTTAAACATTGTAGGAATTCTTAGACTGACTTGGTGTTTTGGTTTTGTAGCTCCGAGATTTCTTCCAACCTGTTTCTACACTAGCCAATGACTTACGTCTAGGTAGGCGGTATTTGGGGATACAAAATGTATGCGTCAACTCCCTCAGTTGATGACAATTTGCTCTTATCAATCGACTTATCTTCTTTATATCGTAAAGTCCATTTAACCTGAACCTTGCCCACTCAGTGTACTCGATATATAAGAGGAATATTTTTAAGACACCTATTATAGAATCTTAATAATCTACGAATATTTTCTATTTATGGAAGTAATAATTCATACCCATAAAGAAGAACAAAGTGTACTAGTGTGTAAACTCATCTTTTGGTCGATAGACGGGTATAAGATGCAACATGTCATTTTTTAGTATGGCATAAGACATTTTGTACAAACGAGGTACAAATATTATGCTGTATGAATAATTTGTAATAAGCTACAAAAAAATCATTGTTGGCCTTTAAAACAAGTGACTACTTATAGTAATATACTATAACACCATTTCATTTTAGATAAATTATTCAGTGTACCGTTTGGTCAGTAAATAATATCCAACGTGACTGGGTGTAGATTGAAATGAATTAGATTTAAATCGTATGGATAAATAACCAATACATACTTTATTAAAATATTTATCATTAGAATCGACTACATAGTGTCGGATCAGTTGATTTTGTTAATGTTAATGACATTCTCATTAAATTAATTTAGTGTATTGGTTGATTTTTATTGAATCATTATTCGAATTCTCAAAGTATACTAGTCCGCCCAGGTCATAAAAAATCACTTTATATAAATCAGTCATATCTTTCAAAGTAAATACTCTCTATTTATGGAAGTATACTTGTCTGATCTCTGTTTGTATTAATTGCCCCCAAATACCCTGGTACTGCCGAGAGTGGGGAGGGCCCGCCTCCCCTCTCGAAATGCTCTCACATGGCCACGCGTATATAGCCTCTGCCAGGGAAGTCCTACTCACTGTCTTCTCGTGGCGGGGTTGTTGTCTACGAAAATGAGAGGACGAAAAGCGAATGTCCGGCACTTTAACCGGATTCAAAATCAATGGTACACATGGGCTCCAGTATCCTGTGGGAACAAATGGCGTATGAACCAATCGTTGGTCACCGACTTCCATGGGACTGCATCTCTTCACGATGCTCCACTGCCTTATGGATCAGACTTTCAGGTCGAAGGCTCGGGGTGTGGCCCTCTAAGAAAACCACCTGCTTCGGTTTGGGCACCTGGGCAGTATCACAGCCCTCACACAAATCTCATTCGATTTGTGTGGCGCATATGTATTTGGTGCCTCCTTGTACCAATATTTATGTGTTAAAATAAATAAAATTGTATTAATTAAAAAGTTCTATTATCTACATTTATAGACTGTAACCATATTTCCATTACATTCTACGTCTTATTATATTACTGAAGTCACAACAACCTCATTGGAATTATTAATTGTCTATAATTGTGGATTATGGTAGCAAATGCAACTCGAACACACCAAACCTTATTGATTTAAGTAACGTCCTATTACTTTTCTTTGTATATATATATATATATATATATATATATATATATATATATAGAGAGAGAGAGAGAGAGAGAGAGAGAGAGTAGCGTCAATGAAGCAACATATAAACGAAGATATTAGAACAAAACTTACTTTAAACTGATCAATAGTAACAAATTGATGAAAATATGGAAGAATATCCTCTAATTTCAATAGAGGACAATCTCGTAATAAATTGATAGCTTCTTGCATACTTCCATCAGTACTAATAATATGTTGTGCTGAAAGTGAGAAGAAGAATAACGATATCTCAGATGAACAAACAAAGGAGCAGAATATTCGTTGTAGAGTTAGTCTATTAGAAAAATCAATAACTTATCTATATACACATACTAAAACAATGGTACACTGTTTAGTAAAACATTTAGCTATGACGAAACGATGAAGTATTGAGAATATCTTTAGATTGACATTAAAAAGTAGAACTGACTGTAAGATTATGATTAATAGCGAAGACAGAACTGGGTATATACTGTATAAATGAGTTTACATCGATTTACCATGTATTACAGATTTATTATAACACTGGTAATACTTTAGTGATCGAAGAACTTATGTGGGGACAACCAATTTATTGTTTAATGCCAAATTACGGAGTGTCTTCGTAAAAAAATGGAAACTAAACATTAACTGAGCAGTGATGAATGATAGCTAGCAGTGATATCTACGACGCGCATTTCGTCCTACTTGAGACTCAAACCTAGTACCGTTCGATTCAAATGCCATCGCGTTATTCCTTTAGCTACTGAGCCCAGATAACCATTAGCTTGTACAATGGGATGAAGTTTTGATTCATTTTTGTATTGCCTATTTGAATCTTCCTATTACATTATTTGCACATGTTCCATCATTTGTCTTTCACAAACTTCATCGTTCCTTGATTCCTGATGTGATTTTGATTACTTTCTGTTTTCTTCTGTTATTTCTTCATTGTAATCTTTTGCTCACAAGCCTTCTACTTTCGATCGGAGCTACATCCTACTGATATCTGTTAACATAAGTAGTACACACTACAATACTATTTATTGTTCAATACTAAAGCATCAATTCACAGTTCAAAGCACAAATCATACTATGTGGCAACATGTTGATGACAGATGTATATTATAAGAAAAAAAATTATTTTAAAACTAATATTGTTAAAAAGCAGTATTGTCGTAAGTGGATACTTCCTAAGATTAGTGATCGCATTACAAAGTCTCAATTGAATACGATTTCTACATTTTTATGTACTTATGCCCATTAATTATCATGTGATAAAATCTCCAATTAGAACACCGATTTATTGACCAGATCAATGACGTATAAACAAATACGAGCAGCCTAGAGTCAACTCTGAGATCCTGATTGGTCCCCTGAGATAATAGCTTCACATTGAATCCAGCCGGTTCAGTTCAGAACACCAATATTATCCTTTGTTATATGAATCCTGTATTTCAGATATACTTGGTTTATATACACATAAACCAGACTGCATCATACCATAAAATAAAAAATAACAACTATACTAGATGGGCCAAAAGTGTCTGTGATTATGAGAGACTGTGACTAATAAATTGAGAGTAACTTAAGAATAGTAAATAGTATAATAGTAGTCAGTAAGTCAAATGAAAGTTTATAATGGAATATGAATATACATATAATATAGTTACTTAATCTGGTTAGCGTTTTTTAACCAGTTCTACTGTATGGGGTGGAAACCTAGAGAACTACAAAAGCCATCATCCACAAGATACAGGTGTTTATTAACAGTTGTCTACGCAAAATACTCAGATCCGTTGGGCGGACAATATTAGCAACAACCAACTGTGAGAAAGAAAAAACAAGATCCCAGCGGAGGAAGAAATCAGGAAGCGCTAGAAGCGGATAGGACACACATTGAGGAAAGCATCCAACTGCGTCACAAGACGAGCCCTTACATGGAATCCTCAAGGCCATAGGAAAAGTGGAAGACCAAAGAACACATTACGCCGGGAAATGGAGAGAGACATGAGAAAAATGAACAAGAATTGGATGGAATTAGAAAAGAAGGCCTAGGACAGAGTGGGTTGGAGAATGCTGGTCGGCGGCCTATGCTCCATTAGGAGTAACAGGCGTAAGTAAGTCAGTAAGTAAGTAGTTACTCAATCGTTATACAATAAGAATATATATAATAATAGTCCATAAATTGATCCTAGCAGTTACTATTTACTTATTCTTCGTCCGGATGTAACATATATCGCATAAATAATTGAGAAAACTTACCGCAAAATTAGTTATTCAAGTATCTCTTCTACAAATGTTCCCGCGAAAAATGGCACTTATGCTCTAGTCATATATGCTACTAATTTTAATAATCATAATAATGAGTCTCTATATAATGTTGCAATTAATTATTCATTTAATGACGAGAAATCGAAAATATTAAACCGAATATTCTAGTCCAGAAATGTCTAGCTAAGACCAATACAATAATTTCAACAAAGCCCCTTCAACTAAACTATAACAATCAGCTCACTAATAACTTATATGATGATTATCTCAAGGTTCCAGTAGAAAATCGTAACTGGTGCAGTTCAGATACTTAGAAAGTAAAACAGTTTTCGTTAGTAGCAGTAAGTTATCAAAATGCTGAATAATAAATTGATTGAATTTAGGATTTTATTACTGGACGGTGATACAAACATTCTAGTTGTAAAGTATTCATCCAGAGATTTGAATATTGGGGATCGCATTACAAGTGAGGTCACGAGTTTGTACAATTTAGGAGAAATAGATGTGCAGCCTAACTGAGCTTCATTTGTGATAAATATCATACACATATCAGACTTGATCTACTAAAATAGACTTAATGTAATTCACAAACTTCTCAATTATCATTAAGTGTAGTGTACTACCAATTATTTGTCAGTTACTTTTAACAAATCTGTGTTCACATATTTAATAATATCGGGATGCGCTACATTAAAAGACAGACAGTTTCAGATAACTCCAACCATTTGAAATAAATTCGTTAATAAAAATGACAATTTAGTACACAGCACTTACCCATTAAATGAACGAGAAAAAAGAATCTCAACATACCTAGATACGATACATTTAATGAACAAACAAAACATTGTAAGAAATCTCAACTTAAACAGTAACCAAGATGATGCATAATACAACATATTACATTGCTTACCTAACTGAATCCATAATTGACGACGTACATTAGAATTCAAGAATTCACTTTGAGCAATTTCTTTAGCGAATGGAATATTATTCTATCAACAAATTTAAATAATTATGAAAAAGGTGATTATTTTATTGTAATTATTTATTTAAAGATATAAAAACTGGTAAAAGAAGGTATCAAATATCTATGCGCCACACTTCATCATACAATTTGTGTGAGGGCTGGAATATTGCCCGAATGCTTAAACTGAAGCAAGTGGTTTTCATAGATGGGTCACTCGCCGAGCACTTCACCTAGAGGTTCAATTCATAGGACAGTAGAGCAAAGTTAGGAGATGCGGTCCCATTTTAGTCGGTGACCAACAATAGGTTGATAAGTTACTTGCTCCTTCAGGATCGTAGAGCCCATGTGGACCATTGGTTTTGAATTGTGATTTTCCGACTCTTGTAGTTGGATCCCCATATTTACTAACCTGGTTAAAGAGTTAGACATTCGCTTTTCATCATCTCGATTTCGTAAACAATGTCATTTGCATCCTTCTTGAGTTGTCTCTTTCAAACTTCATTGTTCCTTCATTTCTGCTGTTATTTTAATTGCTTCTAGTTTTTTCCTCTCTTTTCTTTTCCTTCACATAATCTGTCAGTAAAAATTCCACTTCCCATACCTGACACACTACTTATATCTGACCATGTTAGTAGCATACATCACAATAATAATACCGTAATGAATGAGACCTTAGATGAATTCAATGGAAAATTACAGAACATCTAAGTAAAATATGGGAACTATACATTAAATACTTCATTTGAAAATCTTCCATCAAATATGCTTTACATTCTGCATGATTCTTCAAACTCACAATTCCTTTCTATTTCCCATTCTGTTTTCATAGATTGGATCTTGATGGCCTTCTGCTTCCAGGCAGTCCTCTTCCGATAGATATTACATACTACCTATGTCCATCAACATAAGTAGCATCAACCACAATGTTAGTAATAGACTAATTGTATTACCAAATGTTAATTTTAACAAATTTTATTGAACTACGATAATGAAAATTAGTGTAATAATAATAATAATTTCATAAAAAACGTACCAATTCAATGGCTAATTGTAAAGCTTCTTGATGCATATCCAATAATTGTAGTATATAAAGTACACCTTTTAAATGATCAACTTCTTTGCATAAACGAAGCACATAACCAGGATCATAGGGTAACACTATGCAGAAAAAAAAGTCAAAATGAACTCGATAAATAAGTAAAAATACTACCCAACTTTAGAGATTAACTGCAAACCATCTATTTCTTTAATACAGAACACATAATTCTGAATCATTCAGACAAGTGGCATAAATAGGATCTTTGCCAATAAAATTCGATCAGGACTAAGAAGAACCAGACGAATAAAATATGAAATTGTTTATGACACAGTGATTAGTCAGTTGTAAGTAGCTCGGTACAACAAGTTCATTGGGAATCGAATAGCTCATTGAACAGTATGTCAAACTATGAAGCTGCGTCGTTAGGATTGAACTATACGAGGGACATTATTTACCGGACGAGTACACGTAAGCCCCATCGAAAAATACAAGACAGCACAAAATCGAGAAGGGTTCCGAGTCGACTATTTCCAACTACCTGGTAGAAAAATTTAATTTGTAATCCATAAGTTTCCTCCTAAATAATTAAGTTTAAAATAAACAAGTACCTAGATGAATTAATCCTATTCATTTGCTGTAAATCTTTTAAAGAATGTATTTGTTATATCCTGATAAGAATCATGAAAGGTAACGGTTGGGATCTATTTATAGACTAATATTATATATTTTTATTGTATAACTGTTAAATAACTAAACTACGTATATTCATATTCCTCTTATTATAAGCATTATTTTGACCTATGGACTATTATACGACTTACCATTCTTAAGTTATGCCCAGTTGATTAATTATAGTCTTCCACAATGACAGCCACTTTTTGGCTTGATGCTGTACAAATATTATTTCTAATTATAGTGTGGTCTGTTTAGCTTGTTGCTTTAAATATATGATTCATATCACGGAGGCTGAGATTGATATTCTGGACTTAACAGGTAGGGAATAGGACTAATCGGGACTCCATGCTGTTCGTTCACGTGCATGCGTCATTTGTTGGTCGTATAAATCCACGTATCTAAATTTGGTAATCGTATAAGCTAAGAATATAACAGCATTCATCATCAACCTACTCTATTTCACCCCGATTATTAATTGGAACTTGTCATTGTAGAATGTAAGGTGAGGGATTCTGTTAGATTTTCCCATTAAGTGTTTGAAAAATTTCTCCAGAAGCTAGGAAAGTTCTGAGAATCGTTTGACTAACACAGTATTCATACGAAACTTCCAAAAGGATCCTAGAAAATAACCAACGGTGTTGGCATTTTCTGATTGGGTAACGACCGATGTTACCCTTAGTTTTAATATGTTTAGAAGAGGCTTGTAGAAGCTCAAATTCACTTAACCTATAAATACACTTCTTTTCTGTGCAGAAATTAACTAATTAAGTAATGACCTTTGCATATTTCTTATCTTTTATTTTCTGTTTAGGGCTCAAAAGTAGATCTGTGAAAACTAGGAAGAAAGTAAAATGTTGTCCGTGTTCTCATGTACAAGGCACAACAGAATTTATTGGGAGTAAAATATTTTACATTTGTAGGGGTATGCATTCCATAAAATGCTAGTTGAATAACTTCAAGGTCGAGTATTATAAGCAGAGATGGATGATGGATAGCAGTGGAATTCACGACGCGTGTTTCATCCTACTTTGAACTGGTCAATCGAATGTTAATGTTTACTCTGAGACTCGAACCTAGTACCGTTCGCTACAAACACTATCACGTTATCCACTTAGCTACTGAGTTTAGATAACCACTAGCTTATACAATCGAGTGAAGTTTTAATTCGTTTTTGTATTGTTTGTTTAACTCTTCCTAATGATGTTTCCGATTGCAACTGATCAGTCTTTTATTCAAACAACCAATACAAAAATGAATTCAAAGTCAAATGTTTTTACGCTTCCTGAGAAGAGTCATCAACAGTGTCCACTATTATGAACATCAACGTGTAGATAATCAAAAATTTTATTTATTTATTTATTTAAACACAGAAACATTGGTACAAGGAGGCAGCAAATAGATATACGCCACATAAAACATTCGATTTATGTGAGGGTTAGGATACTGCTGAGTATCCAAAACGAAGCAGGTGGTTCCCTTAGGGAGCCACACCCGGAGCATTAGACCTAAAGGTCTGATCCACAAGGCAGTGGAGCATTGTAAGGAGATGCAGTCCCATGGTAGCCGGTGACGAACAATAGGTTTATACGCCATTTGTTCCTTTAGGATACTGGAGTCCATGTGCATAATTGGTTTGGAATCAGGGTTTTTCAACTCCTCTAGACAGACTCTCTGTATCCACCAAGAAACATATCACACAAAATGTATTAACTTACATGACAGGATATCTTGTTCTTGATGTTGATTTGTTAAACATTTTAGTTTATTCATTACATTACCGGTAGAACAATCATTCACTGTATCATTATCATGTTCTAACAATGATAATTCAGTTAAATCTATATTCAATAATTGATAATCATTGAATAAATCTCCATTATCGACAATGTTTGGTGATGTTGTTGTTTTAAACGTTTTATATGAATTGCTTGGATACTAAATTTTTCTAAATATTTCATTAATCTATCATCATTATGATTTAAATGATATTCATTAGCATATAATGAAATAAGCATATGATGTACAGCTTGATTTGATATACTTTTATTAGTATATATTCCAATAGTATCTTCTAAGTAATTTATTGCATAATTATTTGGTAACAACATAATTGAAGGTAGAAGTCTATTTATAAAGAAATAAGAAAGAGGGGGAGAAAAAAAGAAAGAAAAACGAGACAAATAAATTACAATTATGTAAGAATAAGATGAATGAGAATTGATCAAGAGAAGTAATAATAGAGTAACGGTTTTGGGCGATTACGGATTGAAGTTTGTTTATTTGTTTTTTCAACCAATACGTTTTATATTCAAAATACTGTGCTTCAATGAATTCGCTTTTAAACAGCTGGTTAAAATGATTGACTGTTAAACTAATCTCTATAGGTAAGTGGAAGCTAACTAACTGGTTAGGCTTTGTACTATAGTTGTGATCACGATTGAAAAAGCTAGGTGTTTTGAAATGAGGTATCCGAAATCCGATATTGGTACATAGTGTGCTATGTGCTAACCCCCCCCAATTGACTACATGAGCGAGAACATAAGAATGAGTAAGAAAGTACATTTGGCTTCCGAATGAAATGCACAAATACTCAATGATTTATATAACACTCTATCCTTGGGAAATTGATCCCAACAAAATACACTTGACCTTTAGGTCACTTTTAACTTTTGGCTCTCCATAGCACTGGATGATTGGGATTGAAACAATTTAAATGTAAACACTTTTCAACTTTATTTGGATTGTAAGTTTACAATTTTTTCATGACTTGCTAAGCATAAATAATGTGACATTTTGAACCAATACACATTTGTGTCAAATTCAAAGTTACTTATGACTAGCTAAATGACTTAACTTTCAACCAACATGTCTCAGTTTTAAGACACCTTTAGTTACATCATGTCAAAAACTTTTAATAAGTAAGATACATTTTTAAAACAACAGAAAAAAAGAGAGGATAAGGAAATATTGGAACCAAGTTCGTCTGTTCATAATACTTAAGTTGTTGAGAAGTATGATCTAATCCAGTATACAGTTAAACATTAATGAATTCAGATGTTTTGAAACAATCATCCATAGATTGAAGAAGATATTCAACTGAGTTCAATTGTTAACTATACTTTGAGTTAAAATGTTTAAATTCGTGGAAACCAGGATGTGAATTTGGTCTTATTTGAGACTAGTCATATGGATGTACCTACGCCTTAAGTATTATAATTCATATTGAAACTTCAACCTAGTACATTTTGCTACCAATGCAATGTACATTTAGCTACCGAATTCGGGTAACTATTCACTTATATAACAAGCATGATGTTTATAATATGCTCAACAAAAGTTCGAAATAAACACAAGGTATCTAGACGTTGAGAGTTCGCACGCGAGAACGAAGGTCTTAAGTTTGAATCCCGCGTGCAGGATCATAGGTACGCACTGCTGAGGAGTCACAAACTAGGACTCTCAACAGTGGATTAACAGATTACCATAAGAAAAGAAATTAACGGAGTTATGAAGTCTATCTGTTCAGCTTCTCGATTTATTATCATTAAACAAACACTTTAATGAATAAAAACCTAATAATCCTACGGATACAAAAAGTCAAGTTTAGTAAAATTGGATTTAATACTTGTTTACACTAAGAAAATATTTCTAGTGAACAAATTATCTTAGTGTTATAGCGTCTGCTTGATTACGGCAGAATACGCTGTACGACAACTGGCACTCGAACGTGTAGAACGCCACAGTTGCAAATCAAAAAATAGAAAAAGCAAAGGAAGCGATTATTGGGTAAGTGTCAAGAATGAATGGAAAATAGGTGTATTTATAGTTTTTAGTATAGGGTATAACATCATCATAATCAAGCCAATCCACAAAAAGAGAAGGTATACAATTGTCCAATCAGAGAATGTCATGTTGACAGTCTAGAAGGTTCTATCAGGTTCTGATTGGACAGAATATCTTGGGTTTCTTCAGAAACTCTTTGTCAGACTTCTGGAAGCCATCGCAACACTTAGTTCATAGGGTCCTCATTTGGACATGAAATTATTCTATTCTAAAATAGTTTGTAATTCACTGGAAATATATATCCTATGATAAATCTTGTAAATAAACGCCTAGACGCTGACTTGCTAACCCAAAAGGGTCCTGAAAACGCTGGGAAACATTTTATCCAATCACCATTCAGTAGAACTCTCTCAGGAACATCTAGAAACTAAAGAGTCACAAGACACATTCCTCATTGGATGATTACCTACCTATACTGCTACCGTGCGTGGTAGGGTTCCAGAACTTTCCACAAGCAAAAGGTCGTCTAAAAATGCTATAAACACCCAAGATTTTCTGTACATAAATTAACCTTGGAGTAAACAGTTCTTTCCATATTATTACGCGTCTTTTCTCTCGTGTTCAATTTGTCGTGTAGAATTAGCCTGGGGCTATTAAAAGAGCTTAGGAAACCGATGCAAGTGTTCAGTTCGAAGATCTATCAGCTTTATACTGCACTGTTTTGTGTGAGAAGTGTTGTGATACTACCACAAAGCTGTTGAAATCAAATGTACAAGCAGGACACCGCATCTTTCTCATTCTAATTCACTGCCTCTGTAAAAACATGAAACTGAGTAACACTATGCTGTGTTTTAAGTTATTATTGTTGGCTAGATAATCACAACAATAAAAACAGTATAATAGTTCAAACGTGAATCATTATTATTATTTGTTTGAACACATAAATATTGGTACAAAGAGGCACCAAATACATATGCGCCACACAAATCTCATTTCAATTGTGTGAGGGCTGTGATACAGCCTGGGTGTTCAAACCGAAGCAGGTGGTTTTCTTAGGAGCCTTCAACCTAAAGGTGTGATCCACAAGGTAGTGGAGCATCGTAAGGAGATGCAGTTCCATGGTAGCCGGTGACCAGTAAGTGTTTCATACGCCATTTGTTCCTTAAGGATACTGGAGTCCATGTACACCATTGGTTTGCAATCAGGGTTTTCCAACTCCCCTAGGTGGACTCTCCATGTCCACCAACCCGGTTAAAGCGCCGGACATTCGCTTTTCGTCCTCTCAATTTCGTAAACAACACTTGGACGCGAGAAGGCAGAGGCTATATACGCGTGGCCAACGTGAATCATATTACCAGATAGAGAACGGTGGCTTATAACATTCAAGCTGTTCGACTTTCAACTACTTATTTGTAAGTTTGAATCCCACTGAACCTACTTCAATATGAGCAGCCTCAAACTTAGAGTATACAGGCCAAGTAAATGAATTTGATATTTACAACAAGCTATACCACATATTCACTGGTCGAAAATACTGAAAATTAAACTAATTTTACGTCAAAACGTACAATTTTTAAAAAAAGAATAAGATTTTAATTACTAACCGATTAGTATCCAATTTACTGTTTAAACGAAGACATACATTGACAAATTCCTCTGGACATTTACTAGCTAAGCATGATGCATGATCATATAATCGATTTAAACAGTTTGGATAGGTGGCTAATATTTTTAAGGCATCACTGTACATACATTGACGCATATAATGATCCACTAAACGAGGATAATCTAATTTTTCAAAATGAGATAAATGAGAGAAAAAAAGACAAAAGAAAGAAGTCTGAATAAGTGAACAAATATACAGCTAAACAATTGAAAACAATTACGGCATTAACCGTATCAGTATCAGTCAGTCAGTCAGCTACAAACGTAGGACCAGGCACATATCAGTATGGTGAAATTTAATTCTATGTATTTTATAATAACGAGAACTAGTTCCAGTTAGTCATTGTCAATGTAAAGATATGAAATGCATTTGAATATACCTTACAGAAATACAAAAAGGGAGAAGATCCACTATAGGAAAAGAAAAGGTGAGGAATTAACTTCGACTGCACTAAAGACCTAAGTAGGCCCTTACCTTATTTTCAAACATCTACTTGTGACAACTAACATCAAAGGTCACGGTAATCGGTAGCTAATCATGACAAGTAGTTCAATACCTGAAGGTTTGTGAACATACTTTCCTCAAATAAGAATGACAATCAGAACCAAAACACTCGGTAGTTAAATGATCCGATGTACATATGTCCCTATGACTACAATGACCTAAAGGTGTACGGGGAAGATTGATATCACTTATACCGTCATAATCAACATAAAGGATTGGAATAATGTGTGTTAGATCAGGTTGTTATTTCACTTAGTACAAGGAAATGAAATTAATAAGATGAAAGAGTTGAAGTAATCATGGTAGTGATATGATTTAGAACAAACAACAGAAATATATTTTGATGAGGTGGTAAGTAGGGAGGAATACTAAAAGTCAAGATCTGGGGGAAGACAAGTGAATTCATCTGCATTGTTGTAACTGATTCTGAGCCATATCACTAAACGCTTTCAACCACTGATTGAAATAACCGTGTAGACCTCATCCAAGTAGTCTACATATACTTACACCGCTCAATCCCACAATGAAATACTTCATGGGCTAATGTCATTGTCTCAATCTGACCGGTTCTAGCTTTCTTTTAACCTATTCCTACACCAGCTAACATCGTGGTGGTTGGACAGACGCAACACATATCCCACCACTTCAAATAATGAGGATTCGCATCATAGAACGGTTTGCCAACTTTCTCTAGTGGCTTATGTCTTAACGTTAGCATTTATCGCTTAACCATTCCACAACACTCAAGAAATACTTTAAAGACGGCTGTATATTTAATTAGTGTTTAGAAGACACCACCACATCAACATCTTCACCAAATAGGACTGTATCATCCGTGTTATCTCAGTTGATCAGTATACGTCCTGGTAAGAAATCTATTCCTACAAAGTTAGGTGAAATTTCGATTTTCAGGACATCTATGATGTAGTTATATAAAAACAGGGTGGTGGGCAACCCTGATAGACACCACATGAGGTTGGTAATTCATAAGCTCTGACTCGAACACTAATGTTTGAAGGACTAGTCTGTAGTGTTTAGTACTAATTCAATCCCACATAGGTTATTCTAGATTCCGGACAGACGAGTTTATCCATTCATTCTTCTTTTTCTTCACATTTTGACCTTGTCAATTATTCGCTTATTAACCTTGACTGTTTTTATATGAGTGTATCTATGTGCATTGCTTATGTTACCCACTACATGTGTGTAACTTACTCTTGTCTGACTATAAATACTGAATCTCACCTTAACAAAATGAGTTGGAATCTCTCTCCCTTTCTCTTTCTCCACCTAGTCTCTCTGATTGTCTGTCTGGAACAATGACCGTACAAAATACACGTATTCAAAATTCATTCTCGTATTTGACTTATTTTATTAAGTTATTCATTAACGCGACTCAAATCGATAATTACATACAGGAATAACCAGGATGCATATTTTGATAACATCATCATACGATGTAATTGGAGTCAGATTAAAAAGTCTCAAAAAGCCTACACATTATTTATGTTCTTTATTTTGGTACGCTTTTATATGATAAACTACCACAAAATCTCTCGGACAACCGAGTCGAATACCACTCAATGGTAGGGAAATATTATGATATTTGCGAGCTTGTAATTATGATAATGTTTTAGAACCTAACGAGCAGTAATTAGTTGATCGATACATCAACGTCCAAGTCTGAATTCATCCTGCTTTTCCCGAGTTTCCTGTTCACGAGCATTATTTAAGGGTTGGATGATTGTGTGAATATCTTCTGATAGAACTTCATTTAACAACACACCTCAGAAACGTCCAGAGAAATCTAAAAATCTAACAAATAACTAATAATCAGTTGATGGTAATATGTTTACATAAGAGTAATTATAGATAATGTAGCCTAATACTTGGTTAGCAATCACGTGATTAAATTGAAACCATTTTTATACGTCTAGGAATTAGGTTTACAGACCATTACACAAATGCTTTAGATAATATTAAGATTACCAGTGATTTAGAGATTAAATTATTCAAATTCTAACTGAATACTGGCTTCGCCTACATCTATTGAACCAACCTGAAGATAATACTAGTAACAGTAACACAAAAACAGTGAGGTTGAAAATTGTTAGGGGACCCAAAAACCTCTTCGGAAAAAAACCAAAACAGCCTTGAAAATGCTAGGAAACATGTTATCCAATCACCATTCAGTAGAACTCTCTCAGGAACATCTAGAAACTAAAGTGTCACAAGACACATTCCTCATTGGATGATTACCTACCTATACTGCTACCGTGCGTGGTAGGGTTACAGAACTTTCCACAAGCAAAAGGTCGTCTAAAAATGCTATAAACACCCAAGATTTTCTGTACATAAATTAACCTTGGAGTAAAGCGTTCTTTCCATATTATTACGCGCCTTTTCTCTCATGTTCAATTTGTCGTGTAGAATTAGCCTGGGGCTATTAAAAGAGCTTAGGAAATAGATAGATTCAAGTGTGCAGTTAGAAGATTTATTAAAAATTTTCAATTTCTTATTGTATTACTTAAATTATTCATTGAATATTGAATGATTTAACAAAACAGAACTATGGATGATAATGACTTACCTTTCATTAATTCCATAAAATAAACAAGTTCATCATTTTCACCATGATTTTCTAATAAATCGTATATCAAAGATTTTGCTTCTGGTAAAAAATTCTAATAGAGATGTATAGAAAATCATAGAAATACATTTATTTTCATATATCTAGAACAAAACAAAATACAGTTATAATTCTTAAAGTTTCTTAGTATAAAAGGAATGTACACGTAAACCGTTCTGAGGTTATTTATTTATTTAAACACATAAACATTGGTATAAGGAGGCGCCCACTATACAGACACCACATAAATCATTCGATTTTTGTGAGCTCTGAGACACTACTCACATGAACAAATCAAAGTAGGTGGTTTTCTTAGAGGGCCACTAACAGAGCATTTCATCTAGAGGTCTAATCCATAAGGCAGTGGAGCAACGTTAGAAGATGCATAGTATTCGGTGATCAACAATAGGTTGATATGTCATTTGTTCCGTCAGGATCGTGGAGCCTATGTGCACCATTAGTTTGGAATTGTAGTTTTTCAACTCTCCTAGGTGGATCCTCTATATCCACCATCCTGGTTAGTCAGTTACAACGTAGGACCAGGCACATATATGCATCGATCCAAGTTTCCACATCTCATTAACACAAAAACATCAACACCAATTTCATAGAATTAGTTACTTCAATAATAGTAATATATAAAAGAAAGATTGTATATAAGGATATAATACAGGAATAAACAATTAGTTGGTAGAAAGAAAAGCTTAAAGTAATTTCAATCTCACGGTTTACGTGAAGACAAAGAGTGTATATACCTACGCCATTGTGATCGATTTGAGCCATTTCACCCAGAGCCTCCAACCATTGGATGCGATAACCGCGCGGACCCCAACCAACAGGACTAAGAATAGAAGAGAGAGAGTCGGACATTCTTTTTTTCCTCTCAATTTCGTAAACAACACCTCGATCGAGAGGAATCAGTGAGTAGGACTTCTCTGGCAATCGCTGTATACGCGTGTCCATGTGAGCGTATTTCGAGAGGGAGAGTTGACTCTTCTTACCCCCAACCATTCCAGGGAATTCGGGAGCCTCTGCGATAAACATTCATAATTTCAGGTATTTGAATGAAAACTTTGCTTGAACTAGGTCTCGTACTAGTCGGTACTTGTCAACAGCAAAGCGTACCTACAATTTTTAGGGAACTAATGCTTTATACAGAGCTCAAAGCCGATTTACTTGGTTTCAAATCTGAGATGTTATCACTGACCAACTCGGGAGACCACAGTCCACTTGTGTAATTGAGATATTTACAAATGATTGATGTAATATGGGAATGATTATGGCATTAGCATAAAGAAAGGTGAATAAGGTGTTTTGAAACTTTAAAACAGCTTAGGTAAAGTTGGATACAATACCGAATTTCGAATACATATTAGAGGGCTTTTAAGAAAACCTCAGAGTTCATTTGTTGGAGATTAGATTAGCGTGTTATTAGGAGAGGAGTGAGTATTTTTGTCGGTGTATTATTTATGTTTATCAATCACGTTACAAAGCTATTATGTAACAGGAAGTATGGATAGACGATTATTCTAAAACTAGTTGAGGTTTAATAATTAGAAGTTCGTTAAATAACATATGTAGTTACCGGTATAACACCCGAATAAGGTTTACCCACCGTAAATAACTAAGTTTATGAAAATTCTTCCTTGTGAATACAGATATGTTCCAGTAAAGTTCAACAGACACAAAACAGAAGATGATCAACGGAATGATATAAGATAAATGTCAAAAATTAATTCTACCTCTATGACTAATATATTCATTGATACATAGAGTCGTACAACTGATTTATAAGAACGAGCCATTGAAAAAAATTAAGCATATAACAAATTTGAAATGAAAACTATTGGATGATAACTGAATGGTCTAAATGTAACGACGTACACTCTCTGGGCAGCATCATAAATACATAACGATGAGAAATCTCATACTAGTTATAGATCAATGTCGAATGCTGTTTGATTTTCAATATCTAAAGATAATTAATTCATAACATAAACTATCTTTTCAAAATGAAGATTTAGAAAATAATTTAACAATGATATATAACAGTTTATCAGTATAGGGTTGTGAAGATTATTAAGTTTTTGACTGAGATGATGAACCGATTGATGTTAGACCACCATTGAAAACCTGGAAGCACTGGACGGTTGTTTCGTCCTATTGTGGGACTCCTTAACAGTGCGTATCCATGATCTCGCTCGCAGGATTCGAGCGAGGTTTTCAATGGTGATCTATCAGTTCGTGATCTCAATCATATAATAATTTAGATTATATCTTAAAGTATACTATTTACTTACCAATACTTCCGGTAATACTATGATTGTACGAAATTCACGTTGTACAGAAGCTAGACGATTTTGTAATGTTAATTTAACTTTATCATCACAATTATCATTATTGTTAACGGTAATATTTCCATCACTAATCATCTTGTTATTTTGATCATTATCATTAACTATTTGATCAAGATCATCATTATCATGATCCAATTTTGTTATCATTTTAAGACGATCACGTATCACACTTAATTCAGTTATTAATAATTCTATTAACCAAATTGCTAATAAAATTATTTGACCTGATAAATTTACTACTGATTGTTTATTGATATTACTTATTATTTGATTATTCTGTTCTATTAAATAATCTAATTTTGATGATAAAAATATTTTCAATGGTGTCAATGTACTACTATATGAATGGATTGATGTTATGAATGATTTACATTGTTTTATAGATGAATCAATTAGTCCTGTTAGTTTGTCATTGATTGGATGTTGTTGTTTTGATTGAATAATTAATGCTTCCATAATATCATGATCATCATTAATTTCATAACCTTGTTGAATTAATGTAGATGGTATAATGGTTGATGAAGGATCTATTGTATGTGTTGTTGTTGATGATGATGATGATAAACGAAAAAAACGTAATGCAATTTGTTCAAATGGTATAGAACTACGAGCAAATAATTTAGCTGCAAGTCCATAACTATTAATGAGAAGAGAAAAAGAGATAAACGACTGAAAAATAACTGAAAACGATAAGTTTTTTCCTAAAAGTTTTACTTAATATGAACTATTGTCGACATGATTACATAGATAGATGCTTTCGAAGTATTGTTTATGTTATGATGGAATCATTGAGTTAGCAATGCTAAGGTTAGACTGAGGGTGATAAATAACTTAATCAGGTAGTGAATCTTCATCGATGGAGGTGGTTTGGACATAGATTACGTATACTCAACCACTGGGTGCCTTGACTCGATATAGTAGTTGGTGATGACAGTGAGATCAGTTTGTGAAGTCTTTGACTATTGGACTGAGCAGTGTAGCTATATTCAAACTACATCACCAGATTCAGCACGATTACCCGACTGTTGCTGCTACCTTTACGTAGTGGTCCTGCTTGCCTATCGTAATGAACCAACAGAGTTTTACTGGCTGGAACAATCGTTTCTCAAGGCCCTACCACGACAGACAGGTCGGTTCAAGAACGGTAAGACTAAAAGCAGCAAACCCAAGGTATGAGGGCGAAGTCGTACTGCTGACTGTACAGAAGTGTGACAGCAGTAAGGTGTTTCCTTCAGACAACCAGCATAACGGCGATGTTGTTGCCCCACAAGGAGGGGTTAGATTAGAAAAGATCGACCCTAAAAATGCACACCTCGTCTTAATTCTATGGATCTCCGTCTGCAGCAATAAAGGCCCAACAAGCACGGAGCTAGAACGAAAACTACCCACAAAAGGTCGTGTGTGACCGACCTCAAGCAGTTGTCCCTTGGGCACTGCGTTCACGCTCTCAGGTCACTAAGACCAACTCTAACCCAATTACCTCCAGAAGAACCCTTCCACAGTATGGGCATCCGGAAAGTGACAACAACCCTCATACTTTTAGCAGCACTCAAGACCACTGCATTCATAAGCAATACCCCTCTGAGCTCTAGCTCAGAGAACAAAACTCCAACAAACTCATCCACCTGAGCTACAAATCTTCTCTACCTCAAGTGGTGTCCGTCTAGGCTGTCCAATATCTCCAATTTTGTCCAACTTCATCATAGACATACTGATGGAAACAACGTTCTCGTCAACTGAATTTTTTAAGAAGTGATCTCCTACCAGGAGGTCCACTTATGGACTTGGAATACGCAGATGATATAGTCCTGTTTGGTGAAAACGCTGATAAAATGCAGTCTTCTGGTACTCGTAAGTTACCAGTATTTGACCACAGATGCCTTAGAAATGTTGCTCGCATTTACCGGGATACCGGGCAGGTAATAATGAGGTTAGACGTAGGGTAATAAGGAACGATGGTAAATCAGTTGATGAGGTTATGGTTATTCACCGACTGAGATGGTTGGATCACGTGTTACGTATATTTGAACACCGATTACCACGACGCACAACGCTGACTATTGTTGAGAATGGTTGCAAGAACGTTAGGGGCGATCAAACCAAAACGTGACATCAGCCCTTGAAACCACGGTTATCGTAACCAATAGTTGGAGACTCTGGGTGACATGGCTCAAAATCGATCACAATGGCGTAGTATATACACTCTTTGTCTTCACTTAAACTGGGAGATTGAAATTACTTTAAGCTTTTCTTTCTACCAACTAATTGTTTATTCCTGTATTATATCCTTATATACAATCTTTCTTTTATATATTACTATTATTGAAGTAACTAATTCTATGAATTTGGTGTTGATGTTTTTGTGTTAATGAGATGTGGAAACTTGGATCGATGCATATATGTGCCTGGTCCTACGTTGTAGCCGACTGACAGATTCAGCGCGATTAACGAAACTGATGGTTAGAGACATTGGGTGACCGGAATCAGAATCCATCCCAATAACTTGAATGCATCCACTCTTTCGTCATCCCCTAAATCTTCAGTTTTGAAATCATCACATAATTTTTATTCCGCGAATTCATTCTTTGTTCTCAAATCATATTACATTTATCTAGTTTTTTTCAACTGTCACTGATATTGTTATTAATTCTATTACATTGGCATTTATCTCAGCAACTGTGCTGATATGATCTGGCAACTTGGACAAATGCACATGTAAGAACTGAAGTTTTAAGCTGTTTATGACTGAATGATTAAATAATGTTTATAAACTGGAAGTTTTAGAATTAATACCACAGTATTTTTCCATTTTAGAATGTTATTGAACATTTGCTTGGATGATTTAAATCAGTGAATTAAAAGCTAAAAGCACATAACTTTCAATCAATTGGGTTGATAGATTGGAATCCCGCTTCTCTATCTATTTAGATTTAGACAGGTAGGTAATAGTTTCACTGCCACTCATATCTAAACAGTATCAAAAAACCGACTAAATAAGCTTGTATTTAATGAGTTTTTTAAACTATTATTTATTCGAATACTACAAGATACAAAATTGGTTTAAAATTATGCAAACTTTCTTCCGTGGAAAACAATCTCATACTCTGTATGTTCATCGATTCAATTTCTGTCCAACTCTTGTTTAATTTTTTTCCAATCAGAAGAAATAACATCATTAAGCGTAGAAAGTGAGCGGAACTTTACAGCAATAAACTATATTCTATGCAATCGCATAGATGAGTGATCATTACAAGCCTCCGATTACCTATTAGGATATTTACGTACGCAAACAAAGGTATTAAGGATGGGAACTGTAAATAAACTCAGCATAGTGACAGTATATTAGGTATCCTGTTTTCTTTTTTTTTAATAATGTAAGAGACTACAGTTTCGAAAATCAATGAGAATAAATAATTGTTGAATGTGGGACAAAAAACATGAGTTCACAAGTAAAATTATACTTACTTTTCATTATCAAAATTATATTCCGCTTCACGTATATTGATGGTATCCATTGACCAGGATCCTTTTTTTATGCGTGAAACAAAAAGAAATAAAAGGTTGATTAATAAATACGATCAAGATGATAAGATAACAACAATGAGGTAATATTACCTATTCCAAGTAAATAGGACAAAAGTACAAATTATAAGGATAAGATGATGGTTGGAGGTAGCTGTCAGGAGACCCTAGACTTAGATTTCGTCCTATATGGTACTCACCAACAAGGTGTACATGTAATCTTGGGGGAACTAGTGCTACTTCATGCATTCGGCCTTATGTCACCCAGCTTCACTGTCAGAGAAGTAAACACTAAGGTATCCGGGCCACAACTGACCGCCTGTAGGATTAAAAATCTTTTATGATTGATCGGTCACTCGGTAGTGACCAATGTCATTTATTACAAGTCCTTCTAAGTTATGAAGACGGTCCAAGGGTGAACCGAAAGAGGCTCAGAAAGAGCCAAAGACATTCCATCCAATCATCTTTTGGAAGAACATTCTACAGTCTCGACATGTAGCTCTCCTAATAGACAAATGCTAAAACCCACTGTATGCGGACTGAATGGCTCTAATGACGATTTCGTTTTTACTAAAAACTATAAATACGTGAGAGTTTTGTACTATATTTGACACTGTTTGGAATAACATTCCTCCTCATTCATCTTCTGTTTTCTCATTTGAGACTTGGAGGGTTCTGACATTCGAGTGCTCAAGTACTACGAGGTATATCAACAATCTAAACTCTAAAGATAACAAAGTTTTGATTGGATTCCATTGATCAAGTCACTAAGAGGAACGAGACAGAACTGATTTGCAACACTGACTGAGATTTAATAGTTGTTCGATCTGATGATAAAAAGATAAGACGAGATATCCTCGTTTATTCAACACACTCGAAATCTAACTCGTATATAAAATAATAAGTTATTGATGATTTCCATGCTTGGTTTCGAATATTAACACGGATGTAGACTGACCAAACATATCATGATTGTTCTTATTGTCACTTAAAACAAAACTCAACTTATTTTCCAGGTAAAAGTTTGTCTTCTTGACTTTGAGATAATCTAAGTATGAGGGCTAGTGATGCCACACGGCTGGTCAAGTGGAAAGAGGTAGGATGATGTTCAAATATGAGAATAAATGGTGTAATGTCGAACTACTGCTCAGATGGAGCACAGACGTTAGATAGTAAAATGTCCACAATTTAAAGGTATTAGACACTCATATCATTTCTAGCAGGATAAAAATGCCGTTTAGACTTGGGAAAAGCCGAATTAATGTTAAGTTTTCCTGAAACCAGTAGAATATTGCTTTCATAAAGACCATACTATCATCAGTGACCACACTAGTTTAGTTAAACTCTATTTCCGTATATCGCTTAAAAAACACAAGTTTTAGTCTATGACAGATTTATTTTATTATTTATCTGGACAAAATAAAATATCTTATCAGTTGACTTTCTTACGACAGTGACTCATGGGATCAGAACACCTTAAAGTGTCGACATTTGATAATAAGGCAAACAGTTTAGCAGATAGACTGATGAGATGATAGATTTTTAACATACTTCATCTATTCACGAGTCGTTCCCGACTAAAGACCTATTTTGTTAGGGAAACTGAAACATGTTTAGAACAGAATGTTATACGAACTACAACACATTGAATATTACTCACACTCTTATTATTCAACTTTTTTGCAAGGTTGTTTTCTACGGGATGGGGTTGTTAACCACATGCTCAACCCTTCTCATTATCCGGGCTTCGAACTGGCAGTAAACTTAAAAGTGCCGCATGTGAGGAAAGGGCAGTAGTCCTGCAATTAAAGAACATATGGAACTCAAAACAACCATCGACCAACACCTAATTCAGGAGTTTCAATACAAACGTCAAAAAAGTTAGTTCCATTCTACAGAGTTGAAACTTAAAGAACCATTACAACCATCATCAAAAATGTACAGGTACTTATAAACAATGGTCTACTTAAGATACTCCAAATCCGTTGGCCGGACACCATCAACGACAACCTACTGTAGTAAAGAACAAACCAACTTACATCTGGAGAGGAAATTAGGAGAACACACTGGAGGTGGATAGGATATACATTTCAGAAAACATCAGAAAACAGACTGCATTACGAGGCAATCTCTAACTCAGAATCCTGGAGGCGAAAGGAAGAGAGGCAAACAAAGAACATATCACGCCGAGTATTGGAGGCAGATAACAAACGAATGAATACCACTTGGGAATAACATGAAAAGTGAGCCCAGGATAGAGCTGGTTGGGGAATAATGGGCGGTGGCCTATGACGTAACATACCTGACAAAATTGGCGCGCTTCATCAAACTGTAGACGATCCAAATAGATTTGCCATATTCTACATAATTCATTCCTCATATTTAATCGAGCCAAATGATTATTGCTGAATATCCAAATATGATTAGATAATGAGTCACGCGATATACCTAAAGCCCGTTCACAGCCAATGATATTATTTAACGGCATTGAATAAACTGCTCGACCATCTAAAGTATTCACAGCTTTAATGCGATCCACATAGATAATGATAAGATGAAATTCTGTCAAACAAATGCCTAATGGTACACCAGGTCGTTCAAGCATATGAATAATTGGATACGGGATAAGTTTTGTATTTCGCGTTAAATTAACACCACGACCAGAGAATATATCTTTCGGTCGATTTGGATCATCTGTATTATCAGTGGCAGTAGGTAGAAGAGAAACAACTTCATTTGGAAATGATTTTACATCAATTGGTTGATCATTTGTTGAAAGTTTTGTAAATGGAGGCATACTTAATTGTTCTGTTCTTATGTAACCGAAGTAAACACCTGGACCTGGAATTTTACAATCAAGAATAAAGAGATTTTAAAAAGGAATGTGTTATTGTAGTAAAAAATAACATAAACTTATTTATCACATACACAGCAATATTATCAGCTTTGAGTTACATCATTTGTGTACGTCATAGTAGTGTGGTGTATGCTATTAATGTCGAGAGACATCAGTAGTATGTGACATCAATCAAAAGTTAAATAGCTGGCAGTAGAAGGCCAAGAAGATCCAGTTGAAAACAGAAATGGAAGTAGAAATGAATTTTGAACTGGAAGAACAATACAGAGTGTGAAGGGCAAATGATGGGAATTCGCAAATGAAGTATTCAATGTATGCTTCTCATATTTAACCACCAGTGTTCTCGTTCATTACAGTAGCACTAACTACCAATTGTTGGGATTAAAGTGGCTGCGAGGAGATAATTAGAACTGTTACCCGTTGATTAAAAGCCGTTACATGCATGTATATTGAGAATAGCGTGATAAAAAAAAATTGCATCATAATTTTCACCTTAAGTACGACATAACTAACTAACAATTATTCAAGAAATCCAGATAACTCGAGATTATATCAACAGATAAGTATCACATGTGTATGAAAAAGACGGCCAACCTCAGTGAGGTATGTTTACGAAAGCAGCGGTGGGTCGGAAAAGGAGCTAAAAATAACCATAGCGATTTAGACATTAAAATTAACAGGCCAAATTATTGATTGTTGGTTTGAGTAGAGTAGGAAAGCGTAAATTTCTTGGATAAAATATACAGGATAAATGTGATTCATTTTTGGATATTAAATTATACACTAGAAAATTCGACACTACAGATAAGCTTATTTCATAATCTTCTCAAGACTAGATATTCTATCATTCTATGACTTCATAAATAAATCAAATAACATTTAATGACATGTATGTGTATGCAATTGAAGTCATCATTACGTTTCTAACCAAGTATAAAAATTGGTCGATCGAGCTGTCAATTTTTATTGACTGAAGCGGCAAGGGTATGTATTAGGTATGCCCAGACACCACCAGTCACAACGAACTATGTTCATTTGAGTAGTAGGATGAGGAACAAAAATAGAGGGACCAAACCAAGGCACGGCATCAGTTTATAAAGTCATTAACTGTTGAACTAAGTTGTATTGGTGGATGCAGACTACCTGGTTGAGGTCCATGTGATACTTCAGATTAATATTTCAAAATATTAGGTCACATGGCTTACAATCAATCACAGTGGTGCAAATGTATTCACAATCTGTATCGTCACCTCAGAATTGAAATTAAATATACTTTCGTATTACTTATCTCTGTGATCTATAACTCTTTTTCGAACTGTATATTAAAGAGTTTAATCACTTTTACTACCACTGATGCTGTAACCTCGACTAATTTTGTTATTGATCTCAATATGTAAGTAGATAACGCGCTGACGTTTAAGGTAAAAGGTACTGACTTCAAGTTCCAGAGTAAGCATAGACTCAGCATTGCAAATTTATCCAGCTGAAAAGTTCCAAATAGTATGAAACACGCGTTCTCAACTTAGCTTTTATAGTTTCATATAAAAATTGCCTAGGATAAACAATTAAGTTTGTTAAAGCCTCAACCATACAAAGACTCGAACCCTTTTTACTATGCTTGAAAACAATTAGTTTTTACTTTGAGTTTGCTCTGGTAACATCAATTTATGATCCACAATAGTGCACTTCATATTATCTTAATCTTTTTTATATTCAAATTTGTCTCAATCTTTTGTTTTTTAAGTAGAAATACCTTAACAAGTGAATATGCAATCAGATTGCTTGAAATGTATTGGGCTAATAGTATACCATACTAAATCAGATAAAATTCATCATCTCATAGCATTGTCAAAGTATAATTGAGATGAATAATTTGGAATGCATTAATACAAATAGAATATATTCATTGGTTTTAATTTGAGATACAACTATATTAAGCAAATATGATAACCCTAACCTGTCATCCAAGCAAATTTACTAGGGAGTTCATCTTTTACATTACGATAAAGTTTTAAATCACTATATCCAAAACTTCCGGGAAATTCAGTAACTTTGGATCCTAGACAAATTGAAAGAAAATTAAACAACAAGTTATTGATTAATGTACTCATTCGAATAATATGAAATCTGTGCAACAAAATACTTATTACATCATCATAACTTTCAATAGTTTAAAATGTTGTACGCCAGTATTTTTAAGGCTACGATACAAAATATGAGCTGTTGAAATTCCTACGATCCGTGAAATTCTATTAAACTAAACGCTTCCCAAATGTTTGATCAACCAGTAATGCAACTGAAAAATGAACAGGAATCTGTGAATGATAGAAATGAATGATTACGAACATGAATAGTCGCTACATATACATCTGTCCTTCTGATCCGGAAAAGAACATGTAAGCTGAAACCTTATTTAATTATTTTATTTATTTATTTATTTGGACACATGAATATTGGTACAAGAGAGCGCCAATATATATGCGCCACACAAAACAATGAAAATTCGAGAGGAATACAAAGAAAGAAATAAAAAGCTAAGGAGCGCAACAAAAAAAGAGAGAACAATAACGAAGAGATTGGTGTAAGGTAATGTGCTAGTAATCAGGGAACGCAAAGGTACAATCGGAAGAAATCTTTCAGGTAAGGGAGACAGAACCACTTTTTATGAAGAAAGTAAAAGAAGGTTACAGCAGGATCGCCACTGGCTTCTATTCTGAGCCATATCTGATAACGTCTCTAGCCACTGTGTAGCACCATCTCTCAGACCCCAACCAGGGAGTCGTGAAGGACCAACACAAGCCAGTCCTTTGCAGCTTTCTTTCATGCCACGACACCATGTCATGCACTGACCACCTCTCCGCTTCTTCCAACCAGTCCCAGAGTCGGCAAATAATGCACGACGTGGAATTCTCTGGGACGACATTCGTAGAACATGTCCAAGCCACCGAAGTCGGTGTTTCAAGATGGTGACACCAATTGAATTATCATCTCTGTGCCCGAACACACGATGCCGAACCTCTGCATTACTGACATGGTGTTGCCACTGAATGTCAGCAATCCTTCGGAGACAGCGATGATCGAACACAGAGAGTCGTCTAACGTCCTCAACTCGGAGAGGCCAGGTTTCACAAGCATAGAGCAAAACTGCTCTCACCGACGCGTTGTAGATCCGACCTTTTACAGCCAGACTAACATCACGAAGGCGCCATAGATGGCCCAGATTGGCATAAGCCGCTCTGGCTTTCACTATACGTGCATTGATCTCATCACTCACACCCCCACCAGCACTTATGCAGCTACCCAGATACACGAACTTCTCGACTACGTCTATCTGCTCACCATCCAGGGTGAGTACAGGATTGGAATCCTGCCAGTCTTGTAGAAGTACTTTGCACTTCGAAGGTGCAAAGCACATACCATACCTACGGACACTGATTGCCAACTGATTAAGTGCGGATTGCATGCCTTGGGCATTATCGCACAGTAAGACAATATCGTCCGCATACTCAAGGTCGAGAAGTCTTTCTCCAGGCAACAGATCCACACCACCATTACTTACATTCATCAGAGCTGTTTCCAGAATGTCATCGATGGCAAAGTTGGAGAGGAATGGTGAGATTGGGCAACCCTGCCTAACCCCACTGCTCGAATGGAACAATGGAGAAAGGTGGTTGTATGCCCTCACTCTGCCTGAGGTGTTTGTATATAGGGCTTTTAGGATGTTAATAAACTTCTCAGGCACACCCTTCTTCAATAGACAATCCCAGAGAACAGTCCTGTCCAACGAATCGAAGGCAGCCCTGATGTCAAGAAACACTACGATTGTTGGCCTTTGATAAGTATGGCGGTGTTCTAACATTTGGCGGAGGGTGAAGATATGATCAATACATCCTCGACCAGAACGAAACCCAGCCTGCTCCTCGCGAGTCAATCTTTCTCGGGTTTTGAACAACCTACGAAGTATGACGGAAGCCAATAGCTTGGACGCAATCGGAAGTAGACTTATCCCCCGATAGTTGTTACAGGAACGACGTGAACCCTTTTTAAAGATAGGGACAACTATCGACTCATTCCATGACGTTGGCACACTCTCTAGTTCCCAAACCTTTGTAAACAACGTCGTCAATTCCTTAGTCAAAAAGTCACCACCATCTTTAAAAAGAGCCGGAGGTAAGTCATCTGGGCCAGGTGATTTGTAACGCTTCAAGAGTTGGAGTTCCTTGCGGACTTCCTCCTCGTTTGGTGGATCAGTCGTCACCGGCCATGGAGGGCAGGACAGTCTGACCGATGTTGCCGGAGCAGCAGGCCAGTTGAACTGCCCTTCGAAAAATTCTGCCCATCGTCCAAGACGTCGATGGATGTTAGTGATTGGCATCCCATCATCCTCGCAGATTGTTTCACTCACACCAGACTTCTTGCTGCCAGTGGCTCGGATGAGTTGGAAGAGCTTCCAGTAGTTACCAGATGCAGCTGCTGCTTCCAGCTCATTAGCACGCTTCGACCACCAGGCTTCTCGGTCCTTACGCAAGCTTTGCCCGATTTCATGACGTAATATCCTTCGTTTGTGGTTAAACTCACGGTCACCCTGAGTAGACCGACGGGCTTCGATGAGTTGTAAGGAACCAGAAGAAACCGAAAAAAAAAAAAAAAAAAAAAAAAAAAAAAAAAAAAAAAAAAAAAAAAAAAAAAAAAAAAAAAAAAAAAAAAAAAAAAAAAAAAAAAAAAAAAAAAAAGTGGAATGGTAGCTAGCCTAGAAGCTAGCTTGGTTCGATAATTAGTTGCAACAGAAGTTACAACCAACTTGGTGACATCAATCCTCCGGTGGGGGTCACTTCGTTGGCCACTGAAAAGTAAGGTGAGATTGGCGCAGACCAAAGCATGATCAGAGTCCAGATAGGTACTCCAGAAGGAGAGGCAGTCTTTTACACAACCACGCCAGCGGTAGCTGATCGTGATGTGATCAATCTGAGTCCAGGCTTGGGATGCAGAGGGAGGAAGCCAGGTGGCACATCGGCGATGACTGTGCCGAAAGTTAGTGCTAGCGAGAAACAGGTTGTGGTCTGTGCACAGTTGCAGAAGACGGTCCCCGTTATCTGACCTGCGACCAACAAGTCCCCATCGACCACCTAAACGACTCTCTTCTGTGCCTAGACGCCCGACCTGAGGATTCAAGTCTCCAGCTAGTACTACAATATCTGTCGAACGCACTTTCTGGAGAAGAACAGTTAACTGGTGGTAAAACTCATCCTTGATTGCATCCGGGCTGCAATCTGTCGGAGCATAGGCGGAGATGACGAAAAGACATCGTTTCTCACGCCGATTTCTTCTCACTTTGATGGAACTTTCTAATCTAACAGCACATAACCGACTGTTAGTGGGGATCCAATCGACTAGTGCTGCCTCAGCTCTAGCGCTTAGTGCGACACCAACGCCAGCAAGACCAGACGAAGATGCCGCAGGGTCCCCGGATAAACGTACGTAAAACAAGCTTTTTGAAGCGATAGATGGAGAGCGAATTTGTAGTACTTCACTAGAGTCTTGAATACGGGTCTCAGATAGACAACAAACGTCGATATTAAGACTTTCTAAAGACATAGCCAGCCCTATCTGTTGTCCGACCTGCATAAATGTGCGAACGTTGAAGGCAGCCAGTTTGAATGGTGCAGGTGGTTTCAGAAAAACTGCTTCAGTACTCATATTCGGTGGTAACATACAACTTTCAACCGGACAGTGACTCGAGAACGTTTAGATACAGTCGGATTTCCACCAAAGACGAGCCGCTGTATAAGTATAAAAGAGGGTGAATAATGTGGGAAATAATAATAATAATAATAAAATATAATAATAATAATAATAATAATGACAATAATAGTAATAATAATAGTATTAATAATGACAATAATAGTAATGATAATTATTTGAATCGACTGATTGTTTTTCGGAGCGATAAAAGTAGTTGCCAAAGACATAGAGTTCATCGTTTGTATGTGGGCTGTGAAACTGCCTGAGTGCCCAGACCGACGCAGTTGGTTTTCTTAGGGGGCCACAACCGGAGCCTTCGACCTAAAGGTCTGATCCACAAGGTAGTGGAGCAACGTAAGGAGATGCAGTCCCATGGTAGCCGGTGGCCAATAATTGGTTCATACGCCATTTGTTCCTTAAGGATACTGAAGCTCGTGTACACCATTGGCTTGGAATTGTGGTTTTCCAACTCCCTTGGGGGAAACTCCGTGTCCACCAACCCGGTTAAAGTGTCGGAAATTCGCTTTTCGCCCTCTCAATTTTCTGAAGAACACCTCCGTCAAGAGAAGACGGTGAGTAGGACTTCCCTGGCACTTGCTTTATATGCGTGTCCATGCGAGCATATTTCGACAGAGAGAGAGAGAGAGAGAGAGCTGATTCTCCCCTCCCTCGACCATACCAGGGCATTTGGGGTGAAATTTATTAGAATAAATTGAACTGTGAATGTTTGATTCTCATAGGAAGATTATTTAATGAATTTGTCTAAGTGATTGCTGATTTGTGTTAGATTTAATGATTTTTTAATGATTCCCTACCAGTTCAATTTAGTGATAATGTACATTAATTGATGAATTCTCAGCTAGCTTAGAGAATAAGATTAAAATTGCTTAAGAAGCCTTAATTTCACAGGCTAAGTAAATATGTGTGCTTTTATCTGTGCTTTTACACAAATCAATTTCGTCACTATGCAAAAGAGATTACTCCTACAACTTCTACAATTAAAACCTCGATTAGCGAAAGTGATCAAACATGTAACTCTGTAGTTCAGAGTTCAGTGCCTAAACTATTAAATTACAGCCTGAAAACTGATAATTTACTTTGGAAGCATCACTTAAACATCTTTAACTGATTTCAACAGACATAATTGTGTTCTATTGTAGTGACGTGTGGTATCCGAAATCTGATGCTGACACACGGTGTGCTACGAGGTAACCCCCAAGTGACTACTTGAGTGGGAACACAAGAGTGGGCGAGAAAGTGTATTGGGCTACCGAAAAATGCACAAATATCCATATACATATAATATTATATATATATACCAGTCAATCTTAAAGAAATCGACCCATTTTAACCCCAATGAAACGCACTTGACCTTTATGTCAGTTCTGAATGCTGTCGACCGGCCTTTTCATTAGGCTACTTCTGACTGGCACTCCATAAGAACTATTTCCCACGGAGGGATTAAAATGGGGCATATTCGGTTACCATTCTGGTTACAACTCATCCTCCAAGTTGACCAAGTTTCAATTAACTCGTGTTTACAGAAATTCAAAATAAAGAATAACGGTTATTGGGCTTCTGCTGAAGCGACGTTAAGAAACTTAGCTGGTAGAGACAGAATCTAATACCAAATGGAATACACAAAAGTCTTGTAAAATGACTGTGTCCCCATCAATCACACGTAATATTAAGACGCTAAACAGGACATGAGGTGATGCGATTTGTAATGCGATTTACCTATTTCATTCTCTCAGCAAGTTATTAAGGAGTGGAATATTAAAGATGATAGCAACGAAGAGGAAGCGCCTTACAACTCAGACAACTAAGTACTAACTAGAAACAAACTTTCTAGTTCGCAAAAATTATGGTGATTCCAGACAGTAAATCTGACTACTAGAATGCAACAGATGTTGTTGCGAAATAAACAAGTACAAAACTCTAATTTTGTTTCTAAGCAATATGTATCAAACAAACTGAAATTTAAAACAACAGCGGTACGAAAAAACAACTTACCAACAGGTAGTTTGTCATCTGAGTTGAATACACTAGAGAATAATCCAGTGATAATGGGAAATATAGTTGTATTTTGTATCCCAACAGATTCTTGTTGATTATATTCATTCACTAAACTAGACCTATGACCTCCAGTATAAGCATTTATTGCATTGGATATACCGGATGTAGCAGTATTTGCTGCTAGATGAGATAAAATTGAACCGGTTGTTGAACTGTTAGTATTTATCCATCCAGCGAATTGATACATACGACAAGGTGTTGTAGCAAAGACCACACATCGTTGCGGTTCACCAACTAGTACATTAGGCGAACCAATAGGAAAGCGAATCACTTCTACACCTGTTACACTATGTCCTAAATTAATCATCTAGGTGAAAGAAGTTGAATTGAACAGAAAAATATTATAAATATAGTTAGATGATAGAAATTAGATATATTCATTTAATAAGAGCATCACCTATAAAATGTAATATATGGTCTAGAACCATTCAATTATGAATCAAAAATCAATAAATCCTTGCTTTAAAGAAAATTTGTGCCTCAAGAGAGAGTAATCAATCTCGACGTAAAGTAAATTAAACTGTCGTTATAACTTATGATTGTCTTAAACAAAAATAATAGGATACATTTTACGGAAACATATGAAGCCACCAGACCTTAGAGGCATAGGACATTTACATAGATATAAGCAATGAATAAGTAATACAATAAAGATTCAAACAGTTTTCATACTTAATACTTGCCAAATTTGAAGTACATGAGGTCTGTAAGAGTACTAACCATTACATCAACAATCCAATTAACTAAATAAGATGAATACAGAACTAAGAAAAGTAGAACAAGGAGCCCCCAAATGTCCTGGTATGGCTGAGGGTAAAGTGGGTCCGCCCTCCCTCTCGAAATGCTCTCACACGGGCTAGCGTATACAGCCTCTGCCAGGGAAGTCCTACTCACTGCCTTCTCGTGACAGGGGTGTTGTTTACGAAAATGAAAGGACGAAAAGTGAATGTCCGGCACTTTAACCGGATTCCAAACCAATGGTGCACATGGGCTCCCGTATCCTGAGTGAACAAATGGCGTATGAACCAATCGTTGGTCACCTGCTACCATGGTACTGCAACTCCTATCGATGCTCCACGGCCTTGTGGGTCAGACCTTTAGGTCAAAGGCTCGTGGTGTGGCCCCCTAAGAAAACCACCTACTTCGGTCACGTCACTTATTCACTCTCTTTTATTTACACTTTATGTATCCTTATTTTTCGACTTACACAGTAGCTCGCTTATGGTGGAAACTCGGTTCTATCTAAATGTTCTTGAGTCACTGTCCGGTTGAAAATTGTATGTTACCACCGAATATGAGTACTGAAGCAGTTTTTCTGAAACCACCTGCACCATTCAAACTGGCTGCCTTCAACGTTCGCACATTTATGCAGGTCGGACAACAGATAGGGCTGGCTATGTCTTTAGAAAGTCTTAATATCGACGTTTGTTGTCTATCTGAGACCCGTATTCAAGACTCTAGTGAAGTACTACAAATTCGCTCTCCATCTATCGCTTCAAAAAGCTTGTTTTACGTACGTTTATCCGGGGACCCTGCGGCATCTTCGTCTGGTCTTGCTGGCGTTGGTGTCGCACTAAGCGCTAGAGCTGAGGCAGCACTAGTCGATTGGATCCCCACTAACAGTCGGTTGGTTATGTGCTGTTAGATTAGAAAGTTCCATCAAAGTGAGAAGAAATCGGCGTGAGAAACGATGTCTTTTCGTCATCTCCGCCTATGCTCCGACAGATTGCAGCCCGGATGCAATCAAGGATGAGTTTTACCACCAGTTAACTGTTCTTCTCCAGAAAGTGCGTTCGACAGATATTGTAGTACTAGCTGGAGACTTGAATCCTCAGGTCGGGCGTCTAGGCACAGAAGAGAGTCGTTTAGGTGGTCGATGGGGACTTGTTGGTCGCAGGTCAGATAACGGGGACCGTCTTCTGCAACTGTGCACAGACCACAACCTGTTTCTCGCTAGCACTAACTTTCGGCACAGTCATCGCCGATGTGCCACCTGGCTTCCTCCCTCTGCATCCCAAGCCTGGACTCAGATTGATCACATCACGATCAGCTACCGCTGGCGTGGTTGTGTAAAAGACTGCCTCTCCTTCTGGAGTACCTATCTGGACTCTGATCATGCTTTGGTCTGCGCCAATCTCACCTTACTTTTCAGTGGCCAACGAAGTGACCCCCACCGGAGGATTGATGTCACCAAGTTGGTTGTAACTTCTGTTGCAACTAATTATCGAACCAAGCTAGCTTCTAGGCTAGCTACCATTCCACTCGGTTTCTTCTGGTTCCTTACAACTCATCGAAGCCCGTCGGTCTACTCAGGGTGACCGTGAGTTTAACCACAAACGAAGGATATTACGTCATGAAATCGGGCAAAGCTTGCGTAAGGACCGAGAAGCCTGGTGGTCGAAGCGTGCTAATGAGCTGGAAGCAGCAGCTGCATCAAGTAACTAATGGAAGTCCTTCCAACTTATCCGAGCCACTGGCAGCAAGAAGTCTGGTGTGAGTAAAACAATATGCGAGGATGACGGAACGCCAATCACTAACATCCATCGACGTCTTGGACGTTGGGCAGAATTTTTCGAAGGGCAGTTCAACTGGCCTGCTGCTCCGGCAACATCGGTCAGACTGTCCTGCCCTCCATGGCCGGTGACGACTGATCCACCAAACGAGGAGGAAGTCCGCAAGGAACTCCAACTCTTGAAACTCTACAAATCACCTGGCTCAGATGACTTACCTCCGGCTCTTTTTAAAGATGGTGGTGACTTTTTGACTAAGGCATTGATGACGTTGTTTACAAAGGTTTGGGAACTAGAGAGTGTGCCAACGTCATGGAATGAGTCAATAGTTGTCCCTATCTTTAAAAAGGGTTCACGTCGTTCCTGTAACAACTATCGGGGGATAAGTCTACTTCCGATTGCGTCCAAACTATTGGCTTAAGTCATACTTCATAGGTTACCCAAAACCTGAGCAAGATTGACTCGCGAGGAGCAGGCTGGGTTTCGTTCTGGTCGAGGATGTATTGATCATATCTTCACCCTCCTCCAAATGTTAGAACACCGTCATACATATCAAAGGCCAACAATCGTAGTGTTTCTTGACATAAGGGCTACCTTCGATTCGTTGGACAGGACTGTTCTCTGGGATTGTCTATTGAAGAAGGGTGTGCCTGAGAAGTTTATTAACATCTTAAAAGCCCTATATACAAACACCTCAGGCAGAGTGAGGGCACACAACCACCTTTCTCCATTGTTCCATTCAAACAGTGGGGTAAGACAGGGCTGCTCAATCTAGTAATTCATGTCCAAATTTTAAATCGATGACATTCTGGAAACAGATCTGATGGATGTAAGTAATGGCGGTGTGGATCTGTTGCCTGGAGAAAGACTTCTCGACCTTGAGTATGCGCATGATATTGTCTTACTGCGCGATAATGCCCAAGGCATACAGTCCGCACTAATTCAGTTGGCAATCAGTGTCCGTAGGTATGGTATGTGCTTTGCACCTTCGAAGTGCAAAGTACTTCTACAAGACTGGCAGGATTCCAATCCTGTACTCACCCTGAATGGTGAGCAGATAGAAATAGTCGAGAAGTTCGTGTATCTAGGTAGCCCCATAAGTGCTGGTGGGGGTGTGAGTGATGAGGTCAATGCACGTATAGTGAAAGCCAGAGCGGCTTATGCCAATCTGGGCCATCTATGGCGCCTTCGTGATGTTAGTCTGGCCGTTTAAGTTCGGATCCACAACGCGTCGGTGAGAGCAGTTTTGCTCTACGCTTGTGAAACCTGGCCTCTCCAAGTTGAGGACGTTAGACGACTCTCTGTGTTCGATCATCGCTGTCTCCGAAGGATTTCTGACATCTAGTGGCAACACCATGTCAGTAATGCAGAGGTTCGGCATCGTGTGTTCGGGCACAGAGACGATAATCCAATTAGTGTCACCATCTTGAAACATTGACTTCGGTGGCTTGGACATGTTCTACGAATGTCGTCCCAGAGAATTCCACGTCGTGCATTATTTGCCGACTCTGGGACTGGTTGAAAAAAGCAGAGAGGTGGTCAGTGCATGACATGGTGTCGTGGCATGAAAGAAAGCTGCAAAGGACTGGCTTGTGTTGGTCCTTCACGACTCCCTGGTTGGGGTCTGAGAGATGGTGCTACACAGTGGCTAGAGACGTTATCAGATATGGCTCAGAATAGAAGCCAGTGGCGATCCTGCTGTAACCTTTTACTTTCTTCATAAAAAAGTGGTTGTATCTTCCTTAACTGAAAGATTTCTTCTGGTTGTACCTTTCCGTGGTGGTTGGAGATAGTCAACAGGAAACCCTGGACCCGGGTTTCGTGCTACTTGGCACCCGTCAGCAAGGTGTACCGGCAATCTTGAGGGAACTGGTTCTCTCTGACGGATTCGATCTCGTGTCACCCAGCTTCACAGTCAGAGACGTTACCACTGAGTTATCCGGGCAGCGACTGGCCTCCTGTGGGACTGAGATGTAATCACAATTGATTGATCAATTGATCAATCACTTGACCATAGCATTAGATTTGCACTAAGAAGGACTTGACACACATTTACCTTTCCGTCTCCTCCATTATTATTATTATTACCTTGCACTAATCTGGTCGCTATTCTCCTTTTCTTCTTTTACGCTCCTTACCTTCCTTTTTTCTCTTCCCATTCTCATTGTTTTGTGTGGCGCATATATATTTGGTGCCCCCTTGTACCAATATTTATGTGTTCAAATAAATAAATAAGCACAAGGACTGCACTGATAATACAAAATTCGACTTAGTAGTTAAAGAATTGAACCAAGTTAGAGACTTAAACTCAGAATGGCCTATTCTAGTAAGAACAGTCAACTGATACCACTAGCCACTGACGTCAAAAAATTATGGCTTAAAATGAATTTGTGAATGTAACCAGATTTATTGAGTGATACTTGATTAATGAAACACTAGAAAAAGTATTACAGTTGTAGTCTTGTTAGTCAGTCTGTCAGACATAAGCAACGTAGGAACTGGCATACATGTCAGTCAGTCAGTCAGTCAGTAACAACGTAGAACTTCGTACGTACGTACATCAGTTCGAGTTGCCACACCACATTAGCACAGAGATGCAGTTGTCGATTCAAATCCCGTAGTGGTAGAGGTAGCAAGAGTATAAGCAGTAATCGGGAAGATTAGGGTTTGGAGATGTTATTTAAAGAGTATAATCCAGTGAAATAAATTTGGAAAGAGGAAAAAAGGGACATGAAAGATTCAGAAGATTAGAATTTGGGAGAACACAGAGAGTGGATGCACCTGCGCCATTGCAAACGATTTTGAGCCATGTCATTCAGGGTCTCTAACCATCGGTTGCTATCATCTCGCGGTCCCCAACCAGGTAGTCTACACCTACCAACATGACTCAGTTCACTTGTCAGTGACTTCATGGACTTGTGCCATGTTTTGGTTTGGCCGCCCCTAGCTTTCTTCCAACCTACTCCTATACCACTGAACATAGCACGTCGAGGCAGTCGGTCGTTGGGCATACGTAACACGTGTCCCAGCCATCTCAACTGATGAAGTTTCACTACTTCATCAATTGATTTGCCATCCTTACCTAGTACCCGTTTCCTAACAACTGTGTTACTTACTCGATGGTCCCATGATATACGAGCAATATTTCGAAGACACCTATGATCAAATACTAGTAACCTACGAATATCCTCTACTCTTACCGGCCATGTTTCACTGCCATAAAGTAGGACGGAACGAACTGCTGCGCAGTAAACCCGTCCTTTGGTTGATAGACGGATATCTCGCCTACGCCATAAATGACGCAAGTTGGCAAAAGCTAGTCGAGCCTTCTGTATCCGTGCTGAGATTTCGTCACACACTAAACCACAAGGGCTGATGAGACTTCCAAGATAAGTGAAGCGGTCGACACACTCAACTACTTCACTCCCTATCACTAGTTCGGGTGTCGATGTAACCCAATCCTGAAGCAACATTTTGCATTTCGAGGGAGAGAATCGCATCCCGAACATGCTTGCATTGTTGCTTAGAGTGGTCAGAAGACTCTGCATTTTGTCAGCGTCTTCACCAAATAAAACTATGTCATCAGCATATTCTAAGTCAACAAGTGAACCTCCCGGTAGAAGTTCAACCCCTGGAAATTTAGATGAGGAGAGTGTTATCTCTAAAAGTACGTCGACCACAAAGTTGAACAAGAATGGGGAGAGTGGACAGCCCTGACGAACACCACTTGAGGTAATCAATTCTGATGACAGTTCGCCATAAGCTCTCACTCTACCAGTTGTGTTCGAGTAGAGAGCCTTTATAAGGTTAATGTACTTCTTTGGTACTCCTTTCAGTGACAAACACTGCCATAGAACCTCACGATCAACAGAGTCGAATGCCGCCTTAAGGTCGAGAAATACTACCATTGTGGGGCGTCTGAATGTGTGTCTGTGTTCTAGAACCTGACGTAGTGTGAATATCTGATCTATACAACCACGTCCAGGTCGAAAACCAGCCTGGTTTTCTCTAATCTGCTCTTCACGAGCTTTGATTAGGCGTCGAAGTATTATTGAAGCTAATATTTTAGACACTATATTAGTCAAACTGATTCCTCTGTGATTGTCACAAGAGGACTTTTGTCCTTTCTTATAGACTGGCACAATCAGTGATTGAGACCAGTCAGATGGGATTACGTCCAGTTCCCAAATTCTACCTAAGACCTCAGTTAATCTCATTGCTAATACTGGACCACCATCCTTAAAAATCTCAGGAGTAAACCTGTCAGGGCCTGCTGCTCTCCCTCGTTTCAGATTTCCTATGGCTTTTTCAACTTCGTAAAGGGACGGAGGACCTACATTAACTTGCCATTCAGGTTGACTGGAGATCGTGGGAAACCGAAGTGTGGCTGAAGGCCAGTTGAACTGATCCCTAAAGTGTTCTGCCCATCGATCCAATCTCCTGGATTGAGAATGAATAATATGTCCATCTTTCTCTGAGATTGTTTCGCTAACGGTCGGGTTCCTAATTCCGGTTTCCTTAACGAGTCTGAACAATTGTCTGCTATTACCTATTGCCGCTGCCTTTTCCATCTCTCTTGCTTTCGCTACCCACCACTGTTCGCGATCATTGCGTAGACTTCTTGTCAGCTTGCGCTTAAGCTGACTCCGCTCTTCATTATGTTCAGAGCCAGGTGGAATGAGTTTCCGAGCATCTATCAGTGCGATAGATGCTGCTGAGATCCAGTGTTGCTCCCTAACCTTCTGGTTTACCTTACTAGCAGATATCACTGCTGTTTCCACAGCTTTTCGGATATCATTCCATGCTGCATCGGGGTGGGCATCACATACATGGCTGCCTAACTGTTTTCCTAGTTGTTCCTGAAATATACTCTTAGCTTGACTATCATTAAGTAGGCCCTAAGAGGTTTCCTTGCAGCGTCTTTCCTACGTCCAGTAAGACGCAAGCAAATACGCGCTCGCACTAGAGCATGATCTGAATCTAGGCATGTGCTCCAGAATGAGCGACAGTCTTCTATCGAGCCCCTCCATCGGTGGCTGATAGCGATGTGATCTATTTGGGTCCAACGTTGGGACGAATTAGGGGGTCGCCATGTTAAAAGATGTTTTTCCTTATGCTTAAAGTTAGTATTTGCAAGGAACAGGCGGTTATCTGAGCATAGCTGCAACAGACGGTCGCCATTATCTGTTCTTTGAGCCACGACACCATAAGATCCACCTAGGTGTCTTTCCCTATCGCTTAGTTTACCTACTTGAGCATTAAAGTCACCGGCCACTATTACTACATCCGAGCGCCTAGCTTTTCGGAGAAGGTCCGAAAGCTTTCTGTAAAACTCATCTTTTACATCATCTGAGCTGCAGTCAGTGGGAGAATAGGCAGAGACGACGAAGAGGCAACGACGAGTGTCCCTATCTTTCCGGATTCTTACTGTTCCGTTCAGTCGGACAGCGCACAAACGACTGTCTACTGGGATCCACTCTAAGAGAGCTAGTTCTGCCCTAGGACTCAATGCTATACCTACGCCGGCGAGGCCACGGGAAGCAGAATCAGGGCTTCCAGATACACGAAGCGTAAATCGAGTCGGTTCTTTATTTTGGCATGGTGAGGTCAAATGAATGACGCTACTTGGATCCTGTATGCGCGTTTCGGAGACGCAGCACACATCGATGGCGCGAGATTCTAAAGTTTTAGCTAAGGAAGCCTGCTGTCCTATTTGGCAAAGTGTTCGTACGTTAAAAGCTCCTACGTGTAGTTTAGAGCGTGGTTTCAGGAGACCAGGAATGGCGTTCCACGTACTCGAATCGTTTGCCCTAGCGGTGCGAGGTGATAAAGAGACGTGAGGAGGGTTAGTCATGGAGATAAGAGAGGTATTAGGAGGTGTAGGAAGGATTTGAATGTGACCACCTTGGTCTCTTGTGCTGTTACGGGTATGAGGGCTGATGTCACTTCCCGGCTGCCCACACCGTGGAAGGGTATTTCTTGAGGAACCTGAAAAGGAAAGTGGATTAGTGTTGGTCTTGACGACCTGGGAGCGTGACCGCAGAGCCCAAGGGACAACTGCTTGAGGCCGGTCGCGCACGGCCTTTTTGTGGAAGGTTTTTGACGTGTTAGCTCCGTTCTTCAAAGGGCCTTACCGCCGGAGACGGAAATCCGTGAGGTAAGGTGAGGTGTGACATTTTTAGGGTCGACCTTTTCTAACCCCACCCCTCCTTGTGGGAAGGCAGCATCGCTGTCATGCTGGTTGTCCGAAGGAAACACCTTACTGCTGTCACACCCCTCTACAGTCAGCAGTACGACTTCGCCCTCAGACCTTGAGTTGCTGCTTTTAGTCTTACCGTTCACCAATCGACCTGCCTGGCATGGTAGAACCTACAGGAACATATGTTCCAGCCAATATAGCTCGGTTGGGTCATCACGATAGGCAAGCCCGACCACCGCGTCAAGGTAGCAGCTTCGATCGGGTGGCATACATGTGTATTTATTAAAACTGTCAGATCACACCAATACAGTCAGATGAAATTATCAATACAAATGTCACAGTAGAAGAAGTAGTAATGATATGAGTTGTAGTCCAAAACATTAGACGATTCAGTAGGAAAGCATGAATCAGTAGAATAAAATTCCTGAGATGATCTCAAAACTTAACAAAGAATGAATCCATTTACATCGTTGCGACTGAATACGCTATGTTAGCCAATATCTACTATCACTGGCTATGAAAATCGTGCAGACGCCAACCAGATAGTCTGAATCTATCAATACCGTCCAACTATTAGAAATTCTGTTTACTGTTATTGCTTTCGCTTTGCCTGTCCCTAGCTTTCTTTCAGCCTACTCGCATACCAGCGAACATTGCGCGTCGACGTAAGCAAGGCGTTCCCTTTGATTTTGGCGGAGTGTCGCTCTCTGAGCTAGATGGTTTGGATGTGAAGCTTTCATTGTTCTTCTTAATACCATAAGCACGAACTATAGGCAGAAGTTTCTTTCATAGTTCGGCATTCCCACAGACACATGACAGTCGAAAGCAGATTTGCAATCATTAGTCATTGTATACCAACCCAGTTGTCTAAACGTTACGCCCTTGTCGCAAGAACTGAAGGTCTTGGGTACTACTACTGGGTGGTCGGCGGGGCGTACTGCTAAGGAGCTCTACACTGAGACGAAATACACATCCACTAAATCCTGGTTTGCAATGACTATCTTGCTAAATCTTATTCGTGGTGCAAAACACAAATTGAAAGTACAGTACTTCAATTATTAGGCCACAGCTTTACAAACCAATTTACTAATCAAAAATTTGGACGATCATAAACAGTAAAAAAGTAAAATGTTCATCTTGCCTGGATCCAATACTGTTCAATAGTTCCCGAACTAAAAAAGCTATCTTCATTAAACATAAGCATTGTTTCAAATATTAGTCCATCATTTGTACCGATTAAAATTTCTTGTGTAGATAATTCATTTACATTATGATGATTCCAAGCTATAGAGTCAAACAAATGATCCTAAAATACAAAATCGAACGGTAAATAAATATATTGGGTAAAACGTTGAAAAGATGGGATTTCGTTAGTAACTCTATACAAATTAGCCTGAGTTACACAAGATTTCTGAAGCTAACTAGAAGATTGATGAAAAAACCATACCGGATTAATAGTAGATTAAGAGTAATCACGTGGCTCATGACTGGAATTATAGTTGCTAATTTTTAGATAAAGTTTTCCAGCATCCTACTTAGCCTGTTCGTTTTGACTTTTGCTAACGTTAATATACGTTTCATAAAATTTTAGAAACAATACTTTGTTAGTCTAATTTTGTTAATACTAAAAACTCTCAAAGCCTATAAAAGAACCCGACATTCCTATGTTTTAAACTTATCAGGTACTTGGCGTTGACCTACACTTTTTCTGTGACTACTGGTACTACCCAGTTTCACAAGCAGTAGGTGGAGTGAGGTTGGAACCTACAACCAAGTGCTTAGAATTCGACACAAATAACCACTAAACCACAGTCCCATTATTTTTATATCATTTACTCATTATCAATCTATTACTTTACATATACATGTTACAGTCGATTTTATTACCAGAGGTGAATTTCCCTGTACGTGAACATAAACATTTTATGTTAAGTGCATTTTCCTTCAGAGCCAGAAACGACAAAAAGGAAAATCTCACAACAACAACATTTCTGGAGACTTTCGCACCAAGATCAAAGATTACCTAGTTTGATGTATGTTTGGTCCACTTTCTGCCTGAATACATAAAGGATTACAACAAAACCAGATAAGTGGTTTTTATGCTAACATAAAAGTAGTGTAATTCACGAAAAATGGTAATTTTTAATAGTCATGCTAGAAAGTTTGGGAGAGGATTCAACTAACTCCAAACAAGAACATGTACATAAAAACCTATGTCTTAATACATGATCTATCGAAAAACGATAGTGAAATTTCTTGAGGAAAGTATAGCACATTGGTCCTGATTAACTTTTTAGTGTAAAATAAATGAAATATTTTCATCTAATCAAATACGATATACACTCACTTTTGTCTTGTTTAAAGGGCGAACCTTTTTCATACCTTTGTTGATGTAAAAATTTGTGCCAGACTGCATACTTATTACAGTATGCCAACCCATAGGATCCAGAAAAATATTATGGACTCGGTCATCTGAAAGGCGGCTAATTTCAATTTCTAGATATAAATGAAAATGATGCTGAAAATTCCAGTTTCATAAAAAGAATTCTACATGAAAGGATCATTAAATATGAGCAAACAGCAGAAACTAAATGGATATTTGTACTACAGTTCATTAAACGGCAGTGCAGAGCGAAAAACGATACTTTATGTACGTGAAATTATTGTTTCGAAAGAATAGATTAAACTAAGATACCAGTGCATACAACAGGAGCATTCCATTATTATGTAAGTGCTTGGTAATACCCTTAGTAAACATAATGATTTCAGTGTTCTAATTTTAAATTTTCTTAAATTTCAGACTAATAATCGACCATACATAGTGCCTGAAGTGACACTGTCAGAATAAATTAACAAACAAACCAATGTAAATATATTTCATTTTTCAATATGACTAACGTTAACCTTCCCGTAGCAAACACAAAATCACGGAATAACATCGTCCATAAGTACTTCTTAGTGCCCTATGAGATATAAGTGGAAATATATTTACCGGTTTTAGAGGATGAATCTACTTTATCTTAGGGTCGTCGCTGTTTTGAAATCAGAGCACTTCCATTTATCAACTGTAGGACCCTGAGAACTACATTGGGAAGTCATATGAGATACTTAGCTTTATAGAGTTATGCATATTGTTTAAAATAAAAGTTTAAATATCCGTTTTAGAACGGCTAGACAGCGTCATTAAGGACATTCATTATGACAATGTTAATCATGTATTGTGACGTTCCCTAGTATATATATATATATATATATATATATATATACTGACAGCAATTCTGCACTCTGAATTAACCAGTAGCAACCAGTGAGTCAGTGAACGCAAAGGAAATGGTCCCTTCTAGAAGAAACAACAGAGAACAGTAATCAAATTATTTTTATCTCTTCATCGTAATCTCTAACAATAAAGATTTTTAGAAGCATCAGCCAGACAGTTCGGAAACCAAAGCCCGGAATAGCGAAGCTTCCGTATGAAGCTCGACTGGCCAAGCTGAACCTTTTCCCGTTGTCATATCGCAGAACTAGAGGCGACTTGATTACAGTTTTCAAATTGCTTAGTGCCAAATTTGCACCTGATATACCCTCAGTTTTTTTGTCTTCCAAAACAGAGAATTTACGAGGACACTCCAAAAAAGTTCACAAGCCGAGAACAAATTACTTGTCAGCTGACTATCGACTTTCCCATCGAATCATCAACGAGTGGAATTCACTACCTCAGCACGTGGTTGAGGCTCCATCCGTCGATTCTTTCAAAAGAGAGTTGGATCAACTGAGAGACCACTATTGCCAGGACTACCACAGGCCATCAGGCCTCCTGTCCTTCCCAAACTGAAACTGAACTAACGTTTCCCAATAAAGATTCCATGCATAGGCAAGCACAGGATAACTGTACACATAAGCTTACAAATGGTAATATATGAGCACAGAACAGTGTAATACTAATTTAGGAATATAAAGATCATTATGAAGTTTGTGGACAAACAAAAATGTAAGGGTAAGATTTATGTGTGAATAAATATATGATAATGAAACAAACCAGATATATTGTAAGGAGGAACAGTGGACGTTCTTATTAAGGTGTTTTTTGAAGTAGCACCAACCAGATAATTGTTACAAACTTGTAGATTCGTCAAGGAATTCACTACTCTGTAAAAAAAAATATACAATAAGTAAACTAAGAGAATGTACCTGAACCACTGAGCTGAATCGAGTGAAAAAATCCCATCATGTGCGAAGAATTCAGCAGACTAAAAAGGTTTTAAAATGTTAAACAGAACTTTCAATTACAGACTGCTGTTCACCAGTATTTAGATTACCCTTCTGCATAATGTAGCGCAGTAACCAATTAAGGCGGTTTAAACTCATTCAGTAGTTTGGATAGGAGGCCAATCCACCTATATTAATCCTAGTAATTTATGGTACTGTGAAGATCCAGTCTCGCTGTGATTGTATCAACAGAAGGTCTTGATATTATATGTTCTGATAAGTAGTTCAGTAGTTCACTACTCGATGAGAGAAACGGAAATCCAATCTGTCTTCATACAATAGGCCAGTCAAACCTTTCATCATTTCTTCCCTTGTCATTGGACTTGTTCTAATTTATCTGCTTCCCACTCGGAGTAGAGACTCGTTACTTGAGTTCCATGTTTCTAAATGCAGCCTTTCAAAAATCGAGTGTAGTAACCCGAACATTTCATCTTATTAACGAAACACCCCTGAGGCCTTTGGCAGTGGCAGCTTACAGGCTGCCCTTTGTTCACAGGTAGTTGCTTTCTAAGACCCATAGGTCTCTATAGTCCATTAATTAAATAACAGCATTTCACTTATGTAGTTATATGAATCATCGCAGTTACTTATTTGCGTCACTACATTATTACTAAAATGAACTCCTAATTACAATGTATACACCCAGTTAACCAGTAAATTTAGGTCGTCGTGCAATAATTTACTATATGATATACAGTGTTCAGGTCTATAGAAGGTTATTTGTTACAAGAATATAACTATTTATGGCTGAATTCAACTCCACCTGTAGCTTTTCTTGAGTTACTGCCGATCTAAAGCCCGGGTAAAAGAGGAGGATTGAGCATATGGTTAGCGACCCCATCCCGCAGAGAAATAACTCGCTAAAAATACGCTAACCGGAAAAATTCAAACCATTTAAACCGTGCCCTGGGAGTTAGAAGGTCTTCATTTAGAAGAACTAGGACGCCTCATGGTGAAAGCCGAGTTCCTTCAGAAGTCATGCGACCGATGCCCCTTCTAACAACCAGAGCAACAATTTCTACAGGTACATGGAACGTCCGGACAATGTGGAAGACCTCATCAAGATGTGGTGACCTACTTTTATCAAGAGGACGCGATTGTTTTAATTGAAACAATTATTATTATAACCAATCTTACCAGTGATTGTTTTACTGTACTTGTTTGTTTAACTGTGCTAAAGACATTCTTCCTTCCGTTGACTGTGACTTTGCACATGCTTACCTTTGCTCAGTGATTCCGCTTGTACTCCTTTAGCACGATCTCTGTAGTCTTTCGACACCACGAGATTGCCAACAAATATATCTCGTTACGACCTCCAAACGCCTTCTGATATCTGGTACGCAACCTTCGTGTGGTGGTGATCATAGTCAACAACGACTCGATCCCACGCTACAAAGATTCCAAAGAAAGGAGAGCTGTGCAAATGCGAAAACTACCGAGGTATCACACTAACGTCAGTACCAAGAAATGTCTTCGACAGAGTGTTGCTGAACCGGATGAAAGACGCAATAGACGCCAAACTTCGAGACCAACAGATCAGATTCCGTAAGGATCGATCGTGCACAGACCAAATTGCGACGCTACGGATCATCGTCGAACAATCAGTTGGGTAAAACTTGTCTATACATATCAACTTCATTGATTATTAAAAGGCGTTTCGCAGTGTAGATAGGAGAAAATTGTGGAAACTTCCTCGACACTATGGAGTCCCTGAGAAGATTGTCAACATTATGCAGAATCCATACGACGGACTACAGTGCAATGTCGCGCATGGAAGATAGCTGACAGATGCATTCCAAGTAAGGACTGAAGTCGGAAAATTCTGTCTACTCTCCGCTTTCCTCTTTATTCTGGTGGCCGACTGGATTATGAAGACTTCGATATCTGAGGGAAAACACGGAATACAATGGAAAGCTCAAAACCAATTGGATGACTTGGACTTCTCAGATGACTTAGCCCTCCTATGCCATACACACGAACAACTTCAGATAAAAACAGCCAGTGTAGCAACAGTCTCTGCATCAGTAGGCCTCAACATTCACAAGGGGAAAACCAAGATCCTCAAATAAAACACAGAGAACACCAATCCGCTCACACTTGATGGCGAAACTCTGAATGATGTAGAAGCCTTCACATACCTGGGAAGCATCATCGACGAACAAGGAGGATCAGATGCAGATGTGAAGGCGAGGATTGACAAAGCAAGAGCCACATTCCTACAATTGAAGAAAAATATGAAGTTCAAAACAACTGTTTGTCAACTAATATCAAGGTGAGGATACTCAACACGAACTTTAAGACAGTCCTACTGTAATGAGCTGAAACTTGGAGAACAACTACAACCACCATGAAGAAGGTACAAGTATTCATAAATAATTTTCTATGCAAGATACTCAACATCCACTGGCCGGATACCGTCAGCAACAGCCTTCTGTGGAAGAAGACATTTGGTGGCCCGTTGATCTGACTCCAAGATCGTATGAATGTTTGTTACCGCCTATTCTCGTATATCATCGTCGACTTAGATCGCGTTATCCAATAACGGAATTAAATAAGTCGAATAACGAGAATTGATTTGTAAATACATATATTTTGTATATGAAGTGAATGAAACATGAGCCAAGCAAAATGACGCACAGGGAGGATGGCTGGGAAGCCAACTCCTTTTTAGTCGAGCGTTACTCAATATTTATAGTCAGACAAAAATAAAGCTACAGACATGTGATGAGTCATGGGACATGAAGTGTTCACACATATACGCTCATATGAAAACAGTCAAGGCTAATAAGCGAATAATTGACAAGGTCAAAACATGACTCAAGTAGAACGAATAGAATGGAATGTCCGGAAACTAGAATATAAGATATATGGGCTTAAAATAATGACTGACACTACAGACAAACCAGCTTCCAGCTGAAGAAGAAATTGAGAAAGGTTATGGAAATGGATAGAACGTACATTATGTAAATCATCAGACTGCATCATGAGGCAAGTCTGAACGTGGAATTCTGAAGGTAGGCGGAAAATAAGATGTGCAAAGGACACATTACGTCGTGAAATGGAAGGAGATATGAAAAGGATGAATAACAACTGGATGAAGCTGGGAGTATTGCTCAGGACAGGGTTCGATGGAGAATGCTGGTGAGCGGCCTATGCTCCTTCACGAGGAGTAACAGACGTAAGTAAGTGAGTAATCTAAAGTCGAATCTCCTGCAGCGAAATCCGAAAAGCAGGAAAGATCTCTCCTGAGGCTATATTGTTATCTGACTAAAAGATTATTTCCTACCATGCAGTTCAAAAGAGACATCTGAATAACCTTTTCCATCAGTCTAGTGATCACAATTGTAAGACTAATAGGCGATGGTTACTAACTAGTTCCCTGATTCCTGTTTTATAGACCAGATTTATTATTGCATCATTCCAGTTTATTGACAGTTTAGACTGCCTTAGAGCATATAACAAAAGCATTACCAGAGGTTCAAAAATAACATCACTCAGAGCTTTCATAATCATAGGATGGATATCGTTAGGACCAGCAGACCTATCACGTTTTACATTTTCACCAAATGTGATGTCAGACATGTTCTCAGTAACCAGAAGGTCCACCGACAACCTGCCATTATTGAGGTTAGTGGTTAGTACTTTAAAGACGTCAGTACATAAATTTTATTAAAATATTCCTGTAATGTTTCAGCGTTGGTAACGCCATTTCTTGCCAATATCTTGTACCTATGTAAATTCGCTTATTCACATGTAAGAACAATCTTTTCGAAACATTTCAAAATCAATCCTTTCTTGTACAAAAGGATATTCCTACTTATCAACGCTAAGCACTCATTTTTAGTCTTTCAATATATGTACTTTTTCTGTAGAAACTGGAAAAATACTAATATGACGTGATGATTTACATGATCGAATACGGCCGTTACCCCTCATAGAGCAGCATAGTTTGCTCACCAGCATTCTTGATGCAACCCTGACCTGTGCAACTCTTTCCAATTATTTCGATTCTTATTCATCATTTTCATGTCTGCTTACAATTCTCGATGCATTGTGTTCTATGGTCTTCCTCTTATAAGTTTCCTTTCAGGATTCCCAGTTAACGCTTGACTCGTGGTGTAGTTTGTTGATTTCCCAAATGTGTGTCATATCCGCTTCCAACGACTTATCCTAATTACCGCCTCAGATGCAACCTGGTGTGTTCTCTCCCACAGTAGAATGTCGCTTATGTTATCCGGTCAACGAATATTCAGTATCTTGTGTCGACAATTCTTTCGAAATATTTGTACATTATTGAGTATATTTGTGGTAGTTCTCTAAGTTTCAGCTCCACACAGTTAAACTGTTTTGATTTTCGAATTGAAGATACTGATTTTGATATTGGTTGACAGTTGTTTTGAGTTCCATGTGTTATTCAACTGCAGAAATGTGGTTCTTGCTTAGCCATTCATTACCTTGACGTCTGCATCAGATCCTTTACGTTCATCGATGATACTGCCGACCAGGTACGTGAACGTTTCCATCGCTCCCAAAGTTTCGCCATCAAGGGCAATCGTGTTGGTGTTCTCCATATTGCATTTGAGGGTCTTGTTCTTTCACATGTGTATGTTGTGGTCTACTGATGCACAGTTTGCTGCTACACAAGTTGTCTTTGTCTGCATTTGTTGGTGTGTTGGGGGAGCAAAGGCCATGTCATCTGCGAAATCCAAATCTTCTAATTGATTTCGATCTGTCCATTGTATTGTATACCTTCCTTCAGGTTTGGAGGTTTTCATAATCCAGTCGACCACCAGAAGAATGAGAAAGGGTGGGAGTAAGAAGCTTTGCTTGACACCCAACATCAGTCGCAATGCGTATTTCACCTCTATTACATGCACCACGATGCAGTGTAGTCAGTCGTATGAATTCCGTGTGATGTTGACAATTTTCTCAGGCAAATCATAGTGTCGAAGTTTCCATCAAATCCTCCGATCCACATTGCGAATGCTTTTTCACAATCGGGCAAGTTGATGTATAATGACGAGTTCCATCCACTTGATTGTTCAAATATGATCCGTTGT